GATATTCTTCAATGATTTCGACAGGTTTATATCTTTCTAATCAGTATTATTTATAACTCTTGAAAGGAAAATTAATTTAACACTTAATCTTCAATGTTTTCATTAAATGATATTGTTTTACATTTTGTTTGTAATAAATTAAATATTACACATTATGAAATTCCTCATCCCTAGTGCGTTTAATTAACCAGTTAACTGTGGCGCTCCGTTTTGAAATTGCACACCGCTGTGTTTCGCTAAACTCGACCGATGACGAGTTTTCAATTTAAAACTTCTGCTCATTTATGAGAATAAAATGAACTCTAAAATAAAATAAAATTAAAAAATAGTCATTTACGAAACTCAATTAACTGGGTAAATCGTTGATTATGAAGGGTGATGATAGATTATCAAATAACTTGGCCCTAATTTCGACTTGTATATTAATTTTTCTTACCCAACCATTAGAAAAATGGCTTTATCACTTTTACAAATGAATCGTTTGATATCTATAGTTTTAAAGGTATTTTACCTGTCATTTTCTCTATGAGTAAACATTGGAATTTCTAACAGAAGAAGAGAAAGAAGAAATAGAAAGAGAAATCGTTTAGAGATGATAATATAGGTTGTTTTAATTATCTCACAAAGAGACTGAGCCACATAATATTTTTTTTTGTTCCTTCCTTCCTTCCTTCGTTCCGTTTTCCATTTTTCTTTTTCCTTTTTTTTTTTTTTTTTAAATACATCTCGCCTCAGGGTTTGCCGTGAGAGTCGACAAGCGCGTTTGATTAAAGAAAGAAAGAAAGAAAGAAAGAGGACGTTCGAAGGAAACACGCGCAATAAGCCTCTCTCTGGTTGAAACGAGTAAGAGCGTGACTGATGTGAGTTGGTGTGTGTGTTCGTGTCTATATGTATATATATATGAAAGTAAGGTAAAAGATAGGGGGTGGAAAAAGGAGAACACCAGAGTCGACAGAGGAAATCCGTGTATCTTTATAATATTGGCTTTATGGATGTCAAGAACAGAAGTGTGTTGGTCACTTTGTTAATACCCTCCTCTTAAATATTAATATTTTAATTGTATATATTTGGTTTTTTTTCTTTTTTCACCTTTTTTCTCATCCTATGGAAATAGTAGACTCTCAGATGTTTGGATTAGCTTGTCCAAAGAGATCTATTATTGCAACCAACAAATACGAAAGTATTCAAACGGATGAGAAGTTAAAATAAAAAAAAATAAAAAAAAGAAAAGGTGAAAAAACAATTGGTTTGATTTTTTTCTCATGGGCAGGAAGTAAGGAAGGAAGAAATGAACGAACGAACGAACGACCTATGGTCGTGTTTCGTGTTCAGTGTTAAAAGGGGGAAAGTATGTATATTCACGAAAGGAGGCAGCTGAAGTATTTCCGGTCAGATGCATCGGTCGACCTTGAAAGCCGACTTTCCGACCCCGGCTCTGATGCATAGACTATTTCTCTCTCTCTCTTTCTCTCTCTTTTTGAACAGGCAACTTTCAGTATGCTCGTAAAATGTGCACTTACCGTATCTTCGTGTAATTCGTGATAGCCTATTTGCTAGCTACATTTTCTATATCTCTACGTGTCTTATACCATTGGTATAATACACACACATATACACTTATATACAAATGTATTTACTATATTTATGCATACTTACTTACTGTAGAACATCTTTATATATATATACAAATTCAGTGTCACATTGTTTATTTCCAATGAACTTTGAAAGTACTGAGCCTTTCTTAATCAAATTTTGTTTATTTTGTGTGGTCTTTTTCAACTTAGTACATAAGTAAATTTATATCGCGTGTGCCGAAGTAATTTTTGTTTGTTTATCCTAAACCGTTATAGTGTTAATAGAAGTGTGAATAGAAAAGAAAAATTGTACGTACATATTATTCGTTTTAAAACGACACACGTTTACGTACGTAGTGTCTACGAAGAGCTTCCTAAAAGCACACTATCGATCGTTATGGAACGGATGAAAGGTGTAGGGTGAGGGGGTCACTTAGGGACAATGGCACCGACTCATAGACCAGCAAACTATCCTTCCATTTCAACCAACGATGACTCAATGTTCCTTACGATTACTATCTTTCTGGAACGAAACGAAATCATGAATAGGGGAAGAGAAACAGAATACAACGGGGACGTAATAGTTCTCAGAGTAAAGTGAAACACTTTTTCTAACGATAGAACCACCATTGAGTGATGATAATAAGATGACATCGATTAGTTTTACTGCATTCATCGTGAAACACAAACCATTCGTCGTCGTCGTCGTCGTCGTGGTCGTCCTTGGAATAACTATTACAATGTCGACAAAATTATTGGCCAAGTGTAATATCGATTTGTGTAAACGCATATATAAGTACACAATATAGTGTACAAATACAACTGTTCGTTGTTGCACAATATACACATATATTTACATATAAGTGTAGATGCATAGGTATCAAACAATTTACATGTTTCATATAAGTACCATTCTGTTCGAAAATCTTTCTCCATTTTTAAGGATAACTTCAAAATTTCGGCCTTTCAGAACTTTTCAGGTTTTTTTTTTTTTAGTAAAACAACTTTATGCCACTTACCGAAAATCGACACGAACTTTCCGAACAACCCAATTTATTCTTACAAGATAATAATAAAAACATCTCTGTTTTTATCTCTTAGATTCCTGTGTAGTTGAAAACAAAAAAAGCAAGAAAAAAAAGGTGATAAATAAAATCCGTGTTCAAAAGGTCAAGGTTCGTTATCGAGTATTTAACGTGATCAATGAAAGAGATCCATCGTATGTAAAATAATGACACGACACGCGTCAAAGGCAGCGAACTATTTCGATTGGTTTGTTTTTTTCATTATTTTTCATACAAACGAACCACCCTAGGTTTTTGTTCGTTAGTCGTACGGTATTTTCGTTGACAGATGATTTCGATGTATCACTTCTGGCTCAATGAATATTTTTTCTTCTTCTCTGAGTAAAATCATTTATAATATTTCATTTCTATTGTCAAAAACAAAAAGCTATGTGAAAAGATAAAAAGAGATAATTTAAAATTGCAACAATTATTGTTGTTTGGATTAATTTGAATAAAAATTTTGATTAGGGTTTATTGTCTATTATAAATTATATAATGAATTGTTTTTATAATATTTAATTTGGTTCACAGCATAATATTTGTAAAACAAAAGAAAACATTATAAACGAATAACAAAGGAAATAATATGCTAGATAGATACGCGAAAGAGAATTCTTGAATTAGTTGGTGGCCACCGTGTTTGCTTGGTTATAAATAACTTCAAGAACAAGGAACATTTTTGTATCATCGACCAAGAGATTTTTCAAAGTCTCTTTGACCTCCTCGACATTAACTCGAACAAGAAGAGTAAGTGGTTGCGTATAGGTAACACCACCACCACCACCACCACCACCACCACCACCACCAGCACCACCACCAGCACCACCACCAGCAGCAGCACCACCTGTTAACTCCGAAGCAAAATACCCGCTCCAATTAAGGGAATGACCTTTTTATCTTTATTCTCGTAGCGTGACGAAAAGGGAAACTGCAACTTGGAATATGAACATATTCGAACCCTTTGGTTTTTTCCCTTATATATATCTCATATTTCACGGAATGCGATAAACTGTCTACAGTTGGATGAACCCTAATCCCTTTCTGTGGAAAACAACTAACACGCATATAATAATAATAATAATAATGATGATGTCGGTGCGGTTAAAAGGATAATGTTAATCTATAGGATCTTGTGAGAAATCTACTCTGTGCAACAGTAAAATAATGATTATGGTTATCGATCGAATATCTTGTTATCCGAATAATAATCATTATTATTATCGCGTGTACCGGAATAAAGTTTCGAATTCGTAATTAGTATTAGGTACGTACGGTGAAATGCTTTCATGCGGTAAATAGAGTTGGAAAACCTCCATGGAATTAATACTGAATGAATATAATGTTTCGGTACTATTCTTGTGGTCATTGTACATATGTATTTAGTACTAATACATATAACAAAACAATCTAGTTTAAAGTGATATTGCGAATTTAAAATCGTTAAAACTGTGTCACAGAAAATCTATTATACGAACAAGTAGATTCACAACGTCGTCGAACTTTTAACCACCTTCTGTTTTCCCAGAGGAATTGCCTCTAAAAATCCACCCCCATAAAAATGTCCCCTTTTCCAAACTCCATTTATCGTGTTATATTATAACTTGGGATGACGCATCGATCGTATGCATGCGTATATATATATATATATATATATATTTTTGTCATTGAAACAAAGATCTTTGTTCGATGGACTGGTCGTGTTATCGATTACTTTGCCTATTACAATTAATGATTATTTATCGTTAATTAAATTGACGATATTCTTGTTCTTTTTGTTAGAGTGATAAATGCAATGGGAATGTCGGCCAATAAAGAGGACGACCGAGTATAATTCTGGATAATGTCCAAGGCACGCTTAGTGTTAACTAAAATATGAAACTAGGTCATTAAATGAGACAATTTCAAGCGATATATCCAAATTTACAAATTATTATGAAATAACAATACGAATTAAAGTTTATATTTCGTTATGGAAGAAAAGTGAACACCGCGGTAGGGTAAAGATCAATGAACAACCTTTTTTTCTTTTTTCTATAATAATATTTTTCACATATGTACAAACTGTTATCGTAAGACTTTAGCGAAATATAATATAAATCGTAAATGAATGAATTCCACAGGCATATAGAGAAGATTTTATCTTGATATCGCATGAACGATAAAATACGACTATATATACGACTGAAATATATTTTATCTGCAAAGGAAAAGTTAACGTAAAGAAAATAATGATCATGTCTTTTTACATGGTACATTTAATAGAAGCAAGGGTCCGATAACGAAGCTTAGGGATATGATCGTTATGGGAGGAGGAGAGGAGTGTACTTTATTAATAACTGCTGCCCACTCGTATGTCCAGGTGATAGACTTCGGCTCGAGTTGCTACGAGAACCGGCGGGTCTACACATACATACAGAGCCGCTTTTATCGGGCCCCGGAGGTGATCCTTGGAGCTGGATACGGCATGCCGATCGACATGTGGAGCCTAGGTTGCATTCTCGCGGAACTATTCACCGGGATCCCGCTGTTGCCGGGTGAAGACGAGGCTGACCAATTGGCCTGTATAATCGAACTCCTAGGTATGCCGCCAGCTTATCTGCTAGAAAATGCAAAGCACCGTCGAAATTTCATCAGTTCGAAAGGTTATCCGAGGTACTGTGCGGTAACTACGATGGCTGACGGTACGGAACATTTTGGTGGTGGTCTCTCGAGGAGAGGAAAATTACGCGGCCCACCGGGTTCGAGAGAATGGAAACGAGCATTGAAGGGCTGCGAAGATCACATGTTCATTGATTTTATAAGAGGTTGCCTCCAGTGGGACCCAAAACTCAGGATGACACCCAGAATGGCACTCAGGCATGCCTGGTTACGGCGTAGATTGCCAAAACCACCCTCGGAGAAGATCAACGACGAATACTTTCCTCCGCCACGGACTTCCGTTACTGGTTTAAGGACGCCAGCTTCTTCCGGTAGCAAGATTACCACCACCATCAGCAATACCACCAATACTACCAGCATCACCACCACGGCTATCGCTAGCACCATCAACACCACGGCCATTAATACGGCCACCACAACTACTACTGCCGTTGCTGCTGTAGCAGCAACTGCAAGGACCCTACATGTCAAGGCTGAGCTGATCAAAAGCAAACTCCGACAAAAAAAGGAACAACAACAGCAACAACAACAACAATTACAAAAATTGAATGATTTCTATGGTCGCAGATTTACTATAAACACGAGGCATCCCCAATCGGGTATTTTCGGCAATTCGACGATTCAAACTGCAATTCATTCAGTTTCATCGAATCATCAGCCAAGCCTTAGCAGTCATCAGTCCATAAATTCGGTCGGTACTGCCGGATCGCAACAACAACAGCATGGTGCTACTCATCAATTGCAACAGCAACAACAGCARCAGCAGCAACAACAAACCAACGGATCGTCGCACGGATCTTCTTCCCATGGATCTTCCTCGCACGGATCCTCTTCTCACGACAGTCATAGTTCGCACGGTCCTTCGAGTTCTTTAAGTCGCGTGATCTTAAGTAAAGAATTCATCGAAGAACTCAGACGATATGCCGAAATATGAGGACGTCGGCACTTATGCGTGCGTGCCACTGCCGCCGCTGTCACCGCCATGTTCCTTGTTAAATTCGAAATGCGTTAACCTCGATGAATACCGTGCGCATATACGGTAATGTTGACGACACAACATGTTGAACGAATAAAATGGTTAACGATCCCTTCCCGAAACTTTCATAAACACAAACAAACACACTCTATGCGATGGGTAATCTTATCGCCTACGTTTTAGGCGAATCTTTAGAGTAGATATTGACCTACATTTTGGATCCTATTTAAAAAACCATTTCATTTTTTTACTCGATCACGTGAAAAATTGATCACCCCAAAAATATATTCATTGATTTTGATTATATTAAAAGAAACAAAAAAAAAAAACAAATTCATATTACGTTTTTTACGTTTACGATTGCAATAAAATAATTGAATGTAATTATATACGCGTGATTTACATATGTTCGTCGGAATAAAACTAGGTACCAATAATACATCAGGTTCTTATCCACGAAACTTACACGATTATAATATTGTCTTTCTTGTATTTTTTTTTAATTTTAACTTTGTATCGTATCTCGTGCTCAGCTTTCTTTTGTTCGGTCAGCCCGAACATTTGCTCTCCTGCTGTCATTGCTGGATCTTTTGTAACAATTGTTATTCGCTTCGATGGAAAAGAAGGAAAGCCTTAGACACACACACACACGTGAGCGTTGCGCCGCTGCTGCTGTTGCTGAATTGTTGGTATCGTGCGAAAGGCCCCACATTTGTATCGACGTTTATTACATTGTCTTGACTGCGAGGTTATTGTGCCAGGAAAGTAAGGGAATGCGAAGGGTTCCGTTCGTATAAAGCGTGTAACAGCATATATAACATCGTCGATGAATCGATCCGCAAGAGACTCATTAAAAGGGTTTCTCTAACTCGGTGACTACCATACTACAGCACATTGTACAATGAATTTTCTCCCTTTTTCTCATTAAATCTGACTAGGGATAAATTTGTGTCAGGAGAAAAATATTCACAATTCGATTAGAGAGTCCAATACTATTCTATCATATTCATCCCGGTGTGTCTGTTTTCTCGAAGGAATCTCGCCTGACAGATATCGAAATAGAATCTTAGATTTTTCATATGACGACCTTTCAACTGTTCTACTTATCGATCGAAGACAGTTGACCTTTTTCATTTGCATATCGAAGATAATCGTTAAAACAAGAATAAAACTTTAATTCCTTTGAACACCTTTCAAAGAATTATTAGATTGACCAACAAGTTTATACTGTTTTGTTTTTTTTTTAATTACGATGAAATAAATAGTTAAAACTGTATAGACAAATTGTTCAGTCTAATATACATATATATTTGTACATAACGAATGGTGTATATATACATAAAGACGCGCAAGACAAGTACGGTTTAATTTTGTTGTATTGGTTGTATTGGTGATAAAAAAAATTGTCAGAGTTTTTGGCATAAATAATTTATTTGTATAAATGTAGGAAGTCTTTTCGCATATACGTTTAATAATTATTATATTTCGATAATAATTTTCGAAGATAAAAGAAATTTAATTTCGTTTGATATTTTCTCTTTGTTTTGTCAGCATGTCGAGATACTCACGTTCGGTGCTTATTAATTAAAATGATCATTTGCGCGTACGAAGTGAAACTATTATTTCATAATCATAATTGAACGAAAATTCAACTAACAAATTAAATGTTTATTATGCTTTAAGTTACAAAGAAAAGTTGTGGGATGTTTGTGAATTATACATGCTCGAGCATAATACTACATATACATACGTACATAGCTTAAATCGATTTCATCCTTGTATTTGTATATTAACCGCATTGGTGGTGTATAAGCCTCCGTCTAAAGAAAGAGCATAAGTAGGCTGTACTTCAATTATAATAAAAACGAGCGTTTATTCTCAAAGACTTTGAATATAAGTACCGACTATAATTAATTATTGCATTGGTTAAAAATGTTAAACCACGTTACGTCATTCAATAACATCTTTCTTTGATAATTTTTGTTCTACTAAAAAATATCAAAAAGAAAAGAATACAATTGTTTCAACCTGATCGTTCATTGAAATTCAATGATAAAAATTAAATCTGTTGAAAAGCGAAATATTTTAATCAATGCGCAAATTATTTTGATAAATATTAGCAATGACAGCAGTGATTATTATTCACGAGGCAATCAAAGAAAAAAAAAACGGAGTGATATTCGGTTGTCGAAAAGTGATACCGAACAGTATAACGCTATGTGATATGGAATTTAAGCGGCATTGTCATTTATATTATTGCTAAAGAAAACGTCTATGTATAGAGAAAAAAAAGGAAAGGTACATATATATATATATATAAAAATATAAAAAAGATTATTAGTTATATCGCGCTGTACGCTATAATTATAAACAAAGAAAACAAAAAAAAAAGCCGCATATAAAATTTAACAAAGTACACGTCGTGCATGTAAAGTAAGAACAGAGTAGAAAACTGCCACCACCCCCATCGTGGTTACGAAAGAAAAAACAATTACGTATTATTAGAAAATGTGGTGTTCGTAAAAAAAAAAAAAAAAGAAAAAAAAACACTTACGTAGGCAAAAAATACTTACGTATCATCTCGTTGATTCTTTCGAGCATTTTGTTTTTTTTTTTCTCCTATAAATTGCATTATTGCGCTACGCTTTTTTTACTTTCGTGATTCGCGTTCCATTGCTAGAAAAGGGAAGAGGGAGGAAACAAAATGAAGTCATTAATTTGTCCCTTTCTTCCTTCCGAAGATACTTCGTCGACGAGCATTTAAATAAATATATTAACATAATTATTGGTCATTTGCGAAATGACGTTTGTCAAGATCGACTTTACACGCCACTGCCAATACCTTCTTCTTCTGTATAAGTTTTATTATTTACGTGCGTGCCTAGAAAGTTCCTTCGTCGTCATCTTTTCAGATCATTTTGAGTTACGTTACATTAAAGCGAGGGTACCACATTCTACACCCCCAATAATATCACATATACACACGTATACTTGCATTTGCATATATATGCATCTTTTACACACACACACAACACACGAGCACGTTATTTTTGTGATTCTCACGGATTTTTGAAAGTCTCGTTTATCCAAATGCGCGATCATCCCAATCGATAAAATATAACGAGCTTGAAAGTGCATAAACAGTGGAGTGTAACGCATTTAATACATAACAAACACATATATACATGTGCGCTAACATCATACACGTATTCTCATTCATTTGTATAGAACAAAATATTATGTAAGCATTTATTATTGGTAAAGAAACGCGAGGATAAGAGTTTTAATAATGATTTAATAAAACACCTTGACTCAGTTGCTTGTAAAGTACACTATTATTATTATTATTATTATTATTATTATTATTATTATTATTATAATCGTCATTATTTGTAATATTATTATTATTATTATTACTACTATTACTATATTAATAATACTGTGATTAACATTTAGGTACTTTGTTGTTTGGCGTGTTCGATCTTGAATTTCTCAAACATCCACGTGCTTATTTTTTATTGACAATTATTATATAATATATAAAAAATGATCTCTTATAATTTTAAGAGAAAAAAAAAACACACCGTTAAAGATCCTGTTGTCTTTTTCTTTCTCTTTCTCTTTCTCTTTGTTCAATCTTACTTTGAAACAACCTTTAATGATTTCCTAATTTTTTATTAACGATTTGTTACTTATAAGAAGACAAAAAAATTGTAAAGCAAAAAAGAACGTAAAGTTTTATCGTGCAAAGTACTTCGATGCCAAATAAGGTATAAATGATAGCTTTAGGGCGTAAATAACATACGAAGATGTATGTAAGTTGCAGACAATTTCAAGGCCGGAGACTCCTACTCAAGGTAAACGAGGGGGGTGTGCGTGTTACGATTGTCTGAAAGTCGCTCACCGTCCACCTTCCCATAAGAAGCATACTACCAATGCGTTAACTGCTGGTTTCTGTTTTAAACACTGTACTAACCATAAGTGTTTTTTTTTCTTTTTCTTATAAGAGAGAGAGAGAGAGAGAGAGAGAGAGAGAGACGAGATCAAATTGAAAAATAAATAAATCAATTTCTTTCAAATGTTATTATTTACCCCACTAAAATTATTTATTAATATTTTGTTAATATTTAACCCTTTGAATACGAAAACTCGCCATTAAATAAAAATAACAATGGGAATATAACGAAAACATTTTCACACTGTAAATTGATTTCGTGTCGATGAGGAAACTATTGAAATTACTAAAAACTAAAACTCAGAAATAAGAAGAAGAAGAGGAAGAGGAAGAGGAAGAGAAGAATAAAACAAAGAAAAGAATACGATAAAATAATATACGTATGTATATTACGTTTTATTAGCTAGTTACGTGATAGTCTTATATGATAACTATGTGAACATGAGTGATAGAATGTGAGTGAGAGAGAAAGTGAAATGTCGATATGAAAAATACGAGAGAGAGAGAGAGAGAGAGAGAGAGAGAAAGAGAGAGAGAGAGAGAGAAAGAGAAAGTAAGACAAAGCACGATAGAGAAAACGAGAGACTGTAACACATTTCTATATAATAATTATATATATATGTATAATGCAATAAGACGTTTGTATGATAATTAAGAATTTCGTAATTATTCGCTAGAAATGCGCGTAATAAAAACAAATAATAATAATAAAATAATAATAATAATAATATTAAGGCACGTTACAGACAAAGTAAACATATATATATATATATATATATAAAGCAACAAACTTAAAAGAAAATATATGTGACGAGTTGGTTCAAGAGTTCGTTACATTGTGGAACTTACTTACTAAAATCTCGTCGTAATGTCGAATCCAATCGATTAATTCTCCTCCTTCGTTTTTCCAAAAGTCATGTCAACAAGAATTTTCTGTGGTGAGAGCATGCAATTGTTTGTTGCGTGGTATCTTCGTCGTGTTATTCGTCGTGACTTGGATCGATAACCGATTTCATTTTTATCCCCTTTGCCATTTTTCATTTTACGATCTATAACATCGATTTACGTAATACGTAAATACAAATAACCAACCAACAAACAAACAAACAAACAAACAAACAAACAAACATGTTTACTTATTAGAGTGAGCCCAAAAGTTCGCGCGTTTTATATATATATATAACATTTTTATCCCTCTACGGTTGAGAACAAACCAACTTTTCGACGAGTAGCATACTTAGAAGGCGTAATACTTAAATGTAAATCATTCACATGATCCGATGACAATACACACCAGAATTTCTTGTTAAATAATCTTTGCAATTTTCTTTGGTTTCCCTTTTCAATTTTTCTTACCCGATCGTGCAGAAGAGTGCATACACATGATATATATATATATATACAATACAAAAGAAATAATAAGACAACATTCCGATTAAATTGACAATGCACGAACAAGTTCGGTTTACTTTTGCGTTAGATCCAGATCGTCGTCGTGCAATAGCGTGTATATATGTAGGTACCATAAATACATATGTGTGTATGTTTCTCTATGAGAATCTGTATTTAAACGAAAAAAAAGATGATGAAGAAAATGAAGTTAGAAGATGATGAGATAGAAGAAGAAGAAGAAGAAGAAGATGAAAGGAGGGGAAATAAATAAAAAATAGTATGCTACACCACCATCACTACCACAACCACTTGTAATTTCGTTAAACACTCAGCACGAATGTTTCTAATGATGATGAACGAACACAGATAATACAATATAAACTAAACGAATAAAACAAATGCAAAAAAGAGAGGGGAAGAATTATTATAATACTACAAAGAAGAAAAGTACAAGACGCGTCTCACACATGTTAAATTAAAGCGTTACGATGTATCGCATATAATCTATATACATATTGACATTACATGCATACATACACATACACATCAGAGCAGACTAACACATATAACCCTTAGGAATATTCACCGATACATAGGTTACTTCTTCGTGCACTGTGTGTATTTAAAGAAACCCCACCACGATGACGTTTTTTTCTTTTGTATATCGACGTTTTTTAATCGATCTCATCTATCGCACATAAGAGATCCATTATTTCGTTAGAAATTTTCACTGTCAAATATAACCATTGTGAAAATTCATTTACTTTCATTGACTATCGTCGCTGCAACGAGCATATATTTTTTATTATACTTTCTTCCAAGCGTTGATGTCTCTTTACGTGCAATTTATTGTATATTTTCTTTATTTCGAAAATCGATTGCACAGCGACGATTATTATAAAATCGAAATAAAGAATACACACACACACATAAACACACGTTATCATAGATCGCATAACATCATTTTCATCATTTTCATCATTTTCATTATCATCATCATCATCATCATCAACTTCATTATCATTATCATCACATTGCTACTCCAAAAAATATAATTAACGTGCTAAGTTCTTAACTTGATACTTTCCTTCTTTTATTTCATTTTGTTTTAATTGTATTTCTTTTGTCCTTCTTTATTGTAATTGTAATTTTAATATTAATAATAATATTAATATTAATTTTTTTTGTTTTTGTTTTCTATTTAAGTGACAATGCAAAGTTTGATCTCTTACTGGTACATACACACACACACACGTCATTATTATATATAAGTAATATTAAATTAGGAACGTTTAGTAATCGGACTAAGATTGAATTACTATGATTGATACTATACTTTTGCTTTCCTTGTGGAAAACGGCGAAATAGAAATATCGTTAACGTCGATCAGCACCGTATCCGACGTTTAATATCGTAATAATAATATTAATAATAATAATAATAATAATAAAATAATAATAATAATAGTAATAATAATATATGTATCATTCGAACGATTGACATGAAGTAAAGCAAGCGTGCTAAAAGAAAAATGGATATATGTCCATGAAAAATGATTTTTACCGTAACACACATACACACAAAAACACACAAAACATAGAGACGCAGCAAAAACCCTTATATCTCATTATGAAAAAGAAAAAACAAAAAAAAGATGAAACAAACAAACTTGTAACTCGTTTTCGCGAGGAGAGAGGGGCGTTGCGCGAAAACGTTAATCTGATTTTTTAAAAATAAAAACCAATCGAGATTCAACTTGATTAAGAAACAAAATAAAAATGCTGCTTATGACGGTTAACCAAAAAAAGAAAAAAAAAGAAATATAAAAAAAAGAAGAAGAAGAAGAAAATGAAATACGTCAAAACCAATGCCTTAAGTTCATTAAACGTTTGTCCCCTATCATCTCTGTTTTCTCTATCTCTCTCTTTCTCACGTTGTAATATGCGAAAATAAAATAATTTAAAAAATCCGACTATAACGAATGTAGAGAGAAAGAGAGAAAAAGAGAGAAAACGTCAAACATTTTCATCGATAATCGAGAATGTGTAAAATATATTACGAGGACCTCGTATTCGATGCTTGAAATGTCCTCTCGTGCAGATCTTACAATAAGCGAATGACGACGAAACGAATTGAGCCGAATTGAGGAAAATTGATGAATGCATACGGTGATATGATTGAGTACGTATTAAAGGAATTGTTAAAAACATAAAACAACTTGTTTGTTCTATTGTATCCTTAAAAGCATGCACCAACACCTTTTTCTTCTATACAATTTGTTCATTTTTTATTTTTATTTTTATTTGTTATTATTCAAATTCCAATTAGTTTGTTACCTTGTTCTTGTAGATATTATATAATAGAGACAATGATCGATCTCGAGACGTCGTGGAAAAAAAAAGTGTGTTAGCTAACAGGTGGTCTTATATTGAAATGACACTGTTCATTCGATAGACAGTGTCTATGTTTCAGTTTGCGCGATGCCTCGATTAAAGGGTAATATCAACAAAGAAAAAGAAGAAAAGACAATTGTTTTATCTCGATCGTATTTATCTAGATTTTAAAACCCTTTAAAAGATTATCAGAGGAAGTAAAGTGAAAGAAAATAAATAATCCATCGTGATCGTCAATTGAAAATCTAATTTATTAAATGAAATTTTGGCACGCGGGTGAGGGAGGAAGCGAGCATTTATATTTGCTAAATTCTATCATTTCATATCCATGATAACTTTTTAAAGGGTAATAATGATCCTCTCGTTCCTCTTAAACTTGTTCTTTTATAAAATATTGTTAAAATAGGAAAATACGTGGTGCTACATTTCTCTCTGTACGCATTAGTGTGTAAATAACTGGATAATAATTATGACCGCTTGACGCGAATGTGCTATACGAAAAGATCGTTGGATAAAAGGTTACTCCAAAATCCAGGTCACAAATCCTATTTGCCATATCCACAAAGAGAAAGAATTCATTTTGACGTGTAAGAAAAAAAAAACGATCTTCCCTTTTCGGTTTTCTTTTTTATTTATCTTTGCGACAATTTGTACGACGATTTTCAACTTATTTCGTTTAAGGAAGAACAACGTTTAAACTTTTTTAACAAAATAACAAAAAAATACAGTCAAATTTAACAATTGAATAATAAGAATTATAAGAATTATAAGGAAAAGTTTGAACCTATATTTCATTTTGTGTTTCACGTATATAAATGTGTTAACTAATAATTCTTTTATTTTTTCATCAAATCTCGAATACATTGTAATGGAAAATTTGCAAAAATTGTCTATTGGATCAGATTGCAATTATCTGGCAAGCAGGTTTTCCGGGTCGGTGTATTTTTAATCCTTCCATCGAGATGTGGTTTACGACTCTGACGTCAAACAGCCAAAGCGTGGATGATTTGCACACGGATACTTCGGCAAATCGCCAATACAAAGATCGATCGATCATGATGAATCTCTAGTTGCTTTTTGACACCTTCAAATCAAACAACATAGTCTTTTTCTAGCAGGTTGCTAAAATCATTTTCTTTCTATCATTTACTCATCAGAAAGATAAAAGGAGAGAGGGAGAGGGAGAGGGAGAGCGAGTTGTCACTGAATATTCTTTTTGTTCAGATTCTATGAATAAGCTTGAACTTATAAGACGTAAATACGTCTTTATGTCTTCTTTCGCAGGAAGAGACGAACTCGCTCGAACAATGATCTCAGAATGTTTCCGTACTCGTCTGAGGGTAAACCGGTCTTTAAGAGGCAAGCGAGGAGATCGAACCCATGACACTGTTCCTGTCTCTCTGTACCGACCACTTATTTTCGGTTTGGTCGAATTCAATGGCAAACGACGTTGGCCACTTGCCAACAGTGTCTCCTCAACTAACCACCGTTGTTCTTCTATCTTTTAAGTAGTCATCTATCCGTTTAAAGTTTCTTTGAACTTTTCCTTACAGAGAGTGACAAAGTAAAAAGCAAATATAATTTAATTATAATGAGTCATGCCAATAAATACGTGTAATTTTTTCTAATATCCAAGAGCCTTAAAACAGTTCCTTGTACGTGGGATTAATATGCAATAAGACAAACATTTCTATTAACAAATTATTTACAAATTATTATTTAAATGTTGCTCATATCTGTGTGCAAAGAAAATAATAATTTTTAATTGAAAAAATAATATTATTATTAATTATCAATGTAATATTGGCTATAAACATATTTTGTTTGAAATTTATTTTTAAAAAAATATAAATCGATCGATATACAAGTTTCAAATAAATAGTACCAAAACTCACCGTACCGTGGCGCTTTTATCGTCGAATATTTTCGATGACGTCATGAAAAATACTTCGATGTTTTCGACCTATCGATCTTGCATATTATTCGATATAATATTAAATTATTAATACGAGATTATTATTAACAATTTTTAATGTTTTATATTATCGATCATTTGATTATATTTCTTAAATGAAATATTATCAAATATTATCAATGTGTTTGTTGACTATTTTTCTAAACTGCAAGACAACGACCAATAAGAAAACACAAATTCTTATTTCGAGTGTACAATACATTCGAATAACTGTCACGTGATTGTTTTAAAGTGATTCTATTTATTTGAAATGTTCGTTAGAATAATTTTAATATCAAAAGATTATATTTCTTATCTATTTTGATAAAAATAATTGATAAACCTTTCTAAAATATTGGTACAATTTCATTTTGACAAGATAACAATATTTTCTAACCAATCATAAAGTATTGGTTAAAGGGACTACAAAGTTATACAAACACTTGTTCAATTTTTCACATGAACATTTAAATTTTTCCTGAAACTATTTTTCATTTTAATATATAAATGTCTTATTATATTATATAAATTATTGTTTATTCAATTAATGGAGTTAATAAGTTTACTAAAATATAGAAATGATCAAAGCATTATATATTATTTATATATATGGTGCATTAGCTTTAGAGGGAAGTGAAGTACTTAGAAATCTAGGAGAAAAACAATATACATTATTAACAGGTATGTCATATAATTTGCTATTAAATTTGCTATTAAATTAATAAATATATTCATAATAAAATCTTACTTTTATAGCCAAATCTACTTTGCCAAAACATGGATTGTGTTGGTCTAATGCACTCAAGTCGACAAAAAATAGTTGTGACAATTTGAATGACAATGAACATTCTCTTCTCGCTTTAAAATTAGCTAATTGTTTTTTAGAAGATTCTGGTCATACTTCTTACGATTGCCATTTGAGTACATCAGAAGATATTCGCAAGTAATTTCTGACTATATTTAAATCAACAATTAAATCATTACTTTAATAAACATATTTAATAATATGTCAAACAATTATAATTTTTAGAGAGTGTATCAATAAAATGTCAGATAGAGCGTTCAATGTATATAATGAATTTTATACGCATACTACACATATATGTTTTTATTTAAATTATGAAGCGTGGCAAGTGGAAACTGAAAAAACGATTAAATCGTAAGTATTAGATTAATAAAATTTGTCTCCTCATATAATGTTAATCTTGTTAATTATTTCATATCATTTCCAATATAGGTTGTATCAAGTTTCATCTCAAATGAAAGAACAATTGTTAGAAGCATCGGAGTTACAAAGTGTGATGCTGAAAAGTCAGAAAGAAGGATTAAAAATTCAAAGTGAAATATTAAATCACGGTAAAGAACTTGGAAGTGTAATCAAATCTTCATCTGAAACTGTGAACGATATGGTTATGGAATTTAAGTAAGTTACAATATAATTAAATTGAAAATATTACTGAGAGTTATTTATATGCATCAATGTAATCTCTTGTATATTTTAGAGAATCGGCAAAAGATCAGAAGGAATTACTCTATGAGATTTTTTCTTACATACGTACTTTTCAAAATTGGATTATCGGAGAAGTATCATGGTTTCAATCTATTATTTACTATACAATCACTTGTATTCTCTGTGCAATTTTTAGTTCGACTAAAAGAACTGCAGATGCACGTGTTATACTTTTCATAATTCTAAGTTTAAACATTACTGTAGAAAGAATATTAGTTCAATATTATGAGAATACCATGAACCATTCTACACATGACAAGGTAAAAAAGTTATACAAATTTAAATTATCACATCAATTAGGTCTGATCAATAATTCAACATATTTTATGAATAATATTTGTAGGTAGAACTAGTATACATAACTTGGTCGATAAGAAAAATATGTTTAACATTATGTGCAGTTACGTTACTGTGTACGTACTTTTATTATAAAGACGAACAATTAGAAAGTTTTCATGCACTTAGACGAATAGAAAATCAATTAAACAAAATGCAAATAATTACACCAATCAATATTAATCAATCCATTAACAAGCCTATTCGTAAGTTTATCATTTTAATAAGCATTTGTATTAGTATAAAAATATCTTTTTTTTAATAATAATTTTACTTTACAGGTCATTCTGAAAGATTGGCTATTAAACGTTTACATGCTACTTCTATAAAGGAACATCATTTGAATCATGTTACAAAAGCATAAACAACAAATTACTTTATACCTACCATGATACAAATTGGATATACGTAAAACTATATCTATATTTTGATTTGTCTCTAAGATTTTATTCTATAATTAATTAATCAATTAATGAACATATAAATATAATTGATTATTTTTTAGCGTATAATTTTAATAAATAATTGATCTGTTTCGACGAAAAAACTTTGGAATTAGGATCGGGCACAGATTTGGCGTGCGATGCTTTTAATTCGGAGGATAATTTAGCAAATCTTTTACTGCAATTTTCAAAGGATGTAAGTTCTTTTGAACAATTGAAATTATCAAATTCATTTTCTCTGAGACATGTTAAAAGTATTGACAATTCGTGTAAACAACCCTTTTCTGTAAAATAATAAATTGTTAATAACGTTATCATAAAATATGTTTAAAAAAATATATATATATATATCTATAGGAAAAAATACCTGCAAGCCCAACAGATCGACAGCTTACATAATCCTTTAATGCCAGTTCGTCTGCAACTTTAAATGGAACCTTAGCTTCATTTTGGGGAAGTCGTCCTTTAAAATAAGCAAGACTGACCCTCATTTTTTGTTTTCCTCTTCAATTACAACAAAAATGAGGTTATCTTCTTGAGATATCTATTAACACGTTAATAGAGATAATAGTCATTTTCAAATATTATTCATTCAAAATTTATATCAAATGTTCTTCTCATAATGTAATAACACAATAATAAAATTTTATAGGTTATACGTACAAATGCAACGAATACAAAAAATTAGGATTTACGACGTGAACTCATTGGATAATAGATGGCGCTTATGATGCAATTACTACGTGAAACAACAAACCACACTATAAATCGATTATAAATTATATCGATACTAAATTACATCGATTATTTATATCATTACGAAATAACACAATATAAGTTTAATTGAAATTTTATTCTATTTGCAATTTAAACATTTATTATTATACAACAATCAACAGAAAAATATATTTAATTATGTCTCATATGAATTTTACAATATTGAAATATAAAGGAATTAATGTTATTTAATTTTAACATATAATTTTAAAGTGACAGTAAGAAAAATGATTGTCGTATAATTTACCTAGAAATTCGTAAGAATTTAGTGATAATGTCATTAGGTTTCAAGGAAAAATATGTAATAATTTCATTACACATATGTTCATAATATTTAACTCAAGTGAAAGTTCAGTACCATCAGATAATATTGACAAGCTGTAAAACTTGTTATCGTGCGAAACAAAGATGGAGAATTTTCGAACGTTTAATATATGGTGATCTTTTAATCGATCAGTCTGCCGCACGTGCTGTAGCTGTGCGGATCTGTGCAAATTTAACCTCTCAATTTGTATTCAGTGTGAAATATTTTTCGTTTTAACAACAAAAGATATAGTACATATTAGTTTTTTTTACTAAAAATTAACTTATAACATTAAAAAGTAAATTAATCAGATTTTCATCGACAATATTGTATTGTTTTGTCTATCGTGTTAACGTCAGTTTCCTAAAATGGCGAAAATTAAAAGAAGTAAGTATAAATATTGTATACACATGTTGTATTTCTTGCAGTATTTTTATCAAAGTTATATTTCATGTTTAAAAGATTATCTTTTACGTATAAAACATTCATGTGACATATGTATTTACATATGTATGTATATACTACTACTTGAAAAGAAGAACTTTGTAATTGTGAATGTATGTTATTATCAGTGATTTAAATTACAAATCGATGTTCTTTTGACTATAAAAATACTAGAGAACGAAGAAATATTTGTTCATTCATGCGAAATTAATTCAATTATTCGTTATATCATTTCCCGTTTTTCTTTTTTTAATTTTAATTATAATTTATTTAAATTAATATGTTAATGTATACGTTAGGTGAATTTTTCTCTACATATTTCTAAATATATTCTCACAATGTTTAGATTTGACGAATTAATGCGCGTTAAAAGTTACGAAATCGATGAAAATCATTTTCTGTTGCGCAATTTTTTTCTTTCTCGTCTCACAACCCAATGTAAATATTCATATCCGTGTTACAACAACGTTTATCTAATATTTAATATTACATTGATTTAGATTTATTTGTCAAGGGCGCTTCTCACTTCATTATATACTGATATATATGATATTTATCGTTATCATAATAAAAGAAAAAGAAAGGAAAAAGGAGATAGAAAGAGAAACATTATTTAACTGCAGATTAGTCGGTGCAAACATTTTGATGAAAATAATGTAAAAAAATGTAAAATATGACCATTTAAGATAATACTACTTTACAAGGACTTTATGTATAGTCATGTAAAAAGGACGTTCCATTATCATGAGTAATTCTTATTACGTTAACTCGCAAAGTAGGTCTGCGTAATAGATTTAAAATCGCTGGAGGCTCGTTCATACAAAAAATTCTGCAAGTTTATATGACACAATCTCATTTTAACAAAAATGACTGACTCAACACAAAAAAAAGAGAAATCCTTCATTTCTCTTACTGATATTATTTATTCAAATGAATATTAATTCTTATTTAATTTATTATTAAGTATACGCGTTATAATTAATTGGAAAAACAATAAATATAATTTTCTCAAGAATATCTCTATGTATGTAATCAAATAACAATCTTCAATGTGTGTCACGCCACTTATCGTGCAAGTTAATTGGACGATTAACTTGCTATATTCCCACTCTTACGTAAAAAATTAATATCTACAGATATATGTTAACATATCGGTATTTACAATTATGTATCGTTAAGAACTATAATTATTATCTAATATGGATTTCAATAATATGCATTTATCATCTTCAAAAAACACATCCGAAAAATTGCTAGACTTTATGTAATTTAATTTTTTATGTTAATGTTAAAAGGAAAAACAACAAAATGTTTATATTATTCGATAAATACGTTGCTTGATTGAAGAAGAATTTCGAGTCCCAAAATAATTCCAATCTATTTTTATTTGAATAAAAAGATGAAAGTTTCTTTTTTTTTCTTTTTTAATTAAAGTTGGAAACTTTTCAACACAGGAAATACAGTGGAAGAGATCAAGGTAACGCGTGTCAAGATGAAAACGTATATTACATGCTGTCCCGACTATGTTAGCCTTCACACTGAAATTTGAACAGAAAACGAAGGCTTCGGTTAAAATTAATGAAGTATCGTTTCTTTGATACGATAGATAAATTATTAATAATTGATCCTGTTATATAACATTATAATTTTATATCTTATTAATTATTTATTAATAATGTTAACATAAATTTTGTAACTTTTTTTTTTTTTTTGTTTTGAAACGAAAAAGCAGCAACCAACAACGCTTCTTAAACACGTTTCAAAACTCACAATCTCTAATTAGTAGAGATAAAAAATAATTAACACTGATATGCATTGAACGTGCTAATATTCTATTTTAAAATAACTTTATTATTATTTCCTTTTCATATATAAGAATTCTTTACCACGTATTGTCTTCGTATTAATATTTTGCAAGTATTTTTTACACGATATTTTAAAAATTAATTTTGATTATGTGATATAATGATGATGAATCACTGGAGTTAGGTTCGTATGTTAGGTACAAAGTGAGAACTGTTATTACAAATCATACTAAAAAACAAAATCCAATTGTAACAAATATAAAACATTCACAATTGAGGAGGTCAGCATGAGCAAAGTATGAACAAAAAAAGAAATAGAAAAAAAAAAACAATTTCAAGTCGGTGTTAATGAGTTACGATTAGGTTGATAGCGAATGTTGAAACACTTTGTATAACGATGACCAAAGAATTCGTTTCTTCATTTAAAGGCTAACAAATATGAAAGTTAGAAAATGTATGTCAACATTCATTAGATATTTTTCATGGGTATATGACCCGACCCGTTTCAATATTTTATTAATTAATTATCCGAAATATTTAAAAAATATATTTATATAAACAAGTATTCTATTTAATTGTCTTCCTCACCGTACAGTTTGTGATTATTTTGAAAAAAAGTTTGAAGTAACATTTTAACAGGTTTTTTGTTGGTCAAAGTGCTTAATCATCGCTTTCGTAAAAAGAGAGAGAGAATGATAATATTATACGTGCGCACGTGTTTATTCATGTGTAAATAATTCATGATCGATATGACACGATCGTAACGTAAACGCATGCATAATTATAAATATTAAAATAATATTATTAACGCATGCAATCATAAACCATGTACATAAATAATTATGTAATCGTATTGTTGATTTTACAATTGCGTTTCTAATATCACCTGATCTTCTACTTTGAGATTATTGAAGAAGATGAGAAGGGATTGTTCGTTAAAGTAAAATGAAATAAATAATTTATATTTCTATATGGGAATAAATTCGAACGAATTAATGAAAAAAAAAAAAAACATCATCATCATCATGACTCGACGAGAATTCAAATTTCTTAAAAAAAAAAAAAATTGAATATATCTACAGTTAATTATTACTTTTGCAATGTATTTTCTATAAATCACAGAAGTTTATACATCGTATTATTAATAAATACTCTTGAAATAAAGGATGATGATAAAAAATATTGTTTTTTAATATGAAATAGATACTAGAATTTTGTTATCTTTATAATCTTTCTAATTGTGTAATATCGTAATCGTGTTCGTTATTTAAAACGACGCTTATTGCCAGTTTTACGTTCTTGCGCATTTTATTGAGGCATTTAATTCTTTAGGAAAGAGCGTTGATCTATCGACACTGTCGATCAGTTTGACTTACGATGTCAAAGTGTTCAGGTGTTTCATACTAATAAGACATTTTCTTTTTCTTTTTTTCATTAATAAAATATATAATTAGACTATAATAATTACGTTTCAAAAATTCTTGGATAAAGTTAACTTTTGTGTGTGTGTTTTTTTTTCTTAAAAATTAATTTTATATTATACAAGTAATAATCATGCTGAGTAAGTAAAAAAAAAAAAAACTTATTATTTACCGTAGATAATAAGTAATGTTGCAACTTGAGTCGGCATTGTTCGTTCAAAAGTACAAACAGAATATTGGCCTTCTGATTCCTTTTTTTTTTCTTTTATTTTATTATTATTTTAAATTATAAAACATAAATGGGATCTACGTGAAATGAATTTCATATAATAACTATGTACTTGGGGTATTTTTTTTTTTTTTTCATATATAATATATTATGTAGAATATTCTTCACATTTTTGTACAAACATAGAAGAATTTTACTTTCAATCTTCAGTCTTGTCATAGTCGACATCCTGGTTGTGTCAGGATTACGAGAATAGACGTGGACAATTATGTACGTTCGCTATTACATTCTCTAACTCGTTCTTCTTCGATATATACGAGTAAAATGATCAATTGTTCGATAGTTTCGTGTTTTAAATTGAATTGCCGACAAAATTCTTATTACAATTAATAATATTATTATTATTATTTATTCGATTAAATAGTTAAGTAAAATTTCGGATAAATTAAAAAAAGAAAAAAAAAACACTGAAAGTTCTTGTTTCTAAGACTTACTCTTTTGATATTATTTTACTTTAGAAACATCCACGGAGGAGAGTCTACAGCTCATCCGACAATCTTTAAAGTCGGATGAAATGGATCACCTTGAAGGTACTCATTTTGATAGACTTTTACCACACGTGTTTGTGACACTCGGAGCATCTGTAAGTAAAAAATATCATTTCGAAATTATTACAAGAAAAAATGCTCAAAGAATAAAATTGTATAAATTGCTTAGGGTGATTTAGCTAAGAAGAAAATTTATCCGACTCTCTGGTGGCTTTTCCGTGACAATCTTTTACCAAAAATAACAACATTCTTTGGATATGCTAGAAGCAACATTACTGTTAAACAATTGCGAGAAAAGTGTCATCCTTACATGAAAGTTAAACCGGAAGAGGAAGATAAATATGAAGAATTTTGGAAATTAAATTATTATATTAGCGGTAATTACGATTCGGAAGAACATTTTCAAATTTTGAACAACGAATTGCAAAAACAAGAGAAAGGTTCAATGGCCAATAGGCTTTTTTATTTGGCATTACCACCAAACATTTTTGGATCGGTCACTGTACATATTAGAAAAGTTTGCATGGGACAAAAGTAAGCTTAGTTTCTTCTTCTTCTTTTTCTTCTTCGTAATTTGCGTCAGGATTACGTAAACGTGCATTATTATTATCATCATCGAACGATAAATGAATACTTTTTTTTCTTTCACAGAGGTTGGACAAGAATTATAATAGAAAAACCATTCGGTCGAGATGCTATTTCATCGCAACATCTTTCCGATCATCTTGCGTCACTTTTCGATGAAGAACAAATCTATCGGATAGATCATTATCTTGGAAAAGAAATGGTTCAAAATTTAATGACATTAAGATTTGCAAACAGGATATTGAATTTAAGTTGGAACAGGGATAACATAGCTTCCGTACAAATAACTTTTAAGGAACCTTTTGGTACTCAAGGAAGAGGCGGATATTTTGATGAGTTTGGAATTATTCGAGATGTTATGCAAAATCATTTGTTGCAGATATTATCGCTCGTTGCAATGGAAAAACCTGCTTCGTGTCATCCTAATGATATCAGGTATTACAAATTTTTATACATCAATATACAAGGGATAAAATGTTAAACAGAAGATTTCGATATTTCTTTTGCGTTACATTTAACGCAATGTCGTTTATTGTCTTATTTTCAGAGATGAAAAAGTTAAAGTCTTAAGATGTATAAAACCATTAGAATTAAACAACGTAGTTTTAGGACAATATGTGGGTAATCCAGATTCCAACAACCCTGAGGCTCAATTAGGATATTTAGATGATCCTACAGTACCTCCAGGTTCAACCACTCCAACTTATGCACTAGCTGTACTGAAAATTAATAATGAACGATGGGATGGTGTGCCTTTTATTCTTCGTTGTGGAAAAGGTATGAAATATTTCCTATAATAATTTTACTAAAGTGTTTCTTTTCTTATTGTATAATAAAATATTGTTATACTTTTTTTTTTTTCTCTCGTAGCTCTGAACGAGCGTAAAGCTGAAGTTAGAGTTCAATATTACGATGTACCTGGTGATATATTCGATGGTAAAACAAAAAGAAACGAATTAGTTATAAGAGTACAACCTGGTGAAGCATTGTACATAAAAATGATGACCAAATCACCTGGTATCACTTTTGATATGGAAGAAACAGAATTAGATCTCACATACAGTAATAGATACAAGGTGACTAAATATTATTCATTATAAATATAATAATAATAATAATAATAATCATGAAAGATTTGTTGAAAATCATTATTAACATTTATCGTAGGATTTGAAATTACCTGACGCTTACGAGAGATTAATTTTGGACGTTTTCTGTGGATCGCAAATGCATTTCGTTCGTAGCGATGAACTTTCCGAAGCGTGGAGAATTTTTACACCATTGTTACATCAAATAGAACGGGAAAAAATACCACCTATTCCTTACAAGTAAGTTATTATTTTATATCTACATTTAATTGTTCACTGATGTATGTTTTAATTAAATTTATATACAAATTTATAGATATGGCTCTCGAGGACCAAAAGAAGCCGACGATAAGGCAAAGGAAAATAATTTTGCTTATTACGGCTCCTATAAATGGATATCTTCGTAAGATATTTAAAAAAAAAAAAAAAAAAAAAAAAAAAGAAACATTAAGTTTATATATAATTGTGAAACTGATAAAAATATAAAAACCAATTTATTTTTGTACAATCCGTGATTGTGATATATCAAGATTTTATACAATAATTAAGATGGCATTTCTGTAATTTTGTACACAGTATATATCAAACTTTCTACATTGATGACACACGCACATAGATATATATATATATATATATATATATATATATATATATATATTTTGGTATTACAGAAAGACATGCCCTATTTTTATATATGTATGTATTCCTATTAATATTGTTGTTATACATGAGAAATTTTTTATATAAAAACGCGAGTTTATTTATTTCGGGATTAAAGATACAAAGCTATTTTCTACTTACGTTATACTTTTATTAAATCTTGACAATTGAAACATTATGCCAATCACTTGAAATGTAACATACATCAGTTAAATAATATAAATTACAGAAAAAGAGAGAGAGAAGGATGATATTGGCTTGATATTGTTTAAACATATATTACAATAAATAAATCGAAGAAAGTTAATTCACATATATTTTTGTTTTTAAATTGTATAAGACTGTAGTTTTGAATATTATACAAGCCAATTGTGATCTGTGTGTATGTACTATGATACTATACATTTACATGTAGTTCTATGTTATTTCTCTTCGACTCTTTCTCTTTTCTTTTTTTTTTCTTTTTTTTTTATACAAAATGATCAATTGCGTTTAGAATATATAAGTCAATAAAATTTGTATTTTTTTTTTCCTTCTTTGGCAATAAACATAAATAGATTAAATTATTTTTAGGATGCTGTAGTTGAACACCAATGTTCTAAGACGTTATAATTTTACTTGCATATTGTCACTGTTATAATGGATAAGATGGGTACATATAAAACTCATATAAAATCTGGAAAGTTCGATTTGCTGTAATACATCATATCGTATCGGGAAATATATCCGTTGCGTTATTATAAATAATAAATGTATATAAAGCTAGATGATATAATAAGAAAAATATTAAGTCATAAATAGCAATATAATGTCTTAAATTTTTAATAATTACATTTAGAAGAGATAAATATACCGAATGATTATTAGTATTGAAGAAATAAATATTTGTTGCCATCAACAGTAGAGATTGTTAAAATAATATAAAAACGAAATATAAAAAAAAAAAAAAACATCTCGCGTTTCATTTTACAAATATTCACTCTAAAATTAGCTAGTTTGTTAAACATTTGCTATATTAGAGCCATCCAAGTACAATTTACACAAATAAAAATGAAATTAGATTATGATGTTGATATGGCAATGTCTTTTGAACACTTTTCACAATAGTACATGATTTGTAAAAATGTCAAAATTTGATCCAGGTCTATCAATCGATGAAAATACTATTTCTATACTTTACACTTATTCAAAACTTTAAATTTCACAAGCTTCAGGATCCAACAGTTCATCCCAATTAATACTTCTTTGAAACACTTCTTGTTGTAACCATAATTCGTAATGCTGTTTGAATTCTTCTGTTAATTTTACATTCGTACCGAGTACAGAAGTAACAGACGTATCAACAGGTTCTAATTCATCGTCTTTAGGAGCATTAGAATATCGTCGATTATTAAATTGATCAACACAAGTACGTAATTCACATTCCTCGACTTGAAAATCCCATGGTCGTGCTTCTAAATCTATAAAACGTAGAACTGTATTATAATATAACATATAAAGAAATAGAAAATTAAATGATCGATAAAACTGCGACTTATATGCAATCAAATGAATATTTACCATTACCATAGGCCCAGTCGTCGTTAAGACGATGCCTAACTTTAGCATAAATTACACTTATAGTTTTCATATTTGTTTTCCGCCATTGTCGTCCGAGATACTTTGTTTGCATTTTCAACAATTTTAGAACATATAATTGCATCATAGCATGCCTCACTTTTAATGTACGTTTTAGAATGGGTGCTGACTTAAAAACTACTAGCATCTATGAATGTATGTATATGAAAATAAATGTCTTTTTGTTTTTTTTGTTTTTTTCGTTTATTTCTTTTCTATTAATCATTCACTAATTATTAAAAATATTAATATAACTTACCATAATTCTACTGTGTTTCCACTTGGTTAATTTATTCAAAATTCTTAATAAATTAATACATGAAAAAATATTACGCCAAGAGTACGTTTGATTGTCTCCAATTTCAAGACTTTCAGGCGTTAATTCTGGTTGATCGCCAATAACACATATGGGAAAGTCCAAAATGGGAATTCTGTAATGAATTTAAAACAATTACAACAACAACAACAACAACAACAAATAGTCAACAAATTTGTAAGAAAGATGCAATTTAACTTACACATGTCTTGCTTCAATATAAGACAAGATGTTTTGATTTAAAAACTTCAACACAAGAGGTATGCAATTAGCAAATACTAAATGTTGTGACATAAATTCAAATTGATATATGTGATTCAATTTGAAGTGTTTTAGTAAAAGAAGTAAAATAGCAGAAACCGCTTTAACAATGATTTCCTTATGTCTATTAACATCATTTCCCAATTTCATTGATTGAAATACTGTCATTCTACAAACATAAAAATATTTCAATTAATCACACACACACACACACAAACACATAAAACTATTATAATATTATAATAGTTGTAAATAATATTTGAAAAAAACATAAAACACTAACTCTTTCTTATTACATAATAAAAAATATGTAACATACGGCATTTCTTCTGGCAGAACATCCGCCATTATATTAACACTATCTGTTTTGGCTTTGCTGGTTGGTGCAGCAGCAAGTAAAATTTTTAATAATGCAATCATATACTGTGGAAGATTAGGTAATATGGCTTGATATAAAATTTCTGTTGGAGTTTGACGAAGAGGAGGTTCTGGAGTACTCATTGGATTTCTAGCTATTTCTTCCTCCTCTTGAATTTGAACTTCAGCTAAAGATGTATACATATGCTAAAAATGCATATATACACATATATATATAATGAATGAGTTTGTCTAAATCTTCCATTGCACCAAATGAATATTTGGCTTACTCTTTTAAGCGTGTTGACACCTTCGTGTATTGGTTGTGGTAAACCAGCTAAACTTTCTCTATCTCCTTGTAATTTATAACCAACGAATTTAAGTCTGGACACTTCCAGGAACGTGTCAACATCTTTCTGCCGTACTTTTGGTGTCCATGGTAGACCTACAAGATAAAAATAAATATATTATAAACGGTCATTATAAACAATGAAATGTTTACTAGTGTAAAAGTTAGCGATGTAGCTTATCTTTCCCTTTGTTCATCTGTGGAGTATAAGGCCTTAATTGAGATTGATTATATCGTTCTTCGTAATAAGTTTGATTCCAACCAGGAATACCTGGTTGACTTATGAAGTTGACCATTTCTCCTTCACCTTCATTTGTTGTAGGATTATTTCCTGGTTCTCCACCCTCGTACTCCATACCTAAGCCTGGCTCATCTAATGAACTTTGTTTCATTAAAATCTAGAAAATATTTGATTTCATTAATAAATGTAAGAAATAAGTGTATATACACTATGTGAAGTAATAATTATAACCTACCCGTCTAAGAGGTCTTTTATTACATTTCTGATTTTGTGTTTCTATTAAATCTGGTGCATTAGCAGGAGGAGAACTAGCCCTCATGGTTCTAGCTACTTCTATTGTATCCTCTTGTTCTGCATCAAGACCAGCTTCTTCTCTATATTTTTTCTTTAATTCTCTGAGTGTATCAATACCACCCAAAGAAACTAATATTAATTTCCACAAGAGTAAAAGAACTTTTTTCATAGGAAAATGAGGTGCAGACCCGCTACAAAAACAAGTTACCATTCCAAGTAGTTTCACAATAAGTAATTCCTCGCCATATGGATTTACTGAAAAAGATAATAGGATAATAATAATAATAATAATAATAGTCATCGATTACCTTATACAATTATATTTTTTACTTTGAATAATTACCAAGTTCCTCTTTAAAAGATTCAACATAATCTGCATAAACGCTGTACTCTTTATTTTTTATTTCTTCTCTCATAACTTCTGTGATAATATACAAAACAGAGAGAATTATCCTCAAATCAACAGAATCTGCAAGACTGACAGCTAACTTTCTCATCGCCAAGCTAGCAGTTGTACTATTTCTGCATAATCATAAGAAAAATCATATACATTCAAATATATTTGCTAACTATTCTATTATCGTAGAGAGAAATAAAATGGAAATTTACTCAATTTCAATATTTAAAAGTTCTACGAATGCTGGAAAGACACCGGCTTCATAAAGCAGCATGACATTTTTTCTTGTCCATTCTTGCTGTTCTTTGTCAGATTGCACTTCAGCCCAACAGCCTTGAACTAAATATAAGATACAACGAGCAGCTTTCATCCTTAATTGTTTATTAGATACTTCCAATTGATCTAATAATTTATGTATAACTGATTTTTTTTGTGATGCATCCAACTTTTGCCACCAGGGACATAGCTTATACCATTCCATCTGATCTTCAAACGCCTAGAGTTAATAACATATATAAGTTATGTGATATTAATATAGAACATTGTAAACAATTAAATCGACAATATTTACAATCTTACTTTGAAATTAAGTTGCAACTCATATTGTTCGGTATAGCTGTATAACTCAGCAATTTCATTGGCATGTGTGTCTGCATCATCATAAACAAAATCCAAATCTACACTTTTCGGTTCATCCTAAGAAGTAAGAAGAAAACTACATTGATAACGATGCTTGTAAATCTTCATACTTTTTATAATAATGTGTGTAAAGCGATATGATTGAAAAAAGAAGTTTATATGTATACCACATAGCTTGGTAATATATATATATATGTATAACAATCTATTAGAGATTAGGTTAAGAAAAAATCAATATACGACGTAAATCATTACTCATGACCATTTGTCAATGTAATGATCATGTTAACTACCTAGGGAAAATGTACTTTTACTTTACCTCACTTACATCTGCATCAACGTTTTGTCGATAATCTCCACGTCGAAAATCCCGCTTTCCAAAAATTCCATCCGTCCGTAGGTCACATGACATTTTGTGATAATGATTAAAGTACGGACGGGAGGAGAAACCGATGGACACATTTAAGGTAGACGATGTCTTAGAATTATCTCCACTTTCTACAACAAAACTGTACGCGAACAGGTTTACATTTGAATAAATACAAAATATTAATATGGACAATACATATTACGAATGGAAATCATTATTTCCGAATAAAAGCAACAGACAGACACATTTCTAAACTATAATAATCGAATAACTGATTCACAAGTTATTCTTACAAAGACTATAAACTGCAAGCTGTTCTCTAGGCTCGTTTCGTTTCGTCCGATCTGGACAAAACAGTCACATACAAGAGTATAGAAGTTGCGCAAGTAACATTCCGTTTTGGCCGCGTCCGCCATTGGTGGACTTTCCGTCGGGCCGCGTCAGTCACCGCTGGCTGACAGCGTATTACGTGATATTTCTAAGCGGCGCCCGTGGCCTGACGAGGACTTCTTTGAAATGAGCGTGGCACTCAACGTGCTATACAGGGTGTAACATAAATACACGACTAAACTTTAACAATGAATGCACAGTTGACGTAGTTTCAAAAATGATTCATTTCTGAGTTGCCAAACAATCACTATGTTAACATTTTCTAACATGGAATTTTCCAAATGTCATTAACCTTAAATAAACCAATAAATGGATATTCATTTTTTCAATTTTGAACATACTCGTAATTATGATTATGAGATATTTAGTAAAATAAATCGAACATGTTTGCATATTTGAAAATGATTTCTGTCATTTTATGTTTGCGTTAAATTAGCCAATCACAAAAGACGCTTAAAGAGTAGTGCACTGGTTTAGCGTAGAGTCCTGCAAATGGAAGAGACAATAAACTCGACAAATAGTTCTGTTCGATACAATTTTCTACAAACATCTAACAAAGCTTTTTCTTTATTTACAAGATTAATTGTATTAAAACATTGACAGAATGCAGGGTACAATAATAGAAAACTTAAGCGGCAAGAAACTTTCGGTATTAGTAATTATGCTTATTATTGCACAAATTGTATGCTTTTTAATAGGCGGCCTCATAGGTAAGTAATCTTAATTGCATTTATGATTCTATTATAAAACAATGTATTATTGATCTTAACAATTTTTTCTTATTTTCTATTTCAATGTTTTATTTTGGAAAATAATCATTTTTTTCATTTGTTTTAAGTAATGTTTTACTGTCACACAACAATGGATATGTAAATTTTGTTTATTGTTTTGATTATATGATGCTATTAGATTTGTTTCCTTTATTAATTAAATTTCATTTCTAACGTTTTTATTTGATATTAAAATTGTTTTCTTATTAATAAAAATGATGACTTTTTAGCACCTACACCTGCTACAAGCCAAAATATATTAGGTACACCTTGTGAAGATATAAGAATTAATGGAACTGAACCAGGTGCAGGAAAATGGTTTTATTCAAGAGGCAAAGGTTCTTGTACTTATGTGGATATAAATCATTTTAGTTTGGATAGTCATCATCAAGCACATCAGGTGGTTTATACATTTCTGGTAAGTATTTTATTATTATGTTAATGTCATATTGAATTGCAAAAATATATATATATAAAATTAGAAATTTGTTTGAATTATACTGTAGATGCCTGGTCCACGTGGTAACTTGCAATTGGATTATTCTAGATGGCAACAAAATCTTATAGGAGTTTTGCAGGTGGATATTGTATATCATAGTCAAATTCAAATTGGTAAATTAATTATATAAATATATGTGCATATCTTTGTGTAGTTAATATTTACTGATTTTAACAATAATTTGTATTTTTGTTTGTTCAATATAATAGCACCTAGAACTAAAATAACTCTGGATGCAAGACTTGCTTATAGAAATAAAGAAGATCCTGAAGATGCATGGAAACCATATGCTTCTTCTATAATAGAAAGAATCTTGGATTGTAGCATTGATGATGTAAATGATCAACCCTTTTTTTTTCAAATCAATCAATCAATCATTTATGATTTATTCATTAATATTGTTTTACTTGTAGGCCATGGAACAATATAACTATAATTGTAGTGTTGTACCTTTGTTTGAATTGGGATCATTATTTCATGACTATTATTTATTAAATATTCGTATTCCTGCTGATACTGATAGAAACATTAATCAAGGTTTAGGACACATAACAGATTTATGGCTTACTGTAAGTAATACATTAAATATAATTGTAAATAGCATATATAATATTTTAACTTCATTTCAGGCTATTAATCAAAATGGTGGCTTTACAAAAGTATGGGTAAGTCTTAAAACTGTTTTCTTCCCGATTGTGATCTGTTTTTTGATATGGTATTGGAGAAGAGTTCACATGTTATCAAGATTACCTGCACTTTTGGAATATATGCTCTTGGCTTTAGGAATGGCTTTAACATTTTTAAATTGTACGTAATTATTTATACAAATATCTAATTTCATTGACGTACAATTAATAAGTATAAGTAATATATTAATTGTTATACAGTACCCATGGAATATTTAACTCTCGCATACGATATGCCATTTATGCTTCTGTTGGGTGATATCAGACAAGGAATATTTTATGCAACACTTTTATCTTTCTGGCTTGTTTTTGCAGGAGAACATCTTATGGTAAGAATCCTTCTTTTTATATACAAATAGTTTATTTATATTCCCATTAAACTTATTAATTATATTTTTTCTTTCATATTATATCACATGATGCTACATCAGATTCAGGTACGTTTAAAATATTTTTGTTATTAAAAGTTATATTAAAAAATGAATATTAATGTTTTTCTTAAATATAATGAAATGTGTGTTTAGGAGGGTGATCAAAGGAATTCCTTAAAATGTTATTGGCGTCATCTTTCTGCAGTGGGCATAGGGTGCTTATCGTTATTCATCTTCGATATGTGTGAACGTGGAGTACAATTAAGAAATCCATTTTATTCAATATGGGTAACAGATGTCGGTACTAAAATGGCAGTATCCTTTCATTTACAAAACTATGTAGATTTATATTATAATTTATTTTTAATATTTATTCCTTAAATAATAAATCACAGTTATCTTTTATCATTTTGGCTGGACTTTCGGCAGGTGTATATTTAATATTTTTAACTTACATGATATGGAAAGTATTTATGAATATAAGTGTGAAAAGAGCTACATTACCTAATATGAGTTCAGCACGTCGTTTACATTACGAAGGTGTGATATATCGTTTCAAATTTTTGATGGTTGCCACATTATTATGCGCTTCATTAACAGTTATCGGATTTATACTTGGCCAGGTAACGATTCCTGATGAAATTTGTAGAGTTACTAATTTCTCATGATCATAATAAAAAAAACAACTCTCTCACTCTGTATATTTGTAATAGGTCGCAGAAGGACAATGGAAGTGGGATGAGGAAGTAGAATTACAAATGACATCGGCATTTTTCACTGGAGTTTATGGAATGTGGAACATTTATACTTTAGCATTATTATGTCTGTATGCACCATCTCATAAACAATGGCCGATTGAACCATCAGGTTAATATCTCTTTTATTATTTTATTTTATTACAACTTATTTAATATTTATAGATCGTTGTGTTTATATATAGTTTTAAATAGTTATGAATAAAATTCTATATTATGTAAAATCGTGAATTACAGAACACAGTATTAGCGAAGAGATTGAATTTTCGCGGCTTCCTACTGATCCCAACGAGATGTTATCACTCACAGCATTTGCCCGAAAAACAGCTGTGGAATAAACATCTTAAGTACTTATTCGTTAAAAAGTAGAAAAGATCTGTAGATTTTTCAGTATTCACAGGATAGTAGCAGATACGACTGATAATATTTAAAGCATCAATTTTACATGCCAAAACTATTTATTATTCCAAATATTTGGGATTTTTAATCTACTTAAATGAGCTTTTAAGTTACTATATCGCTTATATAATAATGTGTGATATATAAAATTAGTATGAAAACCCATTGCTTGACGAATTAGATAAAAAAAAACATTTCGAAAAGCACAAACTTTTTTCTTCCAGTATATTAGTGGAAGAAATAGTGGAACAAAAATGAATTTGTATACCTTATACAAAAATCTTTATAAAATTTATACAATTTTCAGAAAAAACATTTTTTACTTCTATAGTCGACATTTGAAAATTCCGAGAAAATTTTTAAATCTTATATCGTATGATGATATCACAAAAACAAACAGTATACGAGAGATCATTTATAAATCTATAAAAAAAGTTACTTCCCAGTATTTGTTTAACTTAATTATATTGCATTATATGTGCAATTATAGAATTTACAAATGGTATTAATATTTTTAAATTAGCAGTTGATGGAATATTTTATAAGCAATATATAGAAGTAATATAGAAAATAGAAATAGAAAATAGATCGATCATGTATTTTTTAGTTCATCGTATTTTATGAATTTTATTAATTAAGAGAAGAACCCGTTCCGTCTTGTTATAGTACATATCATTGCCAGGCAATTATTATATCTATATTTAATCTTTACAAACATGCATTTAATCATACAACAATATTATAGAACAAATTAGAATTGAGATTATATACATAAACTATAGCAGCATCTTTCTCATACTACATATAGTATGTCATGTTTTATTGGTATGACTTGCACATTTCATAACGTAGTTTGCACGTCGGATTGAATATTTTAGAGAACACAAATATTAATAAGAAATTTCGTGCCAATTCAATTGAATGTAATTATTCTGTTCTTTATCACATCTTGTCACGTTATATAAATAACGATTATAAGTCAATGGTAATTACATACAATATATATATATATATAGTACTTTGTATTATTATATAATTTACACATAACAATTAGAAATAATTTAATTTAATGAAACATTATTGCAAGTCAAGTATTCAGAATTTTATTCAAAGTGCAATATTGCTTCTTATGTTTTAAATAAGTTGCTTAATATTAACTAGAATATTATGTAGAATACTTGTAGATGAGATAAAATTATAAAGAACACTTAAAAGTTGGCGATGTATTAAGATATTTAATACATTTGTGTATTTTTGGCATGCAAAATCATTACATTCATTTGATATCATTTTTTTTGACTGATTTTATATACTTAATTATTAATATACTACAATGCAGGTGGAACAAAAGTACAATATATTTTATTTTGGAAATAAACTAACGAACATAAACATTTTAAGAAATTATATATATTGTATTTTATAATAGAAATGAAATTGTGTTTCAGGTAACACTGCGTTCAATATAATGTGAAATTTTGTCTAATGTCTACATTTATATAGATTTTTCAATTTAGTAAAATTTTATACTTTTTTTAATAAATAATTACATCTGTTGTGTAATTGTGTTAACATTTTTTTACTACTACTCGAATTTTTGTATAATAGAAAAAGAAAATGTTTTTAAAAATTTGATTTTGGTGCAAGCAATGTTACTTGCCAAAATTCGACCAATTACAGGCCACATAAGATCTCTATCTATCTTCACATTGTACCTAATATTATTTTGTTTATCAACTTTCTATACGTGGATACGCAACTAATTTAACGTTTCTAACGTAACGTAATATAACGTAATCAACGATGGATCTTATATTAGTTATTGAAAAAGGTGTTTATTCGACGTTATTAAATTTTCAAGCGATCGATTTTTCACGCTATGAAACATAACACTTCCTATGAAATTCGATTAATATCAAATAGAAATAGATTCTTCTCAATTCGAAGAGAAAATATATCGGAAAGTATTTTTCTACCGTATTCTACGGAAATAGATTCCTCTTCTATTTTTGGTAAGTCATTTAACGATTAACATATAGGTTAGACATAGATAAAACATGCATAACGTTATATTATGCATTTTTGTTAGAAGTACGAATTAATAATTAGTCAAACCGACATTTAACTTTGGAATGTTCGATTTTTGGTATAAAGAATATGACGTTTTTTCTTATATAAAGTAACAAAAAATTATCATATAACATGTATATGTATGTGTATGAAAGAATAGATAAAGTCGTTCTAGAAATTTCGAGAACCTGCTACATAGGCTCTCTAATGTAATAAAATGTTGAACATAAGAGAAGTTTGAAAAGCCCGCTTTTGTTAAAATAAGATGGTGGCTCGAACGGTAAAGCGTTATCTTGCGTGAATTAGTCGAAGCTCGTATGGGTCGAGATCAGTTGGAGAAAGAGAGAAAGATAGAACGAAAGAAAGAAAAAGAGAGAGTGAGAGAGGTTGACGAGCGAAGTGGGGAGGTAAGAAGGAGAGTCCAGTACGTCGAGGAGAGAGAGTAGTATCGCAGATGCAGTGAAGTCGTCCGTGGGTTGACAGGTTGTGCGTGGTGGGTGTGAAGGAGTGCGAGAGAGAGAGAGAGAGAGAGTAGTGTGAGGGGGGAAGAGAAGAAAAGAGAAGAGAAAAGAGCTAGCCGATGGTAGCGAGAGAGATAAAGAAACAGAAGAAAGGGACATCGTTTTGTTGTGCGTCGAAGAGACGCACTTGAGATCGTCATTGCTCGTGTTTATTCGTAGCAAACGACCGACGACGAAATGATTCTTTAAAGTTTACTGAGGAGTATTCTCTTGATCGTTTTATAGGAGTGTTTGAGAACAAAGGGTGGAGGATAATACGACGACGACGACGACGACGACGACGACAACGACGACGACGACAACGACACGTCAAGTAATTTCGGTCTATCGGTCGATCGGTCGTATTGTTGGTCGTACTATCGGTCGGTCGTACGGACGACGAGACGGAGGGGGTGAGAAAGAGAGCGAGAAAGAGAGCGAGCCTGACGGAGGGATAGAGGGAAGGGACGGACGGATTGACGGACGGATGATCTGACGTTAGTTTAAATTCGGTTTGATATTCGGAGGATCAGTCTATTTTATTGTTCACTTTGTGTATCGTTTATTTGAAACAACTCAAGAGGGATTCATTTTTTTGGTTTAAAGGAAGAAAGAAATTTGATTGGCCGTCGACGATTGGACGTCGTTGTCAGTGTATATATAGTGCGTCACTGTTTATTTGAAAGTTTTTCTCCGTTTGTGGTATTGGGGCACATTAACGATATAATAATCAAAACGAAAGTCAAAACAACTAAGACGTCGAACGGTGATTATTGGGTGCGCGTGTCTTTGTTTTTCTTTCTCGGTGCTCGATATTCAGGAGGTTTGTTGGTGGTGGTGCGACGGACAGAGTACGTGTTACCGTGAAAAGGAGACGAGAACGAAGAGAAGGAGGAGGGAAAAAAGAAGAAGAAGAAGTAGAAGGCGAAGACGAAGAAAAGAACAAGAAGAGGAGTCAGTTGCTTTGGCGTTGGAGGAGGAGGAGGAGGAGGTGGAGGAGGAGGAGGCGGAGGAGCAGCAGCAGCAGCAGCAGCGGCAACATTTACCCGTGAGTTCACGAAGCCGTGTGTGCTGGATACGTAGCGGACTCTTGTGGAGGACCTTCGTGCGTGGAGCTACGATCGAGCAGCACAGCTGATCCAAGGACTCGGGTACGAAGGGCTCTTACACTTGCCAATAACAATCGACAAATATGTCGTCCCCCAGCGCTGGAAAACGACGTATGGACACGGACGTTATCAAACTGTATCCTTATAACTTTATCAATTTATTGCTTTTTTCTCCCTTCAAATTTCCTTTAATAATCAATTCAGCCCTTTGCTTTAACTTGCCAAGTATTCTTTCATATAATTTTTTCTCTCTCTCTCATTCTCTTTCTTTGTTCTTTGTTTGTTTCTCTGTCTGTTGCTGCTGCTGCTGCTCTTGTCTCTTCTACTGTACACACGTGTTCACAATACAACATAACAGTGAGTGACTCGTTCTTCTTATACACGCATTCATGTTTTCTCTTTGCAAGAGCATGCATAGAGAAAAAACGAATGTGTACGTACGTGAGCGTGAGAGCGTGAGCATGATGCGCGCACGTATGTTTGTTTATTGGGGGCACATACGATCGACCATGCCTCCTGCTGCTGCTGCTGTTGCTGTTACTTCTTCTACTTCTATTTCTATTACTACTACATTTAACGACGAAGAATTTAGTGGGGATGATGATGAGATGGGGTAAGGGAAGGGAGGAATACACGGGAGAGATTTGCACGGCAAGAGTTGCACCAATGTCACACGGGCCAGCGGCAACAACCAGACGAGAAAGTAAAAGAACAAACGTGTTTCATTTGTTTTTTTTTTCAGATATACCTGTCGATAGCTGCACAGCTGTTTTTGAAAACAGCTGATCGTACTTATTTACTTAAATTCATATACACTTTGCCGCACACACACGCACTTTTTTCTCTCCTGATATTATATACATATATATTAAAAGTTTATTCTAGTTCGACGAGATTATACAGTTGAAAAATACGCACGCGCGTATGCATCTTCGTTCGTTGCATCTACACTCGGTAGGATGATTTTGGATGCGTGGCAGAGACAAAGAAATATAGAAGGCGGACAAAGAAGGGCCAGGTAGTTTTCCTTCTCAATGGTTAATCGTTGTTCAACTAAAATTCTTGTCCTTTTATACCTAAATTCTCGGAATTTTGGTCTTCTCTTAAAATTCATCTTGTCTTTGAATATTTTTTATTGAATTGTAAACTCGTTTTTTATTTTTTAGATACACAGAAGAAAATTTCACATAGACATATTAATCGACGATCAAATCACGGGGTTCGAAGTTGAATGAGCTTTGTTGCAAGCGTGTATGCTCAAAGGGGTTGGAACAAAGGGGTTGGGCGGGAAAGAGATTTCGTGAACGTGAAAGACCAGTAATGGAGACGTCGCATCGCTTTTCGGCCTCGATTCGTTGTTGAACGTACGAATGACACGACTCTTCGCAGTTGGACGTAAAAATAAAACGGACGACTATAGAATGTAGTCGCGTAAACGTTACTCTGACGCACATCGGGGGCGAATCAATGCTTTTTCGCGAAACTTGGTCATATGTTTCCTTTTTTTTCTACATTTCTTTTCTACGAATGGATAAAGAAATATTTTGTGACGCTTTGATCTAAAGGATCGAGAATAATTTCAAATTTCCCACGTTCACGGTTTACCTTCGATTGTGATGGCATCTTTTGTATTACAATATTTGTTTGTATTGTTAAAGAGACGCTTAACGCACGAATTTCTCACCTACGTAAATACGCGAGCTCGTTTAATCTCTTTCTTAGGTAGGAATCGACCTCGAGCTACGAAAATTGACTTCCCGTTTGACGTAACACTTTGTCGTCGCTTGGATAACTCCGCTATGTGGATACCTGATACACGAATCGATATTTTATTTTACTTTATTATGCTTACACTTACACTACTCTCCATTTTTTTAACATTATATTTATTCACACTTTGTTACTGTCATCGATCGAATAACTAGTTTAAAAGTATATTTTAGCTAGGATTATTTTGTATGTTGTAATATTGAATATTTTAGAAAATTCATGCGTACGATTGTTCTTGTTCGTTTTTAGATGTGTTCCTTTTAAAAGGACAAACAGTTAACGAAATTTTGCGTATAAATGAAACAACTCTCCCGCGTTTTTTGCTATATATCGATCAGTCTTTGTGTCTAGCTGCGTTAAAGTCAGGGCAAACGCTTCGACGAGCAAAGCAAACATGTTGACTGGTTATCTCTGTCCTTCCTCTTCTTCTTCTTCTTCTTCTTCTTCTTGTTTTGGAACCCTTCCTTTCGTTGATATATAGACTAGCTTTCTGTTAACTTCATGTTCCTAGGGCTTTTATCTTTTGGTCCTGCTATAACGTAGTTTACATACATATTTGTTGACTTTTCTTACGTTGGATGATCTATTTTCAGAGATCGAAAACTTTGCTCGTCGCATGCGAGAACCTTTTAGTAAAGCATATATATATATATATACATACACTTAGGTTAGTATTGTTCTTTCGTTCTTCAACCAGTTTTTGCCTGGTTTTTTACCAGTTAAATCCTGATGCAAAACCTTTTTCTATTCTACAAGTGAAAATGATTAAAAAGATTTCCTAACGTGTCCTAACAACGACATCATCATTTGAAAATAATAAAAAAAGAATTGCGTAGCTTGCAAATTTTTCTATTATATATTTAAATATATTTATATATATATATACGTTTGTTGTTCAATATTTTTTTTTAAATTTATGCAATAGATTACGTTATCAATATTAAATACTTTTATCGATAATTTTTGTAAGTCGTAAAAGTAATGTTTGATCTTTTTCAGTTATCTAGTTGTTTTTAGTAAAACAAATGTTACAAATTTGAACTATGATGAAACTCAAATAATATTATCTAGTAGATATCGAAAAAGATTTGAAATGTTATTTTGGAAATATATAGGACTATTTGGAGAAAAAAATAATGACTATCTATTTGAAGCAAAGACCAAAAGTGAATGTAACATTTGTCACGTTGAATTATATATCATGTGTCTTCCATTCGAGTTCAACGTTGTGTTAAAATACTTCTCGTTCGCGTAAATCACTATTTCAATTTAATTTTCGAAAATGGAATGACGTTTGCTCTCGCCTCGCTTGCTTGCTTGCTTGCTCGCTTGCTTGCTCTGTCGTTCGGGTTGGTCTCATCCTCTCTCATGGTGGTTTACAATAAATCCTTTCCTTTCATCTCGCATACATCATGTTCGTCGTTTGCTTCTTCAACATTCGACCAACCACATCAGATTTTATGTACCAATTTAAAAGCGTGTTTGCCCCCTGACTCGCTCAAACTATCTTCACCAAGTCCTTCCTTTTTATTTTTATTTCTTAGTCGACTAAGTATAAAAATTGGTATGACTCAACGTATAGTATTTCTCACGAAAAATATTCCTGTCAGGTGGCTGAACCAAGTTGCAGTCAATGTAATTTGTAAAAAGGTATCATTGGAATTCTAAAAATGTTAGAGTAAAGTCCTTTGACCGAATGGTTTCGTTCGTATGTTTCTGGGATATTAAGCAAATTGATTAGATTCTAATGAACAGTGTTATCAACGGAGATCCCTAATGGTTTCGCTTTAATGGAATAGGTTCTCGTTATACCGCGTGAACATGTTTATCGACATCAATTCGATTTCTCATTTATTATCCCGAACAATCTCTCGCAATGGTAATTGCAATTCGATCCTATAATATTGTATTTCTTATTACCAATATATATCCTAATATGATATATTACGCTGTATAAAAAACGATTTGAATAATATATATCTATTAAAGAAAATAAGTTGATTTTTGTGCTATCGCGAATTATGAAAATACTAGTTACAAGATGACATAAGAAATCGTACGAATAGTAAACGTTCTAGGATAGTCTGTTGATTTAAGGACTTGGTATAATTGGTTGATTTAAACTTGCTTTGCATAAATTCTACAAAGTTACTTGATTTTTTATCGATTATGTCATCAAACATTGTTAGATCTTAGTACATTATAGTAGTGTGATACTTGGGTGAGGCATCGGGACGCACCTTTTAAAATAGAAAAAAAAAGGAAAAGAAAATATATATCTATGATTTTCTCGAGTATTAGATTTAGAAATTATCTTTTTATACAATTTGAATGGAAGTTTTGTAGATAGAACGTATATAACGCATCTCATTATGCTTTGTTTGAATGTTGAAGGCAGGAAACCTTGATGGAATCGTAAGCAGAAAGGTCGTTCCATTGTAGGTTGGTTATTGAAACGATACGCTCGTCCTCGAGACGTTGCTGCAAGTCTGACAATTTTATTTGAAGGAGAATACTTGGGTGTCATTCTTTGTTTTTTTCTTTTTTTTTTTTTTCTATGGTAAATCACGCGACTTTAGATTACTTTTAGATTAGATTTTAACACGATTCTCGTGTCTCTTTGTAATATTTACTTTTCTATGTTATTTATTTTTGTTGTATTGCATGTTTGAATATTATTCCAAATCGATTGGAATTTGTAGCAATTTAGTTGGAAACCGATCGATCGATGACTTAGTGACTTACATTAGTCTCTCTTAGTAAGGTATCGCGATATAGGTAGATGAGGGAGAAAAAGAGAGAAGGAAAAGGAATCTTTGAATGTGAAGCACAATCTAGAAACTGTGTTGTGACCTCGAATGCGCAAGCGTATTTCCTCGTGGTGGAAGTAGGAAAACGATTGGGGGGCAGTTGTGTGTTGTTCGTTAAACATAACGACACGAGTTTTCATTAGGTATTCTAAAAAGCGTTTGGAAACGACTGAACCATGTACGACTATACCATGGTCGTATGTAATACATATTCGAACGAAGTATGAGTAACAAAGTACTGATTCAATACCAAATGCAATTTTTTATAACGATTCACCTATCTATCTTTTATCTAGTTTTTTCTTTTCTTTTCACTAATAACACAATCGTTACGTTTTCTTACGTTTAAAATCTAGATAGGAAACTTCTTTATCCTCGGGTCTAGCTATAGTTAACTTTAATAATAACCCGTAGTCGTTTCTAACGTTTCATTTTATTATTATGATGCATTGTACATAACGAACGGCACCTTCTTATCGTTCGTAATATTATTATTTGTCGTTATTCTTCTTTTGATTCTATAGATTATTATCTAGATTCGTAATGCGTAATCGTGACAACAAAAGATAGAACGAGATTTTCTACTTGTTTTCATATTGTAAAGTTCTAATGATATTGGAAATGAAATGTTTAGATTTAATTGTGACAGTTATTTAATAATTATATTTACAAAATTGTATTTGTATTTGTATTTGTATTTGTATTTATTTAAAATACAAATGCGTGCGTTAAGAGTATATTTATAACTTTATTTATAAATAACACAAAGATTTATCTAATCCAATTTGCGTCAGACAATTTTATATCTTATTTTTTTTTTTTGGTACGAAGCTTGTCTCTCACACTGTGTAATATGTGTGTACGTTTATACCGTAGCCTTTAATTAGATTTTTATTGTCTTGTTTTTTTTTTCTTTTTTTTTTCTTTCCCTTCGTGTTTACTTTTATTCCGTAATGATGATAGAGCTAAATTTAATGAATCCGAGCGAACGAGTTATTCGCGGTTTCCACGATTCCACGTTTTGCACGTTTCGTGTCTCGTGTGTGGTGAAATACTTTGAAATATATGTGTATATTGGAAAACGTATTATGCGCTTCCAGGAAATGGAGTAGAATTACTTTTTTACTTTTCTCTAATATCGTTCTGTTTTTTGTTTGTTTATTAAGTAGAATGCATTTACATATTCATTGAATTTTCGAACTATTGATTTTATTTTCTTTCATCGGTATACAAATATCGATAGTAGTTAATTGGAAAATAAAATGAATTGACCGACCCCTATTCTCATTTGGGATTGGTTGAGATTGATGTTACAGGATAATCCCAATTCTTGTTGTTGTTGTCGAGCAAACATTTTGCAACGCATGTGTTTATCGCGTACACAATTTTATTCGTAATGAAAAATATGATAAATAATGTAAAATTAAAACCAAAAAAAAAAAGGGAAAAGTAGCATTCGTAGAAATACGCTGAGCACTTTCTAACGAAGCTCATCGAAAGTTTTGCTTTACACGCAAGAGATAAAATCGTGCCAATGACCGCGACCTGCGTCAAACGTGTGTGTGTGTGTGTGCGATATTATTCGATAGACTATGATAAAACGTGTCGTTTCTCATCTTGACAAAAGTTCTAAATTGATTCTAAACAAAAAAAAAAAAAAAAAAANTGATGTTAATAATATTACATTTCTATTTTGAAATTTTACACATTACCGTTGTTATTATTTATTTTTTATTTTATTATTATTGATTCTAAAAAAAAAAAAAAAAAAAAAGAATAAAAATGAACTTTTATTGTAACTCACGATAGAGTTACATCGTCGTTGTAGTTACGTTGTTGCATTACGTTGCATCGATCGTAACGATTATGGCAATTCCTTAGAGAGATTGTAAAACATGTTTTCACGATCGAGAAATTGAGAGAGAGAGAGAGAGAGAGAGAGAAAAAAACATTTCTTATCGTATTTTATACAATTCGTTTCATCAATTTACCTTTCAAACGATTCATTATTTCAGCATTGTATTTTTCCTTAATTTAATATTGTAAAACAGAATAGAAAGCAAACACGAGGTGACGATTCTCGGAGGACTCAATGAATTTTCCGTCAAATTCTACGGACCACGAGGGAGTAAGTATTAATTCATTATTTCTTTTTTATCATTAAAATACCATTTAATTTTATATGATCATTTTTAATGGAGGAAAGCTTTCATTTGAATTCGATAAATATATTATGATGCCCTTGTATTTCTTTGCGTGCGAATAGCTCGTAGACTATACAAATTTTCTTTTAAATGTCGTCCCGTCCGCTGCATCCATTCATATACATACACATACACACGTACACGTACACTTATACATATGCAGGATCGTTTTACGTGTTCACATTGCGTCTCTCATCTATTTTGATATTTCCAAGGTCGACGCGCTTTTCTCGTCACACCGGATATACTTATGCAATGGCGCGTACTTCAGTTTTTTTCCTTTGATTCAAATGCGAAGAATTTTATATCGATTGCTTGTGGTAATTGTATTGCTAATCGAAACTTTCTTGACTTCTCGTTAACACAAGGAGAGTTGTTGTTCATTCAAATTAAATTAGGGGATTTCGAATTTATTTCATATCTGCCTCCTCCTCCCTTTCTCTTTTACTTTTTCTTAAATTGTATACAATATAATGGGGGATATAATATATAATTCTAAATGATAAGATTAGTTCGTTCTCTTAGAGAGAACGTTTTGATTTCACAAAAGTACCTTGTCAATTGGCTTTGCTAGCACTTTGACGAGGAGGAAAATTGTGTAACGAGTACAGAGAGGAGTTGAACCTTCTTCACGATTACGCTCTTTACTACTACTACTACTACTACTACTACTACTTGTGCAAATCGTAGACGTTTAGAAACTCTGTTGGAAAAGTGAATATAAATTTGAAGCAAAAGAAAGGGATCGTCGTCCGTAAGCGCAGCAACTGCAAATGATGAAGTAACCATACTACTACTCTCTTCCAATTAATTATATGATTATACATACAGTACAAAGAACTTAGATCGAGCAATCGATATAACGAAAAAAAGGGAAACAGAAAAAACAGATTAAAGCAAGCATATTTTCTTTTAGTAAAAACGAAAACATCAACGAAAGTGAAAGACTACGCGTGTCTCTCTTGAAATCTTGACGTTAACGAAAAATGACGAAAATAGATGATAAGCTTAGTTATTTTTGTTCATTGTTTTTGTCAACGGATATCGCTGTTAGTGTAGAAATAATAAAATTAAAAGTGCTTATCAATTCAAAGGTAATAATAGGCCTTATCGATTTTTTTATCTCACATTGTGCAATATTTCATTTGTTCAACGTGTTTAAATTATCATCTTGTGAAATGCCGTATAATTAAGGACAATTGATAACAATTTATTTTATGATTTAGTTTATAATGTATTTTTTTCTATTTTCTTTGTTTTCGATCCTAGTGCATTGTACTATACTATATATACATATAAAGTAAACACGCACTATTCGGGTTGTCTCGAAAGAAGAGTAGTAGTAAAAGGAGTAGTTTGCTTTGGAAAGGTTCGTTTGGAAAGGTTCGTTTGGAAATGGCTGTAAACGAGCAGCAGTCGGTTGATATACATCGCAGATACCGCAGTGCAACGGGTGACCCACTTTACTCTGGGGAAGGCGTTTAGTACGCCCTAAGATTTTTCTACTATTTGTATACGCACGAAAGAGAGTCGTTTCATTTTTCCAAATATTCCCAAAAGTCACATTTTTATTCGATTGTGATATGGATCGTTAATGAAAATTGAAAATAAATCATTATTTTCGTAAACGTTATTTCGACAATTGATTCTATTAAGCTTATCTTTTATCGAAATGACTAAATTCCCACGTTATATTATTGCATTTAAATGTTGAAAGGTACGCAAGCGCATCGACATTCGTGTTATTTCACGAACGTGCGTCATAGAAATTCCGATCGAAGGGATTTTGAATAATACCTACTAGATATATAAGATTAATACCCTTTGCATTCGAGGGCTCTGCTACAGAGATAATAAAAAAAAAATAAAAAAAAACTGAAGCAAATTCAATTTAGTCTACTATATATCATTTATGATTTTTCTATTGAAATTGCTTTCTGATTTATTGCTAATATATGTAATGAAAAAAAACAAAAAAACAAAAAAACTTGGAGTGCAAAGGTTTAATATTTCTCTTAGTTAGATATTTATTCTAATAAAATAGCGAGATTTGAGGATTATTAATTTGAACTTTGAAATAATGCCAAATACCTTGTTTGTTCAGTTAAAATTATAAAAGTATTGGTAGTGGTAATAACAATTACGATGATAGATAAATGTTCCATTACAAATGTAGCTATGCATTGACGTACGATTTGATTGCAAATCCAAAGATGGATTTGTTTGCCTTCACTTGCATTCTGTTACCAACGGTACACGAGCATGTGAGTCAATAGTAGGAACAATTTTGATGTACGATATAACTTTTTATTAAATCATTCAAACATCGTTTTACTTTATATAAGTAATATTATATAAAATCGTTAAGAACAATGCTATAGAAATGATTTTCATTAATTGTTGAAATTATAATAAAAGAATATTTAAACTATGAAATAATTCAAATATTACATGCATCAAGTTTCTGCTTTTGCACACACATAATTGGAAAGTAACGAAAATATTAAGCATACTATTTTTAATAATTTACTAAATTACTCTGGGATGTATAATTAAACCATATAAATTTAAATTTAGAAAGAGAATATAAATATACAGCAGAATTTTGGATATATAATATAATCCTTTGAACAAATTTAGCTCGTTACTCGGTGAAATGATTTTAACGAGCAATTCAAAGACGGATAATAAAATACGTCGAGATTTGTACGAGGACGAAAATAGGATAATATAAATGAAAGCAAAGATAACGAACCGAAGATGAGTGTTTTATCGTTATGGAATTATACAAATTATAGTATCAATCGCATCGTGTGTTTGATGACAACAACAAAAAATAATAAAATGAAAATCAACTAGTTCTCTTTTGCTTATCAAAGAAAGCTTTAAACTGAAGTTTCTACTGAACATTATTGATAATAATGTCACTAATCTTTGTCGTTTAAAGAAAGTATAGTTTAAGTAAGTTAACTCGAGTATGATGATGTCTAAGAAGCTAGGTTAACAGCATTAGTCTTATGTTGGAATTCTTGCTTCGTTCTATTAAAACAGCAACACAACAAATATTACACGGTAATATTGAGAACGTAGAAAAAACTATTTTCTATTTCGAATATGAAAATAATATGAAATCGTAGATGGAAAAGAAGAACAAGACCAAGACTTTTCATTTTCTAGACGATACAGCTGACCGTCATAATTATCGATACGCATTTGTATGTCAAGAAAATGATCTGGCTTATTATTTTTTTTAATTTAATAATACTGTCTGCTCTTTTTTATATTCGTGAAAAATTTCAACATTTTTCTTCGTTCGTTCACAGTTTATATTCGCCGTTATCATTAAAGACAATTTGCACGTGTTTACTTATTCTGTTTATTCTCTTTTGCCAACTTTGTAAGAAAGAGAGAGAGACAGAGATTTAGATCAATAGGATCGAGAAAGAAAGAGAAGGAAAATCTTGAAGTAGATAGATAAAAAGGTCGAGTACGTTTATCAAATCGCACGATGCTAGCAATCTTGGCTCCTTCTTACAAACACCGCTCTTTGTTTTATGAGGCAAAAAATGAACGATGGATAAATATCGTTCAATTTCGTCTCTCTCTCTCTCTCTCTTTATTTATTTTTAATTGTAAGTGTTTGTCTCTTCCACCTACGCAATCATCTCGTTAGCCGATGATGATTCATCATTTTATTTTCACCACCACATCGGATATCTGTTCGTTTCTATTCGTTTTTATCAATATCAAAATAATAAATTAAGAAAAATAAATTGGAAAGGCGATATTCGTTATACGTTTTAAACACCGTATATATATATATATATATACGTTTTAAACACCGTATATATATATATATATATATTGCGTGTTTTATTTCTTTTGTATTTTTCTTTCTATAAATTAGTGCGTATCTTTCATCGACGAAAACGGAAATCGTGCTATGCCTCCTCGACGTGAGAACGAGAATCAAACGTATGTTATCGGTAGAAGAAATCGTAAAAAAAAATTAAAACTTGTATTACTCTAATCACAAGCGTAAAACCTTCCAGTCCAACTCGCAAACAGATAAATAGTGAATTAAGGAACCTAACTGAACGATACCAATCTTGCGAAAGCAACGGAATCGTAATTTCTTCGAAATACACGTTAATAATAATTCTTTCTTTTCACGCGAACCTACTTGAAAGAATGAGCATATTTACGCATAGATATATTAATAAAGAGAAAGAGAGAGAGAGAGAGAGAGAAAGATAGAAAAATAATGATCATCAGCAACAAGTAAACTCTACATTTAAAATTTGTACAACATTTATTTAAATTTCAAATTCAAATTACAATTTACGATTACGATATTATTATGTGTTTAGTAAAATAGACAATAGATTTTCTATTGGGTGTTTAAAAATAAACTTTGTAAAGAGTAAGATAGCAAAGAGAGAGAGAGAGAGAGAGAGAGAGAATATGATGCACCTGCGCGTTGTGCTGATATTCTTTATCTTTTTCTCTCTTCGTTTCTATGATAATGTTGCAACGAACGCATCGTCAAAGCTAATGAAGGCCACAATAAATTCTTACCGTTTGTACGCTAATATCTCGCTTGCAAAGTGCGTTTGTATAGGCCCAACAACGATATGCGCGGCTCGTTGAGCTTGTCGAGAGGAAGAAAAAAATTAGGTCAATAGGTCAAGCGCAGAGTAGGAGGAGAAGAAGATTGATATTGAACTGCATCGTTCGCCACTACGTTATATTACCTACCCCCCTTTTTTTCGTAGTTGAGTGGTACACCTGTATACAAAATGACAGAACGGATCGATTTAAAAAAAAGAAAAAAAGAACGAACGAAACGTCGATAAAAAATATCGTCAAATATACGTTAAATTTTCCTTATCATTTTTAAACTTGTACACGTTTTCGACAATTTGCATATGTTTCAAGGAATTATTTCAATTTGGTGTTAAATTATGTTAGCTTAGTTAGCTGCGACGAACCGCATCCCGGTTTCCGGTCGGTTGAACAGTGGTGATCGTCGGATAGAAAAACCGTTCTTACGAATCATGACTATGATCCTAAACTGAAAATCTCACTCCTTTCTTTATTTTTATTTCTTTATTTTGGAAAGTAAATTGTAAGATTTTACAGTCGAAGTAAACTTCATTCCTTCGTTCCTGTATCATAAGAATGCGGTACGAGATAAGCGGGAAACTTTAAACGATCAATTTTCAAGCCATTCACGCGTTTAGGTATAGAACCTAACGGAACGAGTTGGAAGAGTTACGTTATCGTATGGGTGCACTTTCTACAAGAAGCTAATAAGATTATACCAATGTAAAATAGAACAAAATATATGTGACAGAGTTAATAAAGAACAATTACTCTCAATTATTTCCTTATTATACAGAGTCAAATTTATATATTATTTATATTTATTATATCTTAGTTAGTTAGTTTTATTTTGGAAAGTTTATTTCCTCTGATAACATTTGATAAAAATATAAAACACATAGGCAAAAAGAAAAGTTCGAAATAAAGAAGAAGAAGAAGAAGAAGAAGAAGAAAAAAAAAATGGGTGAAGAAGAGAATAAAAGAAATGAAAAGAAAAATGTCAAGGTTTCGTTAGAGAAAAGTTAGAGCGTAAAGATGGCGGCTGTAGGCTGCGGGTGCATGTTGCAATGCACTCTACATGACTCGCGTGATCGCGTGGGTATCGATACTTTCACCCGTGAATCTCATCCGACATGGTTATGCGTGCGCACATGCGTGTGCACGTGCGTCCTGCACCCACGGACAGGTGGGTTATGTTGTAGCACACACATATAAGTAAGATATCTCGTATACTCATCGACGTACGCACAATTTGCAACATGAAAAAGCCAAAAGTCAGTTGGTTAAACGACGACGATGAATAAATGCATTTACGTGAGACCTACACCAACAATAATGAGAATAAGAATTTTTACATTATATTTTTGTTGTCAAAACTTACAAACATTTTCAATGAAGAGAAGTGGAAGTTTGCTTCGTAATTATACGATCTTATCCATATAAGAAGGAAGAAGTAAGAAGAAACTTGATGAGTACAAATGATAAAGCATTCATAGAAATCGAATGTGTTTAAGTAATTTCAAGATGACCGTGACAAGCGCAACGTGATCCGTTAACAATTTATTCACTTTAGATAACGCATGCTATGCTTACTTTGCGAATATTAACATGTTAATGCGTACTTATATTTATACACACACACACGTACAAAACTATGTGTCATTTGCGATCTTTTTTTTCTTCATTATCGATTCATTATGGTGATTGCGGTAAAACTATTACGTATTTCACGTTTAACACTTCTCTCTCTATATATATATCAATGCACATATTTATTTGTTAGTTCAAAACTTTAATATTGAACGTAGAAAATATTCATCCCTTCCCTTACTTTCTTTCCAGTTAGGAAGGGGAAGGCTGAACGAATATAACGAAACAACGTAATCTTCTTTTTAGTTTTCTTTCTTCTATTTCTACGAAAGAGAACATAGTTTCCTTGTGAGAAATTGTACCGTTGAGTGTTCTCGTTTCCGTGAAGGTAGTGCGAATTATGGTACAGCCTTTGAATCTCGAATCTAGGCAATATCATCGATAACTGTACAAAGTCAATTGTAAAGATCGTTGCAATTATAGTATTATTTTTGTTCTTTCCAAGTAAACCTTCCCAAGTTCTAAAGTCTTTCGTGACGAAAAGTGTTAACGCGTAATAGCTTTGTAAGTTTTACGCTTTGAGATAAGAATCAGTGTTTTGTAAATGATAACCCTCTTCCCTACTCCCTCCCTTTACTTTTCATCGATTTTTTTATTGTTTCGTACGATTTAATAAATCATTTTTTCAATGTTCATTTTATCTAAAACGAAATAGTTAATTGATATCATTTTGATGATCGTAATCAGATTTGTTCATTGTTCGTTACAGCACCTTACGAGGGTGGAATATGGAAGGTGAGGGTTCTCTTGCCCGAGCATTATCCCTTCAAATCTCCTTCGATCGGTTTTATAAACAAGGTCTACCACCCTAACATTGACGAAGTTTCAGGCACCGTGTGTCTTGATGTTATAAATCAGGCGTGGACTGCCCTCTATGGTATGCATTCTTTTTTCTAATAATAATAATAATAATAATAATAATGATAACATAATATAATTAATAAATAAGATTGAGACAAATTTCATTCATTTCGTTTGTTTCAGACTTGTCAAATATTTTCGAATCCTTCCTACCCCAATTATTAACATATCCCAATCCCATCGACCCTCTAAACGGCGATGCAGCTGCTATGTATCTCCATAAACCAGAGGAGTACAAGAAGAAGGTAGCTGGTAAGTCTTGAAAATTTAACACGTATATCTTAATTACATATTTAACTAATACGAAAATAATATACAGAAAACGACCTTTCTTAAAAAACGGAAATACTCATCCTATGTTTTTTTTACTCTTATATCAATGTCTCTTAGTATCAGAATCAATTGAATTTCCCATTAAATTAAGAACAATACAAAGTACATTTTATTGTTGTTAGTCAAGTACGTGGAGAGCTGTAATAGAAGAAATTTTTATTTTAGGAACGTTAAAACAAATGTATTATAATTGAAAAAGTTTAAAAAATGTGTAGAGTGTGCGATATATGATTAAATGATCGATAATTAATCGAAAAGAATGTGTATTATTGTTTAAAATTTCGAATTATATGATCAAAGTACCTTCCTGGTCTACATTCGCCGTTAAAGTAGGTCATTGCTTTCTATTAAAATTCTTATGTTAAATGTTGTTTACATGACATTTCGAACGTCTCGCATATACATAATAGGAATAATATTCATAATAGATAGAATTTCGTTTTATGAAAAGTCTTATAAACAACATTCAATATAAGAACTTTCATTGAGGTCATCGTGCCAGTCTAAAGGTGAATTTCGAGGAAGACGGTACTCTGATCATATACACAGTGCTTCTAAATTACAATACGCTTTCTTTTCGATTATTTAACAATTATTTACCGTACATCGAACACAGTACACTACTCTATTAATATTTTTAATAGTTTAAGCTGAATTATATTTGTTTTATCGTTTGCTTGCGCAGTGATGACTTCGAAACGTTCTCCTGACCAATGAATACTTTGACAAGATTTAATTTAAATTAAAAACAAAGGATGACTAAATTAAAGTAAAGACAAATGTTATTCCATATATTACAAATGTAATATATAATTTGAAATATTGTTTGTAGATTACGTGAGGAAGTATGCAACGGAGGAGGCATTGAGGGACCAGGAAAACGGTGGGACCGGGAACGGGATGTCGTCCGATAGCGAATCATCGATGAGCGACTTTAGTGAAGACGAGGCGCAAGATATGGAATTGTAACCAAATATTTTATCATCATCCATACCCATATCCTTAATCTCGATTCCTTGTAAACTCCGATCGTTTGTCCTACCAAATAGAATGCTTATATTCCAAAAACAAAAAAACACAAAAATAAGAAAAAAGCTCTTTAAGAGAGTTGAATTTTCGGTTTGCAACACGTATATCTCAGGTCGCGATGGCCGACTCACATTCTTCTCCCTTCCGACCATCGTTCTCTCATAGTAGTCAATGTCCGATTAACGAAGATTATATTTACGAAAGAATAATGTCTTTTAAGGGAAATAATTGTCCGCAGTCTCCGTTTTTCTCTCTTTTTGTTTTCTCCTTTATTAGAGACAAATAATACTATTCGTCAATGTTCATTTCTCGTTGATCGTCGTTTTAGTTTTTTTTTTTTTTTTTTTTTTTTTTTTTAACATAAAGACAACAGATCTAACGAATTGTACGATAAACTAAATTTTTATTCATTAATTATATATGTTTCGTCAGGTATACATATACATATATATATAAAGAGAAAGAGAAAGAGAAAGAGAAAGAGAAATAGAAATAGAGATAGATAACAAAATAGGAGAGCAGCACTGGGAATTTATGGGTCTTCTACCGTACGTACGATACAATATTCCCGTGAGATAAGATTATCGAATTTTGAGCGAAATCAATAATTTTTTTTATTTTATTTTATTTTATTTTATTTTATTTTAAAGGTTAGTATATTTGTGTAAGAGAAAGAAAAACAGAGAGAGAGAGAGTTGGAATTTTAATTTCTTTATTAGCATCGATCGTTCTTCTCTCCTGTTTTGTTCATCCTTTCTTCTTTTTCTTCTTCCAATTTGCATATATCCTCGTGTCTTCGCGCGCTGCTAATTATTATTATTATTATTATTATTGTGTAATCTTTATAGATAGTTGTTTGATGTATTTCTTTTTCTCTCTTCTCTTTTCTTTATTTTTTTTTTTTTTAATACTTTTTTTTTCTCATTAATTTTAAAAGATTCGAGTCTGATTTAGTTTCCGAGCACAAGTCGAGATTTTGTCGAGGTATGTCAGTTATGTGTAATAATACATTGAATTCAAGTGGAATAAAAAAAAAAAAGAGAAAAATACGTGTGCCATGAGAGAAATTAAATCGAGAAATTGTAAGGGCCCAAGTTGACAACGAACATCCAGTAGTACAATACGTAAACGTCGACATTCAATTCCAAAATTCATACGTGATAATTAACGTCCCTCTTATGCGTATTGTGGAGCTCATGAAATCACATTGGATTAATTTTTTTCTTTTTTTTTTTTCTTTTCTTTTTAATTAGAACGAATCGACAAAATATGTTTGAAAAGAAGGAAGAAAAACAAAACGAAAAATGAAATTTTAAATATAAAATATCGCGATAGAACAACCATGCCATTTTGATCGATTTGACATGATGGAATGTGTGAGTAAACGACGAATTACGAGCGTTGTACACAATTATTTTTATCATTTTTGTTTGATTTTAATTAAATCTGTTTTTTTTTTCTTTTTAAATCGCATAGAGTCTAAATAAGGTAGAAAATGGGTACTACTAGTCCCGTCTTCCTTTTTCCTGCCATCAAGCCATCCCTGTACGTTTTCCTCGCAGGAAGTAGCAACGAGAGAGAGAGAGAGAGAAAGAGAGAGAGAAAGAGAGAGAGAGAGTTCTATCGCGGACGACGATGACAACAAAGTAACGTTCAAGTCATAATATAATAAACACAAACATAAAGGTGCCTCTATCGTAATTTGAACGACGAAAAATGATCACAGTCGTCCATGTGACGAAAATATTCATGCGAATCGACGATATCACTGCGAAGAAAGCTATTTGATTTTAAATTCAAATTCTCGTGTCATTTTTCGAAGCCCCCATCAGCATTGCATAATCGAATAATAAACAAAAAGATGACACAGGTGCGTGTTTTTAAATTGTTCCATGAAATGTCACAAAACAAATGAAACAATAAATAAGGAAAAAGTTCAAACGATCTTGTCGGCTGAGATTCGACGGTATTCACTGAGAAAAAAAAATCATATTTCCAATATATATATATATATAGTTTACGTGGAGGTTGAATAAAAAAAAGTAGTCAAGCAATCGACAAAACTGTGATCTGTTAATTTTTTCTTTATCTAATCATTATTATGAAATATTAAAATGTTCTAACGGATTTGTAATATTTGCAATCATGCATTAATGTTAAGATGCATTTTATCATTAAAATCAAATAATTTTGTTGGTTCTTTCGTCGCTTATTATATAAATCTGTAAAACCAATTTACTTCTTAATAGCTAAGCAAAGCCAAGCCATTTTCGGATAAACAGGATATTAATTTAGTCCTAATTTACGCGAATCTGTTTTTCCATCAAAATAAACATATTTATATTTTTTAATATATAAACAAGAAAAGAACAATTTTTATTAAAGCACATTTCTAAAGAAAAGACAAAAACAAAAAATAGAAAAGTTTTCAAATGTTACTCAAAGGTATTAGCCCCCCCCCTCCTCAGAATGTTTTTTGCATAGTCATTTATAATTTGTTGGTCAAGTTTTGAAAAACCTCAGGGATCTTATTTTTCAATGTATCAAAGATTTTTCCTGGTGAGAATTGAAAGCACAGATGAGAGATGTTAACGTAAAGGAAAGAGTAATATTAACGTAATATTAACGTCAAGTATAACAAATAATCCATCTTTTCTGCTGAGATTGGTAATAATTAATTTGGAAGTAAGAAACAAAAAAACAAAAAAAGAGAAGAAGAAACAAAAGGAATAATAATAATGTATTAATGCCAAAAATTGTGAAGTTAGAAGAGAAGATAGATTCGCCGGAAGCCAGCCGTATATGTACAAATTATGGTGCACAATAATCGTTGACGGATAAATAGTATTTTGTTTTAAACTGATCTCTTCTCTTCGTTTAATTCAAGTTCTAATACAAACAAATTTAATGATTAACTTTATACGAGAGACACGTATAGCCATGGTATTTTAGTGCCTTTCGTGGGCAGAGAAATGTGCCTTATTCTATGTGTCTCGTGAAAGAATTGCTTACAAGAAAAAACAAAACAAACAAAAAAAAAAAGAACTAGTATGAACGAGAAATAAGTGTTCTGTGTTAATTGATTCTGTTATTTTATATATTTTTTACGTTATTTAAACTGCTTGCTAAATTGTAATGTATTATATTGGCAAATTATAAATTAGATGTACGTGCTATGATTATTTCTAACATTATAGTAGAAATTTTATATTGATTATATTAAATGTGCTAATTAAAAATGAATAATTAAAACAAGAAATTGTATTTATGATCGGACCAACTTCTTGAAGTTCTTAATGAAAGCTTATACGAAAAAAAGAGAGAGAGAGCGAGAGCGAGAGAGAGAGAGAGAGAGAGAGAGAGAGAGAGAGAAAGAGTAAGAGAGAAAGCTATTATTAAAAAAAGAATGAAAAGAAAATTCAATTAAAATTTTATTGTGTTTGTTTTCGAAATATAACAACGCGTAGATTCATTATTATTATTATTTTTTTTTTGGTTTTCATTTTAATACACTAAACACACAACACAGGTATACACACATTTACACACGTACATACTACGTACAAATATTATAATAAATTTAGTATTGTTATTATATTGCTTCTCTCTTATGTGAGTGCATCCCATCGAGGTGGATTTTGTTATTAATCGATGATCGAATTATTCGTCGTTCATTCTGTAATTAATTCAACAAAGATTTATGAAATTAATATCTTATGTCTATCGAAAAATAAACTTTTGTATAAAATTTCTTATATTTACGTTTTTATATAGAAAAATTGTCGTCATACGTTTAGATCGATATTTTGCAAGAAGGTTGCACTCATATTTTATACACGTTACATTTTGTCTTTCGTATAAGGAAAAAAACAAAACAAATGAATATTATCCGAACTTATTATAAAGTAATGAATTAATTAAGACCTCTTCGTGAATAATGAAATTATTTTCAATAATTTATTATTACGGTGACTATAGTCCATTATCAATGTGTATCCGTTTATTTTAAAATGTCGATTATTATCAAGAAATTAATTAGAACAGCTTTATACTTTTTGCAATATCATACGTTAAATATTTTTATTTTTATTTATATTTGGTATTTAACTTTTTTTTTCTTTTCTTGTAAATTATTTACTGGCGGTTTATATTTGATTTCTCTCTTGTTTGCATTTTATCGATCACTGTACGTTGATATATGTGTGTTATAAAATTGGATACACACAAATTTTACTTCATTTTTCGTCTTTGCACCACATTGTTCATCCTAAATGCAAATTAGACGAGAAGCAAAGTAATTTCTTATTACATTAGGAAAGAAATAATATTATTTTTATTAAAACTGGCAAAAGAAAGTTGTGGGAGAGGCAATGACGATGATTATAGCGTTTATTATTCAAATGTACATTTTATCGTTTCTGCCCCTATTATTTCTAATACCGAATGGTCTTTTTTTTCTGCGTTATATACGATATAATAATTGCTTTTATACATATGTCACTTTAATTGACTTTCTCGAGTTGTCACTCTCTAACTTTGTAACCTTGTATTCTTTTTTGAGATATATCATTGGACGAAAAAGAAAGACAACAAATTATTAAAAAAAAAAAAAAAAATAAATAAAAAGAGAATTTTGCGTCTTGTCAAGAAGTTTGAGTGATCGAGGGTGAAGTCATGTTTTAAGATCTCATATATTATTATCATTATAAACACGTGTATCATAGAATTAAATTAGATATGTATAGTAGTTATCATATTCGCATGACTTTATTGAAAAATTTGTAGTTTTATTAATGAATGTTCATTTAAGTAAACGATATAGTTTTAATAATCATTTTTTATTTTTTTTGCAAAATGTTGTTTGTTTTTCCTTCTGTTGAATGCTTTTTTATATTTCTGCGGTGTTTCAATCATTTTTTTTTTCTTTCTTTTCTTTTTACATATTTCTCTCCTAGGCATTGCAGTTGTTAATTATTAGAAAAAAAAAGTGTCTCAGTGCACACCGTCTGGATAATACCTAAGCCAAACGAAAAGGAAACATAGTTCATGTTTATATGTTTCAATTCATACGAATAGACTGGAATTGTTAACATTATTTTTCGCAAATATTGAACATTGCAAAATTACAAATAATAACTTACGATTAAACCTAATTACATACAATGTGTCAACTATGAATCCCTTACAAGAGACGAGTGTATATTAAAATCATCATAGCCTATTTCGTGCCTAAAAAATAACGAGATTATTTGAACTTTGAAAATGGCCGACAATATTAACATAATTCGTTTGATTTAAAAACTCCTTTAGAAATTTCGACTTGTGCAAAATTCACATAGTTGTCGAATTATTATATAGAGAAGATTACAATGATATTAAAAAAAAAAAAATAATCTTTAAAGAAAATCGACAAAATACAAATATGTAGCGCGAGCTTCGGATAAATAAGGCATTTTAAAAATAATCTTACGTTCATAGTTATTATAAACTTATCCAATCGTTCTTAACATTAGAATAATATCGTTTCTATATATGTAGGATAGATGAGATTTGCAGAAGTAGTTGCAGAACAAAAATGCAATTTTTATTTTTATTTATCTAACCATTTATATGATATCTTGTTGCATATTATCAACATATCTCTATCGCCTTTAAACTGAATATTATTTCTAAATTGACGAATTTGGGTATTACATCATTTTATTTGTTTTTTCTTTTTTTTTTTCAATGATAAATATAATCTTGAATTTTCATTATGATTTTCCAAAAAAAAAAGCAAAAAAAAAACGAAAAAAAGATACTTTTCCAGACTGAAGCATTTCGACCGGAAAAAAGGAGATAGCAATATTTTTGCTACGCGCGTTTTTGGTGTTATATCATCGATGTTATCTAATAACTTATCAATATACATAATTGCAATAATGATCAATTAGAACTTGAAATATGTAACGTTGCAATATGATCGAGATATGATCGAAATTAAATGATATATGATTATCCAATGACAATGATGGTACCCTCCTAATCCTCCTACCCTACTCTACCTACCATTCATTTACATTTTAATATTTAAGTGATCATTACCTTCCTCTTACGTCAATTGTTACATTTTTTTTTTTCTTTTTAATCTTATACAGAATGTTGCTGATATTCTAATCTGATGAAGCGTAGGGAGATTTTATCTATCATCGCATTATGTTAGCCTAAATAACATTAGATAAATGATTAATAATTGAAATTGAAGAAAGAGAACAGAAAATATGTAAGAGAATCGTGATGGATGTCTAAATATGAATATAGACTTTGTACAATTATCTCGATTTTAATCAGCACAGTTATGCTAAACGTTAGATGTCTATTCTGTCTAATAAGTAGAATTGACATCCATTACGAGACACGACAAATATTTTTTTAGCTGTTCCTCATGTATGTGAAATCATTATTATTTGTTCGAATGGTTTATTTCTCGAGTCAAATAGACAAATTTTAAATTGTATGTAATATAATTGTAATATTATTAAGAAAAATGTTCAAAGCAACACAAGGACAGGAAAATTTGAAGCAATTTTCGTTAATTACAATTTTGTCCAGTCAAAAAGAATAATATATTTTCTCAATCTACGATGTCAGAAACAATTTTATTATTCCCTAAGCAAATGATAATAGACAGTTTTTATTTATTAACTGGATATCATTATATACATATATATATATATATATGGGAAGATGTTTGTAATTATTAAAGAATATGAAAAGCGATGAAGTATTTACGAGAGAATAATAACTATTTTCTTTCGATATGTTTTTGGTGAAAAAAAAAAAAAACAAAAATATTCATTGCGTTAGAAAATTTGTGTAGAATTTTCCTCATTTCCTGTCAATTAATTTTCGCTTATCTGTTATTATTTTTCTTAGAAATAAAAACTATTGTTGAATACATTTGAAACTCTGTACGTAGATTCCGATAGGACAGATAGAAATTGATAAAACGAATCATCGATCGTGCGTTAATTTCAATTCAATTGGAAGTAATGATTATTCAAATGTCATCTCGAAGCGCAACGAGATAGTTTAGACCATGTGTTCAATTGGACTCATCAAATCTCGGAAGGATCTTTTTCGTTAGTCGAAAATTAATCGATTGACGAAAAATCGATATATGTGCGTTACGATACAAATATATATGAGTACGTAGGAATATCGCTGAGTTTACAGGAAATTGAGGAAAAATATAATAAAAATTGCAAAAGGCTTTGTAAAGTGATATATATAGTGAAGCACACACATAACTTGTTCGGTACGTTAAGCTATGGTAACAAGCGTAAACGATTAGAATGTTTCTTCGAAGGAAGAGGACGTTTACGCATTTCACCTACAATCGTGAGATCGAATTATTGGTGTCTGTAAAGGTATATATTTTCTTACGGTACGCGATAAATAGCTCTACCGCTTTTGACTAATTAACAAAATCTCGGTCAGTTCAAATCGGTTGCTTTATTCTCTCTCGATACTTGACATACATATATATGCATACAATGATTGCATAATTGCAACTTTATCCCGAATTTGAATATATCGATCTTCAACGATGTATTGTTACACACGTACGACAATTATGATTGACACAATAAACCTAACCGAATTGAACCGATCAGAGTTTCAAGCTAATTATGAAATTTCCTTAGAGGTACCCATTGTTTGAACGTATGTAAATACGAATCGTCTGTGTCCGTAATGCTCGCATTATCGAACAAATGTGAGAACGAATCCGAAAAAACAATCTTAAATCGTCTTGAATGTTCTCATTCGAAAGGCGTTTTCAAAATATTCCATCGATTTCTCTGATCGGTCATTTTGAAATCTAATAAATGCCTCAATCTCAACGGGATGCTGCTATAATAACTCGATCGATCTTTGTTCGAAAACGAAAAACGTAAAATAAGATTACAACATTTTTTCTAGCTAGCATAACGACGACGATTGACGATTGAAACTCGCTGATTCCACGTTCTCATGGCAAACACAATAAAAAGAGCAACAACATGAACACCCTACACTACTCTATATAAAGTATTTATTATAAATAAGATATAAACAAAAAAAAATATATATATATATATAAAATTATAAATATAATTATATTAAATTATAACAATGATCGAACAAGATGCAATTTTTTGGTACAATAAAATGAAAAAAAAGGATACGAGCCAATTTTGGGGGATACATCTTTATTTCTTTTAATCTTCGACACTTTGAGATTTATTTTCATCCCCCTTTCATTCTACGAATGTATTCATATTCGGGAAGAGAGCAAGGAATGTTTCTTTTTTTAGCTTGAAGCGAGCGATGTGCCTTATCGAAAGAGCCGAAATGTTTGTTTTTTCACGCGGCCTTCTGCAGTACCGATGGATGATGATTCGTAATTGCGCGCGCATCTTCTTCTTCTTCTTCCTCTTCCTCTTCCTCTTCCTCTTCCTCTTCTTCTCTCGTCGCGAAACGCTCGAATTTCATTTTAATTTTAATTTTTATATTTATATTTTTCACCATAGCTTGATCTTCTTCTTCCTCGATTCATTTCAATTACGAAATATTATTAACCGCATAAACGTATCTCAAATGTAAAAGTCATTATTTTCAACGAAGTAATAGAATGAACAAAAAAAAAATCAAATCGAATTCGTAAAGCATTAGAAAAATGATTGCGTCGTGGCTCCCGCCATAATTCTATCTATCGAGTATCTCGAAACTTTATTTTTACAAGCCTGTTTAGCTTGAAAATACGCGCTTCAAAGTGCCACCGTTTGCGTTCTCAAGCAAAGTGCGGATAGATAAGAGCTAACAGATGGTATTTTAATTCTGTAAATAGTCGATTGGCAATTTTCATTGACTTTTTTCAAAAACAGTATTTTCAAATAAATCGACTATATAGATGTATATTAAAATAATTATTTTTTGAAAAATCATTTCTCTATTTAGATAGATTTTTGTCGAGATTAACATTTTTACGATACGTGTATTGAAAAAGAAAAAAAAAAGAGAGATAGAAAAATGATGAGTTCTGTAGTGAGAGAATCGACGATAAGGGAAAAGAAATGAAGAAAAAGAAAGAAAAAGAAAGAAAAAGAAAAAAAAGGAGAAAGATCGAGAGAGAGGATAGGGCGGAGAACGTCGCGACGACCGGGAGGCCGCAGCCATATGCAAAAGAAAGATCGAGTGGTAGGGAGGCGTGCGCAGGAGTCGCGGTTCACGCTGCGCAATGGCTTTGAGTACCTTCAGTTGTGCCGGAACCACCGTGCGGTTCGAACGTCATTTTTCTTTCGTACAATTTTTCGCACGTATTCGTCAGCAAGTGTTTGCGCGCGCGAGTGTGTGAGTGCGCGCGCGTATCGAAGGCGCTCCAAAGCGCGAGTAGCGTTACTATCGTGAAATCGGACGAGTAGTCATATACATACATATATATATATATATACATATATATAGGATCGATCTACCGATGAGAAACGTTTGTTCCAAAATTTTCGCTCGTCTTCTTCGATTTTGATTCCAACGAAAGATCGGCCGGCTGGGATTTGATTAAATATTCGCTTAAACGTAGCGTTTACCGATCGAGATTTTTTCCAAGTCATTTACGAAGGATAAAGTTGAAAGAAAAAGAGGGAAGGAGAGGGAAGGAGAGGGAAGGAGACAGTGGCAAGTGCGAACACACACGCACCCGCCTCTTCAACGATTTCGATCGACACAACGTGTAGTCAACGACGAGTGTTCCGGCGTATCGCCGACAAAGAAGTGTGAGTAAACACGTTTTTCTCAACGTTCTTAACGATATATTCGCTCTCTTTACCTTCAAAGGCTTTCGTAGCAGGTGCAAAGTGCACACTTCCGTAATCTCTTTTTTATATCTTTTTTGTATTTTCTTTTCTTTTTTTTTTTTTTCGTTTCATTAATTTTGTCATAACTTATCCTTCAACAATACTGTTTCATAATGAATGTATTCCATACGCGTGGAGGAAGATACTCGTGCTATAATTGATCAGCTAAATTTTCCACAATAACTTTTACTTTGAATAATTCGAATAAAAAAGAAAGTTACTTTCTTTCCTCGTTTGATACTTTAATTTCGTAATACTCGTAATTGGTTAAAAAGGCGGGTTTTGCCTATTTGGAACTGCATGTTGAACAACATTTCGATTGAGTTCGCGTACATTAATGTACGTGTATTACTTTTTCTTTTTCAATATTTCTTTTTTTTTTTTTACATGCACATACTATGTAAGTAAGTAAGTAAGTGAGTACGTGCAGAGCATATACATGTATAAAGAAATAAGAGAAAGAGAGAGAGAGAGAGAGTATAGCAATATCGTCTTTACGGTTGTCGTCGCTGTCATCGTAGTGTCGTCGTCACCATCGTCGAGTTCACTCGAATGGACTCGTTCCTTGACGAGGGTCAAGTGAACCTACAGCTGTTTAACCCTTTCTTCCTAAAATTCGCCCAAAGAGAATCTACTTTTATTCTAAAAATAGATATTTTATTTGTGAACCGGACTTGAGCCTCCTTCTTGTATTCTACGAATTCAACATTTTCTACTTTGCTGTATGCATTAAAAGAAGTGATCTAGAGAGAGAGAGAGAGAAAAAGAGAGAGAAAGAGTGAAGAGCTTGTACACACAAAAAATGAACTTTCAGCTAGAAAATACTTGTCAGCGTTTTTGTTCTTTTATATTTTTATCATGTATAGGGTCATATGTTTATTTAGATATTATCTTACAAGTATAACGAGGAAAGCAACAAATCTAGTATTAGCCTTTCAACGATCTCTTTTAAGATAAGTGTCACTATATACTCGTTGTTAAGTTTACAAAGTCATTGAAAGATGATCGTTAGTAGAGCTACCGCAGGAACGAGAATGTAAGTGAGAATAAGTTGAACGATTAGATAAATTTCTTTTTTCGTAAAGACATTTTTATGTTAATGAATTAAATAAGAACTTTTCAATGTATAACTCCGAAGAAGAGATGTAGGAATAGTTGGCTAAATAGATAAATACATACATACATAGATAAATAGATAGATAGATAGATGTAAATGCTTAGATCTTGCTTATCTTGGAAGAGAAAAAATATGTGCACGTGTTCTACGTGTCTTCTTAGCATTTCTTAAGCTACGATCCCTTTAAATCGCTGCATATCAAAGCCGACGATCCGTGTGATCGACGATGAAGTTTCCTTCGAGTTCGCCTTGAATAGAACAGGATCGTCTTAAAAACGAAAGAGAGAGAGAGAGAGAAAGAAAGAGAAACGTAGGGAACCTGTTACGCGTTGTACCGCGTGTGCCAAGCATTAACCAGCTGTATTTGAACTTACGAATCGGATGCCATTGTTATTCTTGCAAGTGAACGTTCAACACAAATGATGTTTTATTAAAAGTTGTCTTTATTTTAAATTATCAGTTATACGTAAGTAGTACTAGCATAATATTAATAATTGTAACAAGGTTCGGGACGTGTAATTACGTAAAATGTCTATGTTTAGAATCTCTATGTTTAGAAACGGACCTTCCAGGATGCGACACGTTTTATCGTATCATACCTTGATTACCTAGTTTGCCCTTATTTAGCGTTCTGTATCGTTTAGCATTAACGACTATAATGGAACTAACCAGCGGTTGCGGTATTGGTATTGCGTTTAACGTTATTCCACGTGTGCGTTTATGTCTCTCCTAGCACAGTTGGTTACAACATGCTATTCCTACTGTACCTTTTTGAAAACTGCTATGGTAATAACTAGCTCGTTTGCTGATATCGGCAAACGCATTGTATCGATAATTATTCTCTTTGTAAGTTCTTCGAAAGTTTTATTACGTAATTGAGGAGGAAGCAGGAACACGGGAATGATGGAAAGAATGATTCTTTGATGATACTCATCTATATATTTATTTATCTTGTTTCATTTTATTACATTAGAATTATTTCAGAGGAAGTAGGTATATATATATATATATATAGCAGGTTGTGCACTTGAGATTAGATAGAAAAATAAAAATTGATAGAGAACGAACGCGTTCTCACAAGCATGTATATTGTTTCTACGCGAAAGTAGATATAACGTAGATGTAACGTAGTCGTTTAGTAACCCACTTTATTTCGTTGTAAAACGGATATAACGCTTTATAGACCATCCCAAGCCGGCATACGATCGAACCCGGTAAAGCGAATGGGTTATTGACATCGTACACAGGAGGAACGATGTTGCTCTTTGTAGTTTTATATTATTTTCCTTCGTCTTGATAGATTTATTAATTACCTAATAGTAGGTACACGCGTAAACGATAAGTGCATTCATCGTTTCATTATTTTTTGTAACGATTGAACGGTCAATTGAAAACTTTCAAGACACGACTAAAAATTATTGCCAAAGTTTCAATCCGATTGGCTTCTTGTGTGATACCGATTTCCTATTTTTCTCTTTCTCCCTCTCTCTCTTTTTCTTTGTGGCAAGATTCACAACGTCTTGGAAAATTATGGATGTTATTCTTACGACTGCGGTGCGCTATTGAAGATAGCCGTTCTTCGTTCATAAATTAAAAGGTGACGTTTGCCTCGATGCATTAAGTTTTATCAAGGACGATTTCTCTTTCTTTTTCTTTTTCTTTTACTATTTCTTTAACACTTACTCTAACATTTTGGTATGAGATTAAGGAAAGAATTGCGTTAAAAATACTCATTATTTATCAATGCGAATAGTAGGTGGAAATCCTTGGAAAATACGAAACGTTTCATAGTCTGTAACGTAAATCTCACCGCAATTGTACGATTCATGAAAACTCGATACTGTCTTTTGTGAAACTCGAGCCATCTCGTTGTTCCTTAGATCTGCTAAAAAGAGCCTTAACACCGTGCTAGCTTAGAATCTTAGGAAAATTCATTTCTAAATACCTCGAATAATTAGGTATAATTTTGTATTTGTTTATTTGTTTGTTTAAATGTACATTTTGTTAGACCAAATGTTGGTGCCAGTCAAACTATTTGTAATTGTATAACGATAATAACGTGATCGTTATTATGCGATCCTCGTAGATGCCCCCAACGTTGACAATTTTTAATCGATAGGATTGCAAGTAAAATATTCATCTGTTGTATATATCGATGTCATCGGTGCATTTCCATTAGGCGATATTGGCGACCAATTGATTGTTACTCTCGATCGACCCCACTGTCGACAATGACAAAGAAGAAACATGTACATGGAACATCTGTCAGCTTGCTTTTCTCTCTCTCTCTCTCTCTCTCTCTCTCTCTCTCTTTACATTCTAATAACGTCTTAACGCATTTATTACGAATAGTATGTTTTAAGCATGTGAAACACAATATCTATACGAATGGTTACGTGTACATGAGGGCACGCGTTTCTATGCATCACGTATATTTGTACACGCATGCTTGTATATGTGTATGTATCTATCTATGTATATATGCGATTATGTATACAAGGCGAGAATTATATCTCGTTACATTTGATCAAGGAAGTCGAAATATGTGTAGGATAAATGTTTTACGAATCGATCGTTACATATAGTATTGAAAATCTTTTACGCAGAACGAATAAGATGTTTACCGTATAGTACTGTAATCGAATTTATTTCCATATATATTTAGATATGTTTTTCCTTTTTGTTTGCTTTTGAAATAAAGACAATCATTTTTTCTAATATATTTTGTTAATGAAGAAAGGTAATTTAAATATAAAACTCATATCGTTATAGGTGAAAACTAGTAATTACACTACGACATCGAGCATCAAACTTTATCACGTGTTTAACATTTCCCCCGAGTCTTCTAGTCATGTGTACTATGGCTCAAGTCATTCATTATGCAATATGTACATACTTTACATGCGTAAAGCGTGAATTCCGTGCAATAAGAAAGCGTTTATACTTCGAATTCGATCATTTCGAAATGTTGTTGTCTATCGAAGAATGTGATATACTTTTGTGATATATATCGTATATCAAATGTTTTTTGTGCTTTGATAAAGCACGTTTAATTGAGTCAATTAATTGGACTCATTCGGTATAAATTTCATTGACTCTGTTCGCGACAATAATTACACATCCATTTTAAATCCGTCCTTTGTTACGACCATCTCTCGTTCATAATTTAATCGTTTCTATCTCTTTCTTTCTATCTCTATTTCCATCACTTCGTACAAATGGATTCGTATAGACGCAAAGTGGTCGGTCTTTAAGATGCATTAGAAAGACATTACGAAATCATCGGCGTTGAAAAAATTCTATCATGAATACGATGAACTTCTGTTGGCATTGGAAATATGAAAGAGAGAGGGAGAGAGAGAGAGTTTTACGAAACAGTATTACGAGAAATATGTTACCAAAGATAGAATTTTAAGTGAGCTTCGAACGTTCAGTTATGTAAAAGGAAAAATGATTTTTGAAAAAGATTACAAATTATTCGGATTAAATAAGAATTGTAAATATTGGATATATCGAATAAGTTTATTTGAAAAAAAAAAATATATATATCAGATGAAAAAAACTGTAGTTTTCGATTATAAACAATAATAGAATTATAACGTTAAATAAAAAGAATGGTAGGAAAGAAAGTAACCTTGAACGAATAATGGTAAATTCTTTAGCATTATTGTGAGCATGTAAGTTAAGGTTAAGGGTCAGATAAATTCAAAGGTGACCTCGTTGCGGTCCATTTGGTGGGTTGGCCGGTTGCTCGACTGGTCGGTCGATTGGTCGGTCGATTGGTCGGTCGTTTGTACCCGATAAGCCATTCTTAAAATCACTTAATCTTCGATGTTTTCGTTCCATTATATCGAACATGTATAATTTAGACGAAAACATAAATAACGCTTGTTAAATTTTATTTGTTTTTTGAGAAAAGAAAAATAAAACAAGTGCGTAAAATAGCAAGTGGATAAAATAGTTGGAAAGTAATAAACAAAAAGATAAAACGATACACGCACGACGTAATTATGTTTATTTATTTAGAATAATTTGTTGATTAAAATTGTTCTTAAATTGTAAAAATTTGTAGATTCCTTTGACATGATGTGTATTTGGCAGCACTAACTATTCATTGATTTGATAATTTTGGATATTTTGTAATATCTACGTGATATTATTTCGTATTAAAAATAATCATAAAATGTTGTTGTTCGTAGGTATCACCATGACTAATTGGATTGGCTAAAAAGAGTAACGATCGAGGGGTTTTCCACCGATTTAGAAGTATCGGGAAACTCAAAGGAGAATCGCTGGTGCAATGGGCGAAATTCTCGGTTCGGCGAGTTTCCTTCACCTCGGCGATATCGTCAGTCTCTACGCCGAGGGAAGTGTTTCAGGTTTTCTTTCCACATTGGGGTAAGTGGATTGTGGCAATAGTTTTTAAAGGATTACCGGGTATATACGATTTGTTTTCTTGCTCCAATGCGTCACATTTTTTCATCTTTCTTTTCGATCGATCGAAAGGAAGCCACAACCCGTTCACTTGCTGACCGTGACTTTCTTTCCCTCTAAATTATTATTATTATTATTTTTAATTCTTTTTTATACCCATTATTCGTGCTGTAATCTTATTTGAAATTTTATACATTTCTTTTTATTTCTTCTTACTTATCGCAATCGTTGAGAAGAAAAAAAAGAACTAACAGATAACACCTAATAATCCTAATCCGTTCGTGTTCACTAGCTTAGATCGTTAGTTAACTCGGTTTATTTGCATTTTCGTGTAAGTTTGCGTTTAACTTTAAGTGGTTAGAAGAAAAAGATTGCTTTTTTCGTAATAGTTTACTTATTTCTATTTTGTAACATTTTCAAAATGTCCACACGGAGTAGAATCTCTTTGTGACAGAGTTGTCTGATTTTAAATTTATGATGTTTGGAAAAAGAAAACATTTGAACACACCACACACACACACTTTTGTACATGTATACGTAAATAGTTTGCTCATCGTCCTCCGTTTTAATCTTTTACGGTGGTAATTTGAATGATAACCTATCGTGGTTGTAATTTCGTGTTCCTTTTTTTAAATGACAAAATTGCAAAAGAAATGATAGTTATAAGTATATTTTGTTCTAACGAGCAATATGAAATAATGTTAATAATGTTTATGAGTTATGACTAATTGTAAAAGTGAATTCTTTCAGTTTTTGTTTCCTCTACTTCTTCAAATATTATTTTGTTCATTTCCACCGGTGATTATTAATTAAAATACGATTAAAAATTTGTACGAACGCGAAGAGAAATATTTCGTTGATATATTTTTGACCATACGCATACGCATACGCATACGCATAAAGTTTCAAATTGAATTATATCAATAAGTAAAATAATTGTGTATCGCGTTTTTTAATAAATGAATTTAACTCGATCAGTAGAAATAGAAAAATATCAGTAGGCTGACAATAAAAAGATTCAAAGTAATTAAAAGTTAGCTTGGATTCGTTAATTTGATATAATTTATGATGGAATTTTACTCGGTCATACCAAATTAATTGAATTCGTTAGAACGTACATGTCACGTCGAGATACATCATTTATACATCATCATATCAACCTACTGTTTTTTTAAATTAACGAAGATTACGATCTCCATTAATCTTAACGATCTATCGATCGTTCGATCTTTCGATCGATTAAGCGGATCGAAATTGACGCTAATCGTTATTTAACGTGAAGCTTTTCGTAAGAGTACGTATTTTTACATTGAAAGGAATATTGCGACGGAATAGCAGAGAACCTTCTTTTACAACGACCATGTATCCATATTATTTATTATACACAACATGTATATATATATATATATATATATATATATTGTACATTATATATATATATATATATATATATATATAAATCATGGTAGAAGATGAACGGAGGCGGCATAAAGATAGGATGTCGATAACGGGGAGTGGCAATAAAGCGATCTCTTTGTAATCAACTTGTTCCCATACTACCCTTTCGATTACAAAGTATTATAACGAGAATACTTAAAAGTTTGAAGAAAAATATGAGGATGATAATGTTAGTGATAATAGCTACATATAAATTGTTTCAATATTTTTGCTTTTCTAACTGTCATCAGATGTTATTATAACTCTCTAACTAAAAAGATAGAGTAAACTATTTTGCGATTTTCAATTTTTTTATTGTCAACTTAGAGATATATTATCAAAGTCCTTTGTTTCTCTAAGTATACAATAGAACGCGCTGAATTACAATTTAATCAATTTCAATTTACTTAGGTTGCAAGTTATACTTTCTTTATAGTCCTCTTAAAAGCACAAAACGAATTTTAAATTAAAGAAAACATTATTTGATTTGGACAAATAAAATGTTACATTTAATATGACGTGTTTGATGAGAAAATATTGAAAAAAATTGTGATAATGATCGTTCGGTTTTTTATTTTTTTTTATTATTGTCGCGCGAACACTTTTCTTTTCTCAGGGATTATTTGCAAATGGTTCGTTTGTGAGGACATATCTATAGATGGTGCTTTTATGAAAATAGGTCAGGTATATACACTTTGCTCACTTTGGTAGCATTCATCGGCATGAATGGGGTTCTTAAATAAGATCTTAGCGATTGGATCGCAAATCTCGTTTGTTCAATGGTCGTTCATATGATACAATCAAGATTTTTCTTTTCTAGTTAGGTATAGATTTACTTAAGAAATTTGTTTTTATTTTTTTTTTTGTTTTTTTTCCAAATAAAGTAGAAAAAATATCAAATCGTTTTATATCGTGTTCGAATAAACACAAGTTAAATTGAGAAATTCATTGTAAAAGATTAAATATCGAACAAGAAGTCTTTTCATTCGATTTAATTAAGGCGTTGGACTTTCATCCATGATTGCATGTATATATATATAGACCATACGATTATTATTTACTTGTAGGTTGTCAATAGCAATATGTAAGTTAGGCGTTCACTAATTTGGCGCAGCTGAATAGGACATAATTAATGTCAGCAGGAGAATACTAGGTTACGCTCGAAATTGGAGATTGTCAGATATTCCAATATCTCCATCACCTATATGTTACTACACTGGTAATTAGATATTATCTTGTAGGAATGTTCATTTTTCATGTTTATTCTTTCAATATCCATAAAATCGGAATAATACGATAATTCAACAAATTAAACGAATTCATTCCTAACGATTATTTGATCTTTCAATCTTACTTTGTGTAATTTGTTTCATATTTAAATATTTATTCATTTTTGTCCGGACATTTCTGGAAATATCATTTTGTGAAGCTTGAAACAGTAGAACGTTCATATTTGAAATAAATGTTATTCACGTTGGTCTCGGATGTTCATCGTCATTAACGAAGGGATTCATTTGCGGTTTTATTCTCGCACGAGTTCGTTTTCCGCTCTATTTCCGGTGCCTTAACACCAAGAGCACAACATCGTCGATGATAATCCTCTGTAATCGCACCAGCATCAGCGTGTTACACATATATCCTATCTATGTATATTTATCTATACACCCATGTATAAATATGTAGTTGCATCCTCGTCATACCTATCTAATACGACACGTTGCCAGAAATAACAATATATCGGTTTTTACATCACGTCGCCCTTTTACTTCGATATCCGATCTTCTCTTATCTCTCTCTTTTTCTATTTCAATATGCAATGTTGTTTTCTCGTTTGTTATTTTATCGAATGTGTTTACATATTATCTATGGAAAAATAAATAAAGAAAAAAAAAACAATATAGCAAAATCATCGGCATTTATTCCATTATGTAAAATTAACGACCGATTAATCCTATTTTTTTTCTTTTTTCTTTTTTTTTTGATAGAATTTATCTGAATCACTTGTACAACCGGAAGAGGAAGTTTCTCTTTGATACTTGCATTATTTTATATATTGTATCATAATTTGGAATATTTATTTGACTATTAAATTATTTTGTTGCTATTGTTTAGATTTTCTTGTTAGATAAATGTGCTTTTTTGGGATTGATTTTTTTGTCTTTTCTTTTCTTCCTTTCCTCCATCTCATCTCCCGTTGCATTTATTAAAGCGTTAAAAATTGTAAATCCATCGTAATTAATTTACAGAGATTGGATAAGCGATATAAATAGAATTTTTATCAAGCATCATTTTTTCTTCTTTTCCTTCCTTCCTTCCTTCCTTCCTTCTTTCTTCTTTTTTCTTTTTTTCTTTCTTCTGGGGAGAATATAGAAAATTATATGAAAAGTACATTGCGATAAATAATAGTTTTGTTGGGTTTTATATTATATTGAAAACGTCATCATATGCGGATTGAACCTTTGGAAAAGGAGTTAGATATGGTAGAGTGAGAAGCCTAAACGCAATCTTGTTAGTAAACCAGGTGAAGCTTATATTCTCTCGTCGAGCGTCAACAAACAATATGTTTACGGATGGTTATTGTGTTCCAAGAAAATACCATACACATATATCTTGTTTTACTGCGTATATTCTCGGCATCGGTCTAATGTGTGTGCGCGCGCGCGCGTGTGTGTGTGCATCGTGCAATAAAAAAGAATCGATTTCAAATTAAAGGGAAAGAAAATGCACAGGCTCTGGATTATTTTATATTTAAATATAATTTATATTTTTCTCCTATTTAAACAAATTCTTATTTAAATTAGTCTTGTTTCGGGATTTTTGTTAACGTAGACGTTAAGCGCGTTAATTGGTTTATTAACTCGATGTTTGCGGTATCGCAAGTGATGATTCAATTTACACACCTTGCTTTGATTAATAGATCTACCCATTTATAATTACATTCAGTTATCCTAAATGATCACCCAATGGAAAATATTGTCGCCTGTGTTGCTTCTATATTATTTATTAATTATTATATAATAATTATTAAACAATGTTCGACAATGGCAATTACGTTTTTGTTAATATCAGTAATGGAATTGCATTTTCTAATACACGATATTAATAAAAAATCTTTCGATCGATGGTTGCAAATTACAAATATTTTGTATGTTTTATTTATTTATACGAATTATTTCTATCTCGCGTTTATGACAGATAGATAGATAGATAGATAGATAGATAGATAGATAGATAGATAGATATATAAGTCAGTATCATTTCTCGCGTGTGACTTTAAAGCCCGGGGAGAGAGAGAGATGTAGCCTTTCCAAATATTGATCCAACAGGATGGTTTCATTCCATCTCTGGACCACGCTTATCTAACGACAATTTAACTTTGACATCTTATGATATTTCAAGAGTGATTCTATTCATACTCTATCGTATATCAACGTTGTTTTATTCATTTGTTTGTTTTTCAGATTAGTAGACGACAGATGCGTGGTATGTCCCGAAGCCGGAGATTTGACGAATCCACCGAAAAAATTCAGAGGTGATTTATTCTAAAAGAAAAAAAAAACAAAAAACAAAAGAAGTTACTCCAATTTTTTTTTTTTTATAGAAAATAATAATGATCGGACGTTTAATTTCAATGAATATTTTTTATGTCTGCGTGTTTGTTTTTTTCTTTTAGACTGCCTTTTCAAAATATGTCCTATGAATCGTTATTCCGCTCAAAAACAATTTTGGAAAGCGGCAAAACAAAGTGGCAGCTCGGGTACAGACGCTGGATTATTAAAAAGACTTCATGTAAGTCATCTATTTGTTTGAATAATAATTTTGACCAAAAAAAAAAAAAAAGAAAAATGTAAGAAATAACGGGAACATTATTGTTATTATTATTATTGATTTTTAGCATGCAGCAGAAATCGAAAAAAAGCAAAATGATACCGAGAATAAGAAATTATTGGGTTCCGTTGTTTCCTATGGCAACGTAGTTCAGGTAATGTCTCTTCAAAACATAAAATGTTATATTCTTGAAATATTTTGTCCTCCTCCTTTAAAACAATATCTCTCTTACTTGTCACTCGAAGTGTATAGTAGTAATTCTCGTCTCTGGTTAGGACGGCGAAGACCGCAGATACCATTAGCAGATTAATTTAATTAGCATTGTACGATAAAGCAAAGGGTACTTTGAAATGCATTGAAGAGATTTTATTAAATTTCACCTCTTGGAAAATGTAACGTCACTGTCACGTGTGTCAATCTTATCTATACGTATGTTAAGAAAATTGTTCGTTAATTTCATATTTTTCAGCTGTTACATTTGAAGTCGAATAAATTTTTGACTGTCAACAAGAGATTGCCTGCGTTACTTGAGAAAAATGCTATGAGGGTTTATCTGGATGCGAATGGAAATGAGGGTTCTTGGCTTTATATAATGCCATTTTATAAATTGCGAAGCGACGGTGACAGCGTGGTAGTTGGTGACAAGGTAATACTGGAACCAGTTAATGCAGGCAGACAAGGACTTCACGTAGCAGCCAATTACGAATTAAGCGATAATCCTGGATGTAAAGAAGTGAATGTTGTTAATTCGTCAACGTCTTGGAAAGTGACTTTGTTCATGGAACACAGGGAGAATCAAGAAGAGATACTCAAGGGTGGAGACGTCGTCAGATTATTTCATGCTGAGCAAGAAAAATTTTTAACTATGGACGAATACAAAAAGAAACAACACGTTTTTTTAAGGACTACTGGTAGAACGAGTGCAACCGCAGCTACTAGTAGTAAAGCGTTATGGGAAGTTGAGGTCGTACAACACGATCCTTGTAGGGGTGGTGCAGGACACTGGAATTCTTTATTCAGATTTAAACATTTAGCTACGGGTCAATATCTTGCTGCTGAGGTTGACTCGGACGAACTTTATGAAACTAGTAATGGCAATAAGCCTGGTAAGATACAAACGCCGCGTGTATGCATTTCATGAAAAATATCTAGAAAATATTCTATAAGATAATTCATCGTGTTCTTTTTCAATAGATCCTGTTGGTAAAATTTATAGACTGGTCTCAGTACCGCACAGCAACGAGATTAGTTCTTTATTCGAATTAGATCCAACAACATTAACGAGGGGTGATAGTTTAGTACCTCAATCTTCCTTCGTTAGGTTACACCATATATGTACAAATACGTGGGTTCATTCTACTAGCGTACCGATCGACAAGGATGACGAAAAACCCGTCATGTCAAAGGTAAATCATTTGTGTGTGTTTTTTTTTTTTTTTTAGAATTTTCAACTATTAATATAATGTTGAATAATTTTGTTTTTTTTTTTTTTTTTTTTTTACTTATAATTGATACTTATAAGAGTGTACTAAGTTACTTATATATTTGTAAGGTTGGTTGTGCGTTGAACAAAGAAGATAAAGAAGCTTTCGCACTGAGATCCGTATCGCCAGTAGAGGTACGAGATTTAGATTTTGCAAACGATGCCTGCAAAGTTTTGGCATCTATCAACTGTAAATTGGAGAAGGGTACTATTTCCCATAATGAGAGGAGAGCTGTAACTAGTTTATTGCAAGACATTGTTTACTTTATTGCGGGATTAGAAAATGAACAAAATAAATCCGAGGCGTTGGAATTAATTGTAACTAATGCGGTCAGGGATCGACAAAAGTTACTACGGGAACAATATATTTTGGGTCAATTATTTAAAATACTTCAGGTATTGTAATATTATCAATGTAATTATTAATAAAACGTTTTTGCTTAAGGCTGTATGGCGCTAAGAAATAAGAATTTCAGGCACCGTTTTTAGAGTCGGCCGAGGGTGAGGGACCATTTCTTAGAATAGAAGAACTCAACGATCCAAGACATGCACCGTACAAATATATGTTTCGATTATGTTATCGTATACTTAGACTGTCGCAACAAGATTACAGAAAAAATCAGGTAATTTGAAAATTTCTTTACTACTGTATTTGTTGTAATACTTTTTTTTTTTCTAATACTGATGATTATCCCTTTGATCGTAGGAATATATTGCCAAACATTTTGCTTTTATGCAAAAACAAATTGGATACGATATTTTGGCAGAGGATACGATTACAGCACTTTTACACAATAATCGTAAATTATTAGAGAAACATATTACAGCTGCTGAGATCGAGACTTTCGTAGGTCTTGTAAGAAAAAATATGCACACTTGGGAATCTAGATTTTTAGATTATTTATCAGATTTATGTATTTCAAATAAGAAAGCAATAGCCGTAACTCAGGAATTGATATGTAAAAGTGTATTAAGTGAAAAAAATAAGGATATTCTTTTAGAGACCAGGTAAGAAATGATTTATGCAATACGTTTATCATAATATTTCACTGATAATACATAATACAATACAATTGATATATAGGATGATGAAAGTTAAAACCGAAATGAAATTGGTCGATCAAAAGCAAGATAATGACGAATCTCAAATAGTCGTTAAAGAAAAAGATGAAGTTTATCTTTTCTGGAATAATGCAACGGTTGGTATAGCGTGTTATTCGATGTATAAGAATATCTAACGTTTATGTATTGAATTTCAATTACAGAAATCAAAGTCTTTATGCGAGTTATCAAAAAACGCAAAGATGGACAATTTATTGGCACCAGCAATTTTGGATTATTACAGACATCAATTAAATTTATTTAGCAACATGTGTCTTAACAGGCAATATTTAGCACTTAACAATTTGTCACCTCACTTGGACATAGATCTTATACTTAAGTAGGTTCATACTCGCATCTTTTATTATTATTATTATTATTATTTAATAAATTCATATTCGTGAAATTTGTACATTTTTTCTTTTTCAGATGTATGGAAGATGAAACCGTACCATACGAATTACGAGCTTCGTTCTGCCGACTTATGTTACATCTTCACGTGGATCGTGATCCTCAAGAACAAGTGACACCGGTCAAATATGCACGTCTTTGGTCCGAAATTCCATTAAAAATGAGCATTAACGAGTACGTGATTAAACATTTCAAAAGATGTCATATTTATTTGAATTTTATCTCACATTTTTAGCATTAATTTTAAAATATTTCAGTTACGATACAAATAAAATGCCTGACGAAAATAAAGAAGCTGTTCGCGTTAAATTTAGTTCGACTATAAAATTTGTGGAAGATTATCTTTGCAACGTTGTCTCAAATACGTGGTCTTTTGCGGATCAGGAACAAAATAAGCTTACGTTTGAGGTAAATTAATTCTATTTAATTTGTAATACAATTTTCTACAAAATCAAACGAATTATTAATTATGCAGTGTATAATGAATTAAATGTATTTTCTTTTGCAGGTGGTTAAATTAGCACGGGATTTAATTTATTTTGGATTCTATAGTTTTAACGATCTGTTGAGATTAACTAAAAAGCTATTAAGTATCTTGGATTGTGTTTCTGAAAATGATTTCATTAATGGGAAAATACCAATCGGGGAAATTGATTGTAAGTTTAATTATATTTTATAAATTATATTATTATGTGTAATGTATATAAGTTGTTTTTTTTTTTTTTTTAGTGTAATTTATATGAGATTATATAGTATTTCCATTTGATAATTTGGATCAATCATTATTACTCCTACATTTTTGTTGTTGTTGTGTTTGTATATTAATTGCATGATTGTAAATTTTGGCGCGATAGGCTTTTATCTAAATTATATAGTTTCCTTCTAATTTTCCTATTGTTTGTGTAACGTATCATCCAATAATATATGTAACTAACTACCTGATTTTCTGGATATTTCTTAGCTGAGTCTATGGATTCTGAAGAGGCAGGTAATATTCTAATAGGTCCTATAAAATAATAATTAATATGTACATATGTTTTTATAGTAGATGACGTATATAGTTCGTTGATATATTCGACCATTATGTTTATATACGTGTCTTATTATTATTATTATTTGTAATGTGTTTTCATTAATTAATATCATTTGTGTTACGCGCGTGTGTTAGGCATTACATAATGTTACTGTGTATTTTAATAGCTGAAGGAGGAGTTCTCCGATGTATTGGCGGTATGGGTGATGTGATGGCGCGTTTACCTTTAGGACCAGCTGGACAAGTATTGGCTGGAAGTACATCTCCAAGGCCAAAGATTACTTCGAAAAAAGAATATCCTTTGGTGATGGATACTAAATTAAAAATAATTGAAATTCTTCAATTTATCCTCGACGTTAGATTGGATTATAGAATTTCTTGTTTGCTAAGCATTTTCAAACAAGAATTCGATGAGACTGAAAAAGCTTCTGGTCAAGACTTGAGTCAACTTTGTCAAAAAACAATAGATTTAGAATCGATTGGAACGCAAGCCGAAGGAATCTTTGGAAGCAGGTAATTCAATAATATTTTGTTGACGATCAAATGGATAGAATAATTACTACGAAAAAATATGTTATTTAGCGAGGAATGTGCTGCATTGGATTTGGATGGTCTTGGTGGTAAAACATTTTTACGTGTTTTACTTCACCTGGCAATGCACGATTATCCACCTTTAGTTTCTGGAGCATTGCATTTATTATTCAGACATTTTAGTCAAAGGCAAGAAGTACTGCAAGCATTTAAACAGGTTTGTCATTTCAATTCAATTATTGGATATTAAATAAATAAGAATCGATATATAAATGGTTGTTTCATTTCATCAGGTTCAACTTTTAGTCTCAGATAGTGACGTTGAATCGTATAAACAAATTAAAGCAGATTTAGACGTTTTACGTCAATCGGTGGAAAAATCAGAACTTTGGGTTTACAAGTCGAAAGCTACGGAAGAGCACGGAAACAAAAAGAAAAAGAGCAAAGAAGACGAAGAAGATTCTTCAACCCCTCGTAAAGCACCACCGCAATTGTCTACGTCGGATAAAAAAGGTTTCTATCGAGAAATACTTTTTCCCCAGTTAAATTACATTTAAACGAAATGATTTATTACAGGATCAGCGATTGATTTAGATATTGGTCCACCTTTAAGTTTGGATCAAACCGAAGAATATAAAAAAATACAACAAATATTAATACGAATGAACAAGCTGTGCATCCAAACAATACCGGGTGGACAAGTAAAACCTCGTAAACACGAGCAAAGACTTTTGCGTAACGTTGGAGTCCATACTGTTGTCTTAGATTTATTGCAAGTTCCTTACGATGATAAAGAAGATGTTAGAATGAATGAGCTTATGCGTTTGGCTCATGATTTTCTGCAAAACTTTTGTCTGGGCAATCAACAAAATCAGGTTCTATTACACAAACAATTGGATTTATTTTTAAATCCTGGCATTAGAGAAGCTCAAACAGTATGTAGTATATTTCAAGACAATTCGACGCTTTGCAATGAAGTTAATGTAAAGGTGATTCAACACTTTGTTCATTGCATAGAAACACACGGTAAACACGTGCAATATTTAAGATTCCTTCAAACTATCGTGAAAGCTGAAAACCAGTTTATCAGAAAATGTCAAGAAATGGTGATGCAAGAGGTGATCATCCATCAAATATTTCATTCATGGCCCCCAACCAAATTCTCGTTGCATCGTTATCATTTTCTTTTTCTTTTTCTTTTTCTTTTTAGCTCGTTCAAGCCGGAGAAGATGTTTTAGTATTTTATAATGACAGAGCTTCGTTTAATCAATTCGTAGAAATGATGCGTTCGGAGAGACACAGAATGGACGAAAGTAGTCCACTCAAGTAATTATTAACATTTACTTTATTTATTATTCATTTTTAAATGTGGAGTAACATTTGTATCATTTCTTTTTAGATATCACGTTGAATTGGTTAAATTATTAGCTTGTTGTACAATGGGTAAAAATGTTAATACCGAGATCAAATGTCATAGTCTTTTACCCTTGGATGATATTGCTGCAATGGTATCGCATCCAGATTGTATACCTGAGGTAATAACACATCATTTATTATGTATAATTGTTTTTATTTTATTATTTTTATTATAATATATATTTCGTGTATATGGTTTCGTGATAGGTGAAGGAAGCTTACATCAATTTCCTTAACCATTGTTACATTGATACCGAAGTAGAGATGAAAGAAATTTATAATTCCAATCATATGTGGTCCTTATTTGAAAAGTCCTTTATTGTAGACATGAACTTGATTGCAACACCTAAAAATGATCAACGAGATACAGATAATGCTTTAGAGAATTATGTGACGAGTTGTTTAATGAATATCATCACTACATTCTTTAGCAGTCCATTTTCTGATCAAAGTACAACTGTCCAGGTACTGTATTTTTATCTCTCTATATAACACCATTATTAATATTTCTTATTATATTTTATCTGTTACTTCTTATATATTTTTATTGTTTATTCGGTTATATATATATATATATTTTTTTTTTTTAAATAATTTTTTCCTATATATATTGGTGCCTATTTCTAAATATTTTTATAATCTATTTTGTACAGTAAATATGTCAAATATTTCATGTTTAAATCATATCGGAAATTTTTCTGAGTAATTTATTTATTTATTTATTTTTTCTTTAATGAATTCGTTCCGTTTAAATCAATATATACATATATCTAGCACACCAACAATATTTCTTCAAAATAATGGCACATTTTACTTTTACTCTGTTATAATTAATTTGTTAATGTAAACGTTATTACTCTATGTTTATTTTTTTTTCAATTATATCAATTATAAAATACTAAACAGCAAGAATGGCTTTGAAGTTTAGTCATCTTCGCGTAAACAAAGTAACTTTCTGGATATCTAATAAACTATGTAAATGCATGTGCTTATGACAATTCAAGATATTTAATACTAATTGAATTATGTTAACAATCAACGAAGTATGATACATCGAAGTCGGTATAAACTATTAGAGATGGATTATATTATTACGAATTTGATCAGTGTTATATTTTATAGAATTAGTATTCCAGCAGTTTTTCATTCTGTTACAGTAGTTTCAAGAATGTTGTTTATTATATTACGTTTTTATTTTATGTTTCATTATATGACTGAAGTTCTTCGAAAATGAGGTAATTTTAGCAATGAATATCACAATGAATTAGAAATTTAGAAGCTGAACTTGAATTAGATTGCTAGTATTGTTTTAAATAGGTAATTATTAAATAGATGAAAATAAATAAATTGTAAATTTAGACGATGGCAAGAAAATAATAGAATAATGCAAATATATTAATATTTAATATTGTTAGGTCATTTTTATTTTCAGGAATAAGAAAAAAAACAGGATGATAGAACAAGTTAGAGAAGATATAGTTGTTCATTAAAAAACGAAATGCACTTGAAATTAGTCATCAAAAATAAATTATACATATTCATATTATATTATAATCTATGCTTTGCATGTTACACTAACCATTACATTCATCAACCAAGTACATATCATAGATACATTAAAAATGTTATTTAATTTAGAATCATTTTGTTCATTTCTCCATTTTTCCATTATTATTGTTATTATTATAATTTGATCATTATCATTAAGTTCACACATTACTATCATCCCTTTTGTGTAATAGTAAATACATCAATAGACTGATATAATATATGATTAAATCATTAATATTATTTGATATGTACTTGGTCATTATTGATTGCACCAGCGGCATGTTCTGTGTTTTTGGCATGCAATACCTGGCCTTCTTGAATCAACAACATGGGTGGTTTCGTCTATGTGCTGGGTCTGTAATGTGGTGATGGGTTGATTTACTAATAGAAACAACTGCACGAGGCTAGACTTTATTGGAGCATCAAGGAATGTGACCGGAATATTGACAATAATGTTGCAAGTTATGTGAGTATTATTAGTAGAGTGCTGTCTTGGCCTAAGAACACAAGAATTGTACAAATACACTCACATCACCTATGTAATATAACATTTTAATGATAAATTAATGAAACTAAAATACGATATTTCTTTTGTTTAACGGAAGATATTAATAGTAAATGTAAGGGTATATAGATAGATATTAATTTTTAATATATATATATAATAAAGAAATGATAAAAATTAATTCAAAGTCGTAAGATTATTTTTGATAATAAAAACAGTAATATATATCAGCCTTGATATTCTGATAATATTTATAAAAGAAAATTCCTACAAAAAATGCAGTTCGTTTTTATAATTAGTAACATTGTCAAATAATTGTTTGTAATTGGCAGCATGAATTTTAATCTGGGTATATAATGTAACATGTAAATAAATACATGGATGTACATATTTTGTGCACACAAAAAAGAAGTTTCAATGTACTAATAAAATAATAATAGTTTTAATTTTTTCTCATTATATAAATTTTATAAAATTTTATACAATTTTACGTACGTTATAAATATAGTTCGTACTTAATAAACAAATAACACACACTAGTACAATAGGAAGCACTCACATGGTCGTAATGATTTCATTTGGACTTAATTTTATTTGTTTATTAATATATCAATATTTTATGGTGAGAATCGTTAGCGGCATAATATTTAATTAGTATTTCTTTTTTATTTATTAATTAGACTCGACAGCCAATATTTGTTCAACTACTTCATGCAGCGTTTAAAGTATCGCAATGTATGTGGTTGAATGCAGGACAAAGATTCAATGTAGAAAATTGTATAAGAACTTTATCCGATGTTGGTAAGTTATAAGATTGATCTAAAATTTCCCTGATTGTTTATTAATGTTAAACATTTGTAGCTAAGGGACGAGGTATTGCCATTCCTACTGATTTGGAAAGTCAAGTTGCTTCTATGTTTAATAAAGCGGCGATGCTTAGTAGGCAAACAAGTAAATGGCTGCAAGCTTCTAAACAACCGAAAATAGAGCGTACTCAAAGTCAGGTAATATAGAATATTTTTTGTATTATTACAAATATCTATCTCTAAATATATATTATATATTCACGATGTTATAATATAAGTTTCCTTAAATATGTAGAATGATATGGTTTTGATGGACAGCTCTAAAGAAGAGGTAAAAGTTGTTCAGAACTCTTAACATTAGTTTGAGTCATTAGATCCTGTGTACATATATATATATATATATATATATATATATATATATATATNATTTGAAACGATAGTAAATTATAATTTAAAGAAAAAAATAATAAAATATATACTATAGCAATACCGTATATCTTATAGATTGCTTGTAAAAAATATAGGATGTACATTAGTAATAGCTATTCGTACAAAGTATAATTTATTTGATAAAAGAAAAAGTAATGTTTGTTTATTATTTTATTATTTAATAATATATTCATTTGTTATTCGTAGCTGATGCGTCTGGATCGTAGTATTATAGAAGGTCTACAAGACATAGTATGTTTATTAGAAGAACAACTTAAACCATTGGTGCAATCAGAATTATCCTTGTTGGTTGACATCCTCTATCGACCGGAGCTTTTATTTCCACCAAATACCGAAGCTAGGGAACGATGTGGAAATGGTGGATTTATTAGAAGGTAATTACTTTTCAAGTATCATTATATGTTCGAAATGTTCTATGATAAAAATACAATATATATTTAGTCCTATTTATATTTTAGATTGATTAAGCATACCGAAAAATTATTAGAAGAGAAAGAAGAAAAATTGTGTATAAAGGTATTAAAAACACTTCGAGAAATGATGGCGATTGATCCTGAATACGGTGAAAAAGTAAGTCTCGTAAATTTTCATTTGCACGAAATTCGAGTTATAGAAATCATTTAAATATAAGGAATAATTTATCTCATAACATTAAGAAATTGGATATTCAGTATAATGAATAAAAATGATAAGGGCTATATTATATTTGAAAATTTGTTGCACTTAAGTTTTACAAAGAACCTGAATGTCCAATTATTCACTGCACTTTAGATGACCAATACACAAGTAGATATTTTTTATTTGCTATAATAACGCGAGAATACAACTAAAAAAAAAAAAAAAAGAAATTAATAAGCTTTAATAAGCTTTCTTGAATATGCGATACAAAGTGTTAGAAATCCTTGGGTGAGTATATATCGTAGATTAGATATGTAGGTAAAGATGTTTTCACGCTGCAAACGAAGAATGAAGATGTTTTGGAACATGCAGATTCAGAAAAGAAGACCGAATCTCCTCTCGGAACAGATTCCAATGATCAATGCGATCGTCAAATGACTCAGCAAGAGCGGGTAACAATTAATGTAGATTGAAAACGGTATTTTAAGGGCACAACGTATATAAATCAATATAATCAATAGTTGATTTTGATATACCTACTGTGTATACAAAAAACACGCATTGAATAATTATATAGATAAATTTAGTTATTAATGCATATATACATATATATATATATATTTAGATTTATTCAAAAAGCATCATTTTTATTAATGAATGCTTTTATTTATTTGCAACGATTTCAATTATTATCATAAAGTAGAATTCAACTTTACTAATTATTCGAGCTGTGATCAAATAAATAATAATAATAATAATGTACGTTGTGTAGAATCTTTTCTGCACGTGCTCGATTTTATTTTGCATGTTTACCTTTTATTATATGCTACTATTACGATTAATATTTTAATCACACTATATAATAATTACATTAACATTTGCACAGATTCATTTAATGATATTCATTGAAAGACAGTTTTAAATAGAAATAATTGTAACATAGTGATCACTGTGTATATTTAGCATACACAAGTTCTAGTACTTGTAATTAATATTTTTGTAGATCATATTCAACTTTTCGCACTCTAAATGAACTATTTTGCAGATAATACTAAAGCTCTTGTGCAAATCAAATTCACCCTTTGTGTGTATCTATCGAGTTTTTTAATTTCTCAAATTCTTTAGTGCACGAGAGAAAAAGTTCATGATAACACAAGTTTTAAAATTAATTAGAATCAATTATTTCCAATACACACGGAAGGGTTAATTTGTAATGCAAAACATTTATTATTTCATTTCTTGTTTTTCATTTATGCTTTCTTGGAGAAGTACATACACATATTGTATATATATATACACACACCCATGCTCTGTTATTTTTTAATATTTAAAATATATATATATATATAGAGAGAGAGTTTCTTTCAACATAATTTTTTTTTCTATCAAGGTACTTTTTAAAAATTTCATTTATACACCGATGAATGTGTGTATATGTATATTATAAACATAGTTAGATATAGATGTGTAAATATGTATGGATTGAATCTGATGTACCAATACAGAAGTAGATATCCAATTTTTTCTCGAAATATTAATGTTCAAATGATTACTATGAAAAATGATTGTCACACGGAAAGTATTATATTATTATATTAGATAAACCACTTGTTAGAATTATTTTTAATAATTTGTCTATATTTTAAATTATGAATCTCTTTTTTACATCATTTTGTTTTATATTATAGTATGATGTTTTTTTCTTGTAAATTATAAATTTAATATAACATGCATTAATAATGTTTATAATCGTACAGAGTCTATATAAGTGGTATGCATCATGCCTAATTAGAAGTATAGACAATATGTTAAAAAAAAAAAAGGTGTATATAAATAGTAATGTGTAAATTATTGCATTTTCTAGTAATACTAATTGTAATGAGAAAAAAAAAATGATTAAAAACAAATTCGGAATTATTCTCTATTTTATTATATACAACAAAACGCTAGTTTTTGTCTATTTTTCCATATTGCATCCGATATATGAATGAAAAAAAATACATCGTTTATAAAGGCATTTTTTAATTAATAGCACACACACACACACACACGTATATTTTTCCTTATTCAATGCACTGTGAATGTAAATACACACACCGTACAACATTTATTGAGAATATTATTAGATGTTACATTTTTTGAGATCGAATTTTAATAACGTAGTGCAATTGTATTGGTACATCATCGTAAAATAATTATATTTATTCGTATTGTTATAAATTTCTATCCTTTTTCTACAGGGTGATGCATTAAGACACAATCTTCTGACGCGTTACTTCGGTAAGAGTTTCATTCAAAAGCCTGAGAATGTTGAAATTGGAGTATCCTGTACAATGGCTGTAACTCACGGACCAGGAGGTGATAAAAATAAGTTTTTTTAATTACTAGCGTTAACCAAAAGTTCGTGTGTTTTTAATGAATATTTTTAAATTACTGTTTATAAGACAATTTATAAGACAATAAATGCACGAACTTTTGATTCACCCTAATATTATTTATTGTAAACATTTATTTCTCATTTTTACTAATTTAGTGTCGATTTGTATAAATGTTGTAGCCAAGTTGCTAAGCCGTGCTGGGAGGACTTTGCACGAAGTTCAAAGTCATTTAGACAGAGAAGGTGCATCAGATTTGGTCGTAGAATTGGTTATTAAAAGTGTACACTCTCCTAGTATATTTGTAGAAGTTGTAGAACTAGGAATTGCATTATTGGAGGGTGGCAATCCGATTATACAAAAAAGTGTATTCAATAAGTTAATGGGCGGTGATTTGAGTCAATCATTTTTCAAGGTACCATTTGTTGATATTTTTATATATTAATGTTTTATTATAGATTAATTTGTAATAGTTTGTTGAATTTAATTGTATTTATTTGTTAGGTTTTTTATGATAAAATGAAAGATGCGCAACAGGAAATAAAATCAACGGTAACGGTTAATACATCAGATATAACAGCAAAAACTAATGAGGATAAGGAACAAAGTAAAGAATTAGAAAAGATATCAAGAAAACGTGCAGCAGGTAGTTGAATATATTTTTATTGTATATTTGATAAATATTATAATGTATTCTTCACAGATTGCAAATACTACGTACTTTTAGGTAAGCTTAATGGTATAGTTTGCACCGATGAATTACGAGATGAAGTAAATTCAACCGCAGCGACTAATGTTCAAATCTACGGGAACACGCGTGCCATTGTACCTGGTGAAGATGTAACAAATAATGCGGTGGAAGAGATGATTGGTGAAAAGTTAGAAAGAGCACGTGCCGAACCTACGTCTGGCGTTGAAAAGGATGACACACAACTTAGCGTTAAAGTATTAGTGATGCAACCAATTTTACGATTTTTACAATTATTATGTGAAAATCATAATCAAAATCTTCAGGTAAATTGAGTTTAATATCTTGTTTTTGGTCTTTTATTAAACACACACGTTAATGACATTTTCATTCTTTACAGAATTTTCTTCGGAATCAAAATAACAAGACGAATTTTAATTTGGTATCCGAGACACTTATGTTTCTCGATTGTATTTGTGGCTCGACGACTGGCGGATTGGGTTTACTTGGATTATATATTAATGAAAATAATGTTGCATTAATTAATCAAACTTTGGAGACTTTAACGGAATATTGTCAAGGACCTTGTCATGACAATCAAAATTGCATTGCCATTCACGAATCTAATGGTCTAGATATTATAACGGCTTTGATATTGAATGATATTAATCCATTGGGTAAAACTAGGATGGATTTGGTATTGGAATTGAAAAATAATGCCAGTAAATTGTTATTAGCTATTATGGAAAGTAGGGGTGACAGCGAGAATGCTGAAAGAATATTATACAACATGAATCCAAAGCAATTGGTGGACGTGGCATGTAGAGCATTTCATCAAGAATCATTGGACGGTTCTACTAATGTTGATGATTCCTCAACTAACGGGGAGGATGGAGTGTCTCCTAAAGAAGTAAGATGATATTTTATTAACACGTTTTTATCTAAAAATAATTGCTGGTAACACTGTCTTATGTTGGATAATTTAGTTATATGTAAATTGTAATAATGAAACCACACGCGTGAAGTATCACAAAAAGGTTGACAAACTTTTGTATTGATAAATCATTTCTTTATTATTTTAACAACATTTTTTGTTCATAGGTGGGTCATAATATTTATATCTTATGCCATCAATTGGCTCAACATAATAAAGAATTAGCAACTATGTTGAGGCCGTCAGAAGACAACGCAGATTCGGAAATAAATAAAGCATTGCAATATTATGCATCTCATACATCTCAAATTGAGGTATGTCCTATTTCTTATTTGTTTGCTTTTTTCTATATGACATATAGAATTACAAAAGAAATATTTGCTTTTAGATTGTCAGACACGATAGAACATTGGAACAAATAGTTTTTCCGATACCAGAAATATGCGAACTTATTACCGTTGATACGAAAATTAGAGTGTTAAATACTACAGAACGTGACGATCAAGGTTCTAAAGTATCAGATTTCTTTGAAAGAACGGAAGATATGTTTAATGAAATGAAATGGCAGAAGAAACTTAGAGGACAGCCAGTATTATTTTGGATGAGCAGTTACATGTCATTATGGAGTAATATTTTATTTAACTGTGCTGTCCTTATAAACCTTATTGTGGCTTTCTTCTATCCATTTGTAGATTCTGTACCAAGTAAGGGTTTTACATTTAAAAAAAAAAAGATATACTTGGAAAAAAATGATATCATTGTGCATAATATTTAATTTGATTTTGTTGTTTTGTTCGTATAGAACTTTGTTCACATTTGTCAGCTCTTATTTGGGCTGTGATGTTTGCATCAGCAGTTATTGTCATTACATTGCCACGAGAATCGGGTATACGTACATTAGTTGCGTCAACAATTTTACGATTAATATTTTCTATAGGACCAGAACCAACTTTGTGGTTACTTGGATTTGTTACGGTACGAAATGTATTCGAAATGTATTCGAAATGTATTCGAAATGTATTATATTTCATTATCATTGTAATATCAATAGATGCCTTTATTTTCTATATATCATATTCTATTTCTTTTGTTTCAGATCGTTCTAAAGGTTATTCATCTCATAAGTATTATAGGAAATCAGGGGACCTTAACTAAAAGTATAGAACAAATAATGACAAATGGTGAAATATTGTATCACGCGTCATACTTAATATTTTGTGTACTAGGACTTTTGATGCATCCATTTTTCTATTCGGTTTTAGTAAGTGTTTTTTTGCAAATCAAATAAAAGCAGCAGAGTTTATGTTTTTCTTTTTTAAGCATTAAAAAGATTGATTATTATTTTTCAGCTCTTTGATGTGGTTTATCGAGAAGAAACATTGCTCAATGTAATAAGATCTGTTACCAGAAATGGACGATCTATTATACTGACTGCTGTGTTGGCTTTGATTTTAGTTTATATGTTTTCTATCATCGGATTTATGTTCTTCAAAGATGATTTTCTGGTCAGCGTTGACGAAGATATTGTTCGTAAGTATATTTTGACAATTTATTGAAGTACACACTATTACGTGTCTCTTGAAAACAACATTTCATTTTTAGCCACATTAGATGATAAAACTGCAGATACTTGTAAAGTTAGTGATAACGAAAAATGTGAATCAAGTGAAACTATGTCACGATATTTACGCGAAGGTTTGATATTTGTTTCTTTATTATTTGAAAAGAATTTCTAATGAAATGTTTTCATTATATTTCAAATATATGATATCATTACAGTTAATGAACAAGGAAATAATCAAGATTTGTTTAATGTTGGGGGTGAAGTAAAAGAACGGGCTTGCGATTCATTAGTTATGTGCATCGTTACAACGTTAAATCAAGGTTTAAGAAATGGCGGAGGTATAGGTGATGTTTTAAGAGCTCCATCGAGCACGGTAAGATTACTTTTGTTTTTCCCTAAAAAACCACATATTTTATTAATAATATATTTTTCAATTGCACAGGAACCATTGTTTGTTGCCAGAGTCGTATATGATTTACTATTCTTCTTCATAGTGATAATTATTGTTTTGAATCTCATTTTTGGTGTCATCATCGATACGTTTGCTGATCTTAGATCAGAAAAACAGCAAAAAGAATTAATTTTAAAGAATACTTGTTTCATTTGCGGTTAGTATATATATATATATGTACGATTACCAAATGTTTAAAAGAGTTAGATCTATTTATAAATTTTGTTTTAACAGGTTTAAATAGGTCAGCTTTCGATAATAAGACTGTATCTTTTGAGGAACACGTTAAACACGAACACAATATGTGGCATTACCTTTATTTCATCGTTTTAGTAAAGGTAAAAGATCCGACAGAATTTACAGGTCCAGAATCGTATGTTTATGCAATGGTGAAGGTAATTATTTGAACGAGTTGTTAAAGTATTGGAATGGTTGTTGTTTATTATTCTTTTTTTTGTCTAAAATTTTATGCGCATACATAGGACAGAAACCTTGAATGGTTTCCACGATTAAGAGCTAAATCATTGGCGGCAGACGAGGGCGAGGGTGAACAAGTTGAGTTGAGAAGTTTGCAATCACAATTAGAATCCACTCAATTATTGGTGAAGTGTCTTTCACAGCAACTTACAGAATTACGTGATCAGGTAATATATTTGATTAATGTCATTATTTTTCTATCGTTATATTTTTACTGTCATGTTTTTAATCAGATGACGGAACAGAGAAAGCAAAAACAACGTTTGGGTTTGTTAAATTCTGCATCTCCACTTTTACATAATCTATAAACGAGCGGATAACGGTACGGATGTAAGAAAAAAAAATTTGAATGGAATTTTACGAATTTGCTGTGCCCTTAGCCGTAGCTGCATTTTCCTTTGATATTCTAAAAAGGATACATGTTTATATGTTTCCGACAACATTCAAGAATAACATTAAAAAGATCTAATGGGTAGGCATCTCGGAATATGCGTACGGTTTTGTTCCTAATTTTGAAGAAAGTGATCTACATAATGAAATGATATGACATGAGAGATATTAGATATATAAAGCGCACTTCGATTGTTTTTTCTAAATTATTATTATTATAGATAATATATATGGCATGTCATCTCAACTTATTATTATAATTTATATCACGTTAAAGATCTTATTTTTTGGTACTATTATAAATCATGCATTTACATTACTTCAAATATTTACACAATTTTGTTTCGTGGATATAAATATAATAATAATAATAATAATAATAATAATTTAACGATTAATCGTATTACTTGATTATATGAGTGCAAGTAGTATATAAGGAATTAAATTGACTTAAATACAGCATTTTAATAGTGATTTAAACAAATTATAATCACTTACGTGAGATCTGTCTATTCAATTGTAGCGTTAAATTAAATGTGATTTATTGTTATTGCATTTAGAAGAGGAGTATATTATTATATATCGAAGATTTAGTTTAGCATTTCGCGTGTGAAAGGTTCTTTCGTTTTTTTTTTTTTTTTTTTTTTTTTTTTAATGATCGTTACAATAATCTATTTACTTTTGTTCTATGACATAATTAAACACACGCGTACTATTATAGCGTATTAGATTATTTTATAATTGGACTATATAAGAGTCTATTTGAATGTTAGTCAAATTTAATTGATCGTCGTATATATAAATTCTATAGATATGTTTTTTCTCTCTCGATAGTTCGTGTATAAAGTTCTATATCTATTTATTTGTAAGAAGCAAATATGAGATGCGTGTTTTATTGAGCGCGATATGCAAGTACATTTGAATGAACAAATTTGTATTAGCGCACAATTTGTTATACTTTTCATCATTAAATCGAATATTATAGAGATTTATACAAATTCAAGTGTTAAACAATTGTTATCTCTATGTTACACATATATAATCCCATTGTGGTTTCGTTATTGTTGATGATATCAGATATGAATATGTTGTTTTATTGGGAATGTTGACTATTTTTTACATTATTTTATCCTTTAATTTAGAGATGTACACAAGAGAACTGAATGACACATATAGAATTTTAAGAATATTAACATATATTAATATAAATTAATTACTCGTTATAATAATGTATTTTAGAATGTATATATACATATGAGAAGTTGATAAATGAATATTATTTGCAATAATGCTTTTACGGTCATCGATGTCAATGTTATATTATTATCATATGCATTTACTTAATGCTATATATGTACTGTGTCTGATCTGATATACATATATATATATATATATATATTATCATGTTGTAGATTTTAATTAAAAGAAATTAATATCGTTGGTTAGTAGAAGATTTTTTGACAAAAATTTTCATATATTTAAAGATGAACTGAATTGTCTGGATATATGTATTATATATTTGTCAGATTTTCTTACAGTTCGTATTATTTATAATCGACGCAAGTATAAACATAAAGTAATAATTCATAGGGATCAACTAAATATGAAATAAGAAATATAAAATGAATAATATCGTAGTTTTGCGTGTTCAAAATTCATATATATATATTCAAAATATATATATATATATGGAATTGTTTATAATGTCGAATAGAAAATGATTATAATATATTATGTTTCATTTTTCAGATGTCCATAAATTTTTATGTATTAACAAAAAAAAAACTTTAATATTATTCTAAATAAGCAATTAAAAAGATATTTTATTTCTAATTTAAATTATTATTATGAAATTTTTCTACGAAATATATATACATCTTTCATATCCTTTGAGCTCATATACGATGGGACTTTCTGTGTTTTTCAAAATATCATTTTTATATAATGTATATAATTATGTTGTTACAAATATACATGTTACTAATTAATTTGATTAATCTTATGCTTGTTTTTTTTTTTTTTTTTTTTAATTAAACGAATCTTTGAATCAATTTTATATTATACGTATACGAAGAGTTTGTAAATTAATATTTCAAATATTGTACGATAATAGAGAAGTTGTATTAGAATTTTAATGTGAATAAATTGTATTGTTTTTTATAAAGTACCATTTATGGGAGAAAGAAAGACGAAACGGAAAGGATCAAGAAGAAGAAGAAGAAGAAGAAGATAGGAAAGAAAGAAGCAAATATTTTATTTCACTTTATTTATACTTTATATATGAAACAATTGACTATTTATTGTGACTTAGATATAGGTAACTATTACATGTAACATGTATTTTTCCTATTAGTAAGACGTATTTTGTGCAAAATCGGTAATTTCACTTAAAGTGAAAATATTTCGAAATCCTTTTTCAAAATTGAAATCGTTTCACATTTTATTATTATTATTTTAATTAATACGTGCAAAACTCTTCAAATGATATTTCTAAAAAGAGCCGACACGAATTAAACGTGAAATATAATAATAGTTGTCGCTGTTTTTCAGAGGAAGCACGTAACCGATTTAACACACACACACACACACACACAAATCATTCGAGTCACACCTCTAAAACTCTCCTTTGGTGACTTATTACAATAATTAAAACCTATGCTTTTTAATTGTTATTTAAGTCATTCGTTTAATACACAGTCGGTGCTTGTTATAAGCGGGCAAATTTTCGTCATTGTTTTGTTTGTTTGTTTGACGAAATTGACGATTTTTACAATAGTTGAAACAATTCACATTTGCGATATGAAATTATTATTAAATACCGCTGATGTTTGTTTTTTTTTTTTTTTTTTTTTTTTCAATTGGACATAAACATATTATGCAGTAAATGGAATACATTGAAAAACTAGTCAGTCTTCACGAAGTTATTAAAAACGAAATGTTACATTACAAAATAAAAGAAATTCCTTGTCACACTTTATACCAAAGTTATAGCAAAAAGATATGAAAGGATGAAAAGTACTATAATTATAGGCCGTATAGATAAAAAAGGTATTCTAAAAAGGTGTATAATCATCAAAATATGATCTCACGTCAGTACCATGAAATTAATAACTTCTTTATACGTTCGTTAAGTTAAATCTCATATTATAACAGTGTGAGATATTTATTCCTTTAAACTTGTTTTCGACGGATAAGTACAGTGATTTTCTAATTCGTATGTATGTGTGTTTTGTGTGTCTGCGTGTCTGTCTGTCTGTGTGTGTAGTCGCTTATTAAATTGTAATTATTTATTGCATCTAAAAAATCGTTCAACCATTATTTTCTCTCGTTAGATGCATTTTAAACATATATTCTTGCTAATGACGTATTTTAAGTAGCACTTTGTGTAAGAAATATTTTTCTGATTCAATGACCCACTGTTGTCAAAGGATAACGAAGGCATAAACGATTCATTATTGAATTACGTAACAATTTTAAATACATAATTGCAACAAGAGAACGTTTTTGTTGCTTTCGATATGATCACTCGTACTACTTTTAAGAGATTTCTTCTATACTAGAAACGAATTCTTACGTAGGAAGATGCGATAATTTTCTCTCATGTGTTTTCATTATCACAACATATAACAATAAATTCGAAGGTGCCTCGGGTATAAAGCTCGTTCTTTTAAAATATTACATTTGTTTTATTTCTTTGATCCATAAGAATCGCGTGTCGTTAGAAATATCAATGTCTTCTTATCTAAAGTATAATTGTATATCTTACATACAATTATTCCGGCGACTTACGTAATTCGTTTTATTCTGTACAAATCCTATTAAGTTTATGATGTATTTACAATCTGTCTTTCTATAATATTGTTATTTTGTTCTTTTATTTAATTATTATTATTATTATTATTATTATTATTATTATTATTATTATTATTATAATTATTATAATAATTATTATTATTCTTATTCTTACGCGTCTAATTTGGCATTCGCGCGATTAAGTTGTTGATGTGAGGTTGTTTCTCGCTAATTCAAATCCGTGCATCGCGTTTCTTGCAAATCAATTTTCTATGTATAATATGTATATGTGTATATGTTTATGTATATGCATTTATATATATATATATATAATATTTACACTCGGTGTATAACTTCGAGCTTGATATAGCTTTTAGTTTTACAAATTTCTTTTACGAGACACTTAGTGTTCTTCTTGGATCTCTTTCCAATGATTGTATATTATCAAATTTTACGTATGCCCGTTAGTTAATATGAATTAATTAACTTTATCGATAATATTGCAAATAATATTTACGTATCTATCGACGATATTTCAATAATTCGTTAACATTTTGCTATAGCAAACAATTCTCATCGTGTTATTATTCTACGCAGGTTTTAAAAGTTCAAATATGAGTTGTTTTCGAAGTGTTCTTCGAGTATTTAAAAGTTACAATAAATAAATTATATCGTTATTTATCTGTCGATAGATTTGCGAATAATTAACTTAGTTAAAAGTGATAATATTAATTAACTTCTGTTAAAGTTGATTCACGTTTTAACAGTTGACAGTAAACTCTCTTGACTCGTTTAATTAACAGGAACGTGTAAATCGTGATTAATTAAGAATTAGACAAATCTCAACAAACGATCGAATAGATGAAAATTATTATGAAGAAGATCATCAAAATAAGTTTGTTTTGTGGTTTAATTTCAATCGAGGAATCGGTAATCTGATTTGGGGCTGGCGATGGTCCACTTTGTCGAGTATTTGCGATAACGGTATGGCTTCTCCACTTCATCGTATATTGAGGTGCTGTTCTTCCCAATGCTTGTAATCTATATCCAATAGAAAAATATTATTTATACATTTTTCTCTTCTTCTTCTTCTTCTTCATACTCGAATAAGTAGACATATAATTGTAATTTTTTGCTATAGATAAGTAACCTAAAGAAGTATCTTTTAAATGAGATAATATTAAGAGGTCGTAAAAAAACTTTGAACAAAGTTGAATGGTTAAAGTGGTCAGAGTATTTACCCAAGAGAAACTTACCTAACTACCGCGGTATTCTCTTTCCAAGGTAGAGTAAAATTCTTATGAACGTCCCTAGAACAAAATGTGTGCAATCTTTCTCCCGCGGGATCACCGTTTTCGTTGTACTTATGGATCGTTAGGTTCCATGCCGTACATGGTCCTACAAAAAAAAGATTCAATATTATTAGATTGTTTTTCATTTATTACAGACCATCCACACGTTAAATTTCATCTAATAAATTCAAACACCGTGTGGGGTAGGTACAGTGATTCGAGTAGAACAAAAGCAAAATCTCGGAAGAGTTATAGAAAATCTTAAAAAGAAGAACAAAAAAAAAAGCACGAATGAAAGCTAGACCATTAGATTTAACGCGACAACAAAAACTAAAGCTTTACTACGAAACACCACTGTCTATTCGTTTTCTTTTCTTTTTTCTTCTTTTCTTGTTTCCTCCCTTACTTTTCTCCTACTTTTCTCTTATTTTCTTCCACAATTTTCTTTCTTAGCTTTCCTTAACCACTATTTGAAAGAGTGAAATAGAGAAAGCAGAGATAGGAAATTACAGAGAGACGAAACTACTGGCAAAGCTTCGCCAAGAGCGGAAAAGGAAATGGTTTTAATATATACCTTTATACCATTTTTTTACCAATTTTTCTTTCTTCTTTTTTTCTGTTTTTTTTTTTTTTCAAATCTCTTGTAGTAACAAAACTTATATTGCACTTTATTACATATTTTTCCTCGACTTGTTGTTCGCACAAAATTCACATACATTTTTTTTTCTCGTAAAATATATGATTAATTCCATATAGTAATCCCTTTGTGTATACATGTCATTCGAGAATTTAGTAGATTGTATTTTTTGTTCTCTGTTCACATCTTTTTTACGTCTAGAGTATCGTTCTTGTATTTTTTTTTTTTTACTTTTTTGTTTTGTTTTGTTTTTTACATAGGCACATACAAACATGAATATGTATTGTACATATACGAGTTTCGCAATCACTTTTGACGAAGCTTTTTGATCCTAGTCATGAAAATGTTCATTCTCCATATTTAATCATTTTATAGCTTGTTTCAAAAGGATTTGAACATTTTATATGATAAATTCATAAATTCGAATTTTAGATGACTATATGTATTCGTTTTATTTCACGTTTAAAAAATATTTTCATGAGATTCGGGCCCGTTTTATTATATTACATAAAAAAAAAGAGTTTGTTTTTTCTTTCATCTAGTTTTTAATTACATTTTGATTATTTTGAAGAATAATCTACTTACTGCTCTGATTTGATTTCACTTCTATCGTAAGCTGTCGATCCGTAGGAGATTCCAAAATCCAAGTACACTTCTGTTGATAATACTGATTGAGCTTTAAGCCAGCTTTTGCCAGATCACCACCATTGACTTCTCCCTCCAGTTTTCTGGTGGTATGATCACCGCAATAAGTATCCTTGACGAACTTATAAGCTGCACGAAAATTTAGACCTGCCAACGAATATCTCGACCATTCGATATAAACCGGTGTCCAACTTCGAATTCCTACCGGTAACCAGTCCTGTTGTACATATTTATATTATAAATTAATTAATTAATAATACATTAATATTAGGATCAATCAAAAGTTGGTGCAAGGTTTTCTTTTTGAGAAATCAATAAAATTACTTACTCATTTATGTAAGTGAAATATTAATTTAAAAACACACGAACTTTTGTGAGTTCACCCTAATATATTTTAAAAAAGGGTTAAAAAGGAAAATGATTTTTTCAATCAAAGTGAAATTTGATTAAAAACGTTGGACGATGAGATAGGCCGGGGTAAGAGAGATCGTTAGGAAATATAGTAATGGGTGAAAAAAAAAAAAATGAAAAAAAAAGAAACATATAAAAGGTAACGACGAGAGATAAATGAGGATTCGTAAAGGAGAACGGATAATTTAGGTATAGGGCACCTCGATCGATGACCTCGTCGTTCGTTTCGAGGGTATCTCTGGTGAATAAATTTTCAATGAAACTCTTGATATCGGTACGTGAGTGGCAGAAGTAAAATAAGAACGTTCGGTTTGCCACAGTAGAGAATAAACGGCTGCTGCCCTTAGAAGAACATTTTCCGAATTAAACGAGCTAGGGGTGTTCAATGAGTGTAGTGCTTCTTCGAACTTTTGAAGGAAGCAATTTCGCCAAAGTAACGAGAGATGAAGCGAACAGAAAGATAAATCGTCGTCGTCGTCGTCGTCGTCGTCGTCGTCGTCGTCGTCGTCGTCGTCGTCGTCGTAGTCGAGATTACGTCGTTGAGGATTACTTTCAAAGAAGAAATCAGGCTCGGATTACCTGATAGTTTCCACAGAGACAGGTGACGACATGACCAGTCTCAGAGACGAGCAGTAGATGATCCATATTCTCCAATGATTTATTACTAACGCAATGACATCCACTGTCGCCACATTTCGTTTCGCACAAACTATTAGATATCTGTTTCGAACTGCTTTCCACCTTAGGGATAGAAAACAACGAGACAAAACAAATGGATTAATCGACAGTAATATTTAGATGTTTAGTAATTTAATACGAAATTTGTGTACAATGTAGTACATTATATAGATTATGTTTTATTCATTAGAAATTACGTTTTGTATATTATATTACATTATTACTTTATTGATAAAAAAAAAAAGAGAAATAAAGCATCGCAAGCTTTTTGTAATAATTTATGAGTCGTTCATTAAATGAATTTAATAGTTTGTGTAATGGGGAAAAAGGTAGAGAAAGTCAACGCTTTGTTTTAATTGTCAAAGAGAAATGTAGATAATGATTATTTTCATGTTAACTCACTGTGATGATGACCGACTGATTTGTCGCTGGAATAAAATGTTGCTTGCATTTTGCCGGGCCCTCGACCGCGAACAATCGGTGTGGTTCTGGATGTACCACAGTCCCTTCCTCCAACGAAGTTAATCCATAATATTCGACGTCGCATAAGCTTCCGGGTTGTTGGGTACCGCCTTCGCGTTCTGGAACGTACAAAACGATGCTTTATGTGCGTGAATCAGAATCCTTCTCCACAATTTCATGATTTATGGGATTATTGGAAACGATTTTAAACCGTTCCCTATATTCCCAACGATAATACATTAATGATGTACCGTTAATTGAATTCAATATTCACTGAATTTATAATTAAATGTGTGTAATATCTTTTTTCGGAGAGATTAAACGATCTATTTTGAATATTTTATAGACCTGTTCTAATTTATTTTACCGAGGAAGGATAACATATTTAATTGGAAAATCTATTAATCTTCGATTATTTGCAATTAAGATTTGAAAATAAAATTTCAATCGGTTATAATCATCCACGAGGAGAGGACTTTTAACAAAGTTGAAAATTTTATTTGAAAACGAATACGCTCGTATAAAATTGATTTTGAGAGAGAGAGAGAGGAAGAGATAGAGCAAACGTTAAGGCTGTGAGAGTCGTTTATTTCTTGAATGCAAATATAGTAAATGAAGCGTATTTAATATAGTGCAAGAGCGGGAGCAGCAACATCGAAGCTGGATGATGCAGCTCCAAACGAATGGACGAAGTGGCAATCTGAAACACGCCCAAGAGTCAATTTGTCTTGCAGCAGCTAGTATACCGTTTTAACTTGATTTTGTTAAAAGTAAAGGGCTAATAAATGGAACTCTACCCCTTTGATGGTCATCTTATTGTCAATTTCTGTAGCTTAATGATTGAATTTCAAAGAGAAATTTATGAGAGTATTTATTTACCTCGTTATATTTCTTTTTTAATTTTCTTCTTTTTTCTTTCATTAAAAATCTGCGACGCGAATTTTTCATACGAAACTTTCATACAAAAGTGACATATTATATTATATTATATTATAAAAAAAAGAAAGAAATATTTTCTAACGTTGTTGTAATTTTGTCCTCGCGACAAAGTCGGTAGAAAATTTTCTTTTGTATAAAAATAAAAGTCTCTCCTTTCATTCATGGAGCGAGCATTTAAATGAAATTTTTATTTGGCGCATTCGCCTTGCAATTAAAGAAAATAACCGGGAGCTCGTTTGCAGGGTGTATGTATCGGGGTCAAGAACGAAGTTACTCGTTTTCTTCGATGTGGGAATCGTTATCGAAGGTATAGGATCACATTTTTACAAAGAGGTTCCTTCTTCTTTCACTAACACACACATATACTCTTACGAGAGAGCTTAGGCTTAAAATGAGATGAAAAAAAAAAAAAAAAAGAAGAAAAAGAAGATAGGGTGTTGGCCGATCTTTGTATTTGATTCATGGAAGATATTTAAACGGGACGACGTGGAATCGAATGAATAAGGGTAAAAGGTTGAGTGATAGATAAAATCGGTAATTTGACGAGAAAGTCTGCCATCAATGAGATTACGCGAGGTTGGTAGTTTCGATTAAAGTACATTAAAGTTCTCTCTCTCTCTCTCTCTCTCTTTCACGTGGATAGAAAACTCAATAATAGAGATGGAAATATAGACAGTAAATTATCGAGGATAATGGGTAGATGATCTGATTTTGTCATTAAAATCTTTTTGATAATAAATAACAAAACTTGCCGTTTATCTCTTTTAGCTATTTTTGTTATATTTTTTCACTCAACAAATATTTATCGTAAATATAATAATAGTAATAATAATAATAATAATAATAATAATAATAAAAATCAATGAAATTTGATTTTCGAATGGGGATTTAATATATTAATAGCTCGTTTAGTTTCTAATTTAAGAATCGTGGGGTTCACGGTGGAACGTTGGGGTTCATTCTATTTTCGAATCCGATCCAGCCGACAAAACTGGTCTTATTGATCCTCCCAGAAATAGAAAGAGAGACAAGAAGAGGGAGAGAGAGAGGGAGAGAGGGAGGGAGAGGGAGAGGGTATTTGGATGCATGTATCGCATGTAAACGTAATAACGTCGACAAGCGACGAGAACATTCGTCAATCAGCGTCAAATCGACGATCCTGGTGGTTTGTCGCCGGTGTGACTTCCATCTATTGTCATTCGTTTTGTTTTACTCTATCCATCGTACACGAACTATTTTTCCCTATGATTGCTTTTCCTTTTTCGCCTAAATTACGACGAAACTTTGTACAATATTATTGAAATAGAAAGAGATAGAGAAATAGAGAGATAGATAGATAGAGAGAGAGAGAGAGAAAGAGAGGGTAACACAATTAGATAGGTAAAATCGGAAATGCCAAAGTCGACTAAATTTACTATCTTGATAATCGATTAAAACACAGACAATGAAATTCGGTTAACGATTTCAAGGGGTTTGATTATCACGAATTATAATTTTCAACAATACCAATGTCTTCTATTTATTCCAACAATTTCCTCTCTGTTTTGAGCGTATTTATTAAAATATTACCTCTCCGTGGTGGATTTTGAACAATCGATAAGCAGTATTATTGTATTCTGTATTGAGAAATTTTCTCTTTCTACCTCTCCTTCCATCCACAAGCATAAACGATTTAAATTCGTTACGGTAGTCGAAATTTTGTTCATTTAACAGCACATCGGTTAATGCTAAATCTAACGAAATAGAAACAACTAGTCGATTCTATCAATTTATACGGTTTAAACATGATTATTTTCTTTCCATCCAAAAATATAACAACTCTTATCGGCATAACTCGGATGATGAAGTTAAATATATTGTGTCAGTATATATACATACATGTAGGCTAATGCACGTACGCTCATCTAAAAGCTATCATCGTATGAATGTTAATAAAGCGATAGAGCGAATTTAACGATCATCGAAATATGTTTGATAAATTATTTGCTCGAAAAATGAGAAACATTTATTTGCCTCTTATAAGCTCTATATATTTTTATTTTTATTTTTATTTTTATTTTTATTTTTATTTTTATTTTTATTTTTATGCAAGAACTCATAAATTTAATGAAGTAATTTAATCGTAATATTTTACTAGAACGTTGCTTGATTAGAGTCAAATTCACGTATTCGGGTTGCTAAAGAGTTTAACAGAGAAAGAAAAGAAAAACTTGTCAATTAGTTTTGTTCACATTTTAAAAACTTACCATTGTGAAAATAATAGGACACGTCCATGTATTCCTCGTCAGTAGTGGTGTTTGAAGCTCTTCTTAACACCACCGTCATATCTCTACCGTTGGATGAATATCGTTTTGGCTCGACGTACCTACGAACGTGAAGAAAAGAACTCTCTTTAAAACTTTAAGTATCGGTAATATCATTGGACATTCGTGGATAGAATGTCCGATAATATTCTTCGCTAGGAAGAAGAAAAAATGCAAGAGTAATAGAGGACAAGAAAAGTGAATTATATCTAGATCTTTTTCTTTCCTTTTTTTTTTTTCATTTTAGTCATGTTAATTTATTCACTAAATGTACATAATTGAAAATCTCTCTTCTTATCTTTTCTCTCTCTCTCTCTCTCTCTCTCTCTCTCTCTCTCGCTCTTTCTCTTGTGATATTCAACGTGAAAGCTCAGATTGATATTACCATTTATTGTCGATATAATGAAAAACGAATAAAAATAAATCGTACGATATTGTATCTGATGCATTATACATTTGTAAAAAATAAAATTTAATATAAAGTATAGCATATAATATTCAATGGAATTTAATAACAAGAGTTTGAAAAAATGCTACGTTGAAAAAGATATTGAATTTGAAAATGTTGAGAATAAATGTAAATCGTTTGGGGAAATGTACAATATTTTGTACGTATAAACCTGATTCCTCATTGAATGTCTTCTAATATTATAGGTAACATTAATGGCTAAATATACGATAGAATTACGACCTAATTTTCCTGTTCAATTGTAATAGAGAATAAAGGGAAATGTTGAAAGTGGATAATGAAGACAACATTGGAGGAAGAAGTTGGTATCTTATTATGAATAATGATCGGTTTGATTTGTTCTTAAAGACAAGGTTACATAGACGTATCGAAAAGGATCGTCGTCATAGTGTTGGTAGTTTCACGAACGATAGAACACGCATATAGTTTCCCTTTCCCTTCCTCACGTTTACCAGATGCCCGTAGGAAGTTCGTTGTAAATTATGCAGCTTTGCCTTTATACCAAAGAGTGTGGGTGCGCATAACGAAACACAAGAAGAGTAGGAGAGTAGGAGAGAGGAGAGGGGTACGAAAGTTCGACCATGTACTGTCACAAAGCAGCACATTTTGTGCTCGATAAATTTTGCACATCGTTCAACTCTCCATTTTGCTCGGACAAAGTTGCAAATGGACGTTTAGAGAGGTAGGAAGGGCAACGCGCGATAACCTTATCCCTTACTCGAATCATCTATTAGGATTTACACGACCATGATAATTTAGTTTCTCTTATTCTGCTTATTTCATTTGCTAATAGGCTTTCTCTTTAGGATCATTCTATTGTTCTGTTAAATGAATTTCTTCTTAGAAAGATTATAACATGTATGGCTGAAAATGTTTGAGAGATTTTTGTAACTACTGTACTACCATACTACGATTTGAAACGAAAGACATCGATTTAACTAGAATCTTTGCTGCATCGTATCAAATTCAATCGTTGATCATTTTGACAGCAGGCCACCCTAACGATATATATTTCTACCTTTGAAGAGTGGAAAAACGTCGTAATGATATTTTGAGACGCGGCTTTTCGGACCGAAAGATCGGTCGACCCACTTGGCTAACGGCCAACTCTTCATCCTTGGATTTCATGTATGTCGACCTGGCATACATATCACTGTGTACTTTTCCCTTACAAACCAAACCTTGGAAAGGCCTGAAATTCAGATTTTTTCCTAAGGCTCCACGTCTAACTCGAATAATGGTTGCAATTTTTGAAGAACGGTTACGCGGTCTACTTTTTCAAAGGGATTTATTTTCCTCAAAAAAAAAAAAAAAAACAGAAAAAACAGAAAAAACAGAAAAAAAAGAAACAAAAATGACAATTTATATTTCACGACCGTTTGATTATTTAATCGAATAAATTTCATTTAATAACTAGGCTATAATAACATGATTTCAAAAGATCTTAAATGTGTACAAACGTGATTGGTTGAACTACTTGGAAACTTGAAGTAGTAATGAACGTAATGGTAAGGTCAGCCATTCTGTAAACGTGAAAGCGTACATATGTACCTATGTATGTTGGTAAGTACATTCTACACGTTGTACCGAGATATCTGAAGTAGGTAAAGGTATGTTTGCAAGAGTGAAACGATTCTCGACAGGCTACAGGTTTGCATCGTAAACATGGAGGACTGTGGTTTTCTTGGCACAAAATCGACAGCTCGTATTTTCTATGGTGGCTCTTGGGAATACCGATCGAGCGTGTTTTGGGCTAGCAAATTTCTATGAGTTTATCGAACGTTAAAGAAACTTTTATGAATGGACGTACGACAACGGGAAAGGACTTAGAAACCCATTCGATTCCGATACGATTGTTGTTGTTGATTTAGGAAAGGGTCCTTTCGCGAAATCGATCTTTCTTGCCTTTGCTATTTGACCCTTTTATTTTGCAAATCCTTAAAAAGGTTTTTTAACACCTGACGAAAAAGGAAGGTTATTATTATTATTATTATTATTAAACTGATGGGAGAAAATTCAATAGGAAGGATATTGATCCTTCCTATAATATATCTCGTTCGTCGTTCTCTTTGAAAGTGGGGCCCGACCAAGAACAGATTGAAAGTCTGTTGAGGTTAACGTCGTTTTAAACGCATCATGAAAGCTTGTATCTAGCAGGAGAAAGATCCTCGTGATCTCATCGCGGAATGGGAAACGTGCTTGCGGCCGGAGCGTGTGGGATGAAGCACGAGCTTTATTTTACATGAATTTTTACGAGATTAGCCGGCATAAAACACGTGGCAGTCCCATAAGCACGTACGTGCGTACTACAACGGTATGTCCTATTCGCCTACCATGCCGTCGCCTAACAGTCATAAATTGTAGCAGCATGTCTGAAAACGTTAAGAAATTAAAATAGATTAAAAACTGCTTGTTACGTCGTCGGTCGATGATAATACTTGTACCTGTGTGTATGTGTGTGTGTGTGTGTGTGTGTGTGTGTGTGCTTCAAGAAACGAGTATGACAACATAGTTTGGATAAAAATGATAACTAAGTAATTAAAAAAAGAATAAAACTGAATTATCCCAGCGAAAAAAGGTAAACCATCTCTTGAACATTTTATATTCGAGAGTAAAGAGAGAAGAATCCTCAGCTATCTTATAAATTACCTTCTTTCTAACGTGTTTTCTGACGTGTAAACATTACTGCTTGATGAGATGGCTTTGCATTTTTAATCAGACTTATGTTTTCATGTTAAATATCATTCATCATTCATAATTTATCTTTTCAATGGGATCTCTCACGAAATTATAGTCGTATGACTTTATTATTAATTGTTACGTCTTTATATAATCCATCGTGTATATATTTCTCTTCCATTTAAATATTTCATATTTTAAATGACTCATTTATATACAGATATATACATTTTTACGATGCGCATGTAGTATAGATATTATAATATTATGGTAAAATACGTGCAGCACAGGTGTGGTGAATTTTGACATAAGTGTTACTTCGGTCGGAAAATCAGGACGTTCCTGAGTAGAAACATAAAGAGAAATGCACAGCTGGAAAATCGTTTGAGCCGTCACGTCGAAATCCCTTGGCCTTTTTGACCGGCGTTTAGTTCCTATGTAATTCCTATGGGATGACAATCATTCCTATGTACTTCAGCATTATATAGAAACACGTTAGCGTTATTTTGTCAAATCCGTTAACTTATGAAATAACTATACTGATTTGTTAAAGTATAAAAAGGAACTTTTATTATTATTTTAATTATAGTATTAATTATCATTTAATAATCACTGAATTATACTTAACAAAAAGTGCAATTAAAACATGGTAAAAAAGAGGAAGATTAATCAGCCAATTACGAAACTAATTATCGACTATTATTTACCGAAGATTTTATGCTCGTTAATTATAAACAATACGATCGTACATACATTGAAGTGTCTTTTAATTGGTAGAATAATAAAATGTTATAGTTAGATATATGTAGAGTAGGTTGTGTTTGGTAGACTACAGAAAACAAATAATTTTCTCAACGGTATCGATATACACCTTTCGAAGTCATGCGTTTGTTTGAAATGAAAATAAAAGTAGAGAAAGAGAAGGAACGCTTAAATTATTCCTCTCTTTCATCGGTGAATGCTTGAATTATTTGTTCCAATCGGTACAGTTCGTGGCATCCATATAGTTTGCTTCATTTCTCTATAACATATCCTATATCGCACATTCCTTTGCGCGTACGAAGGATTTGTCATATTTTACGGGCACATCCAATTTCCGTGTGTGATTTGATTTTTTATTAACATGCTATTGCAACAAATAAAATGACATACAAATTTCATCATTTCTCTGGATATCAAAAGAAAAGAATAAACGTACATACACTTATCGATTCGTGGAAATGTACAATGACACATTTGTACCTCTTTCTCTTTCCTTTCACAATCAGTATAATGTATCTTATATCTTTATATATAAAGATTCATTGTAATTGTGATATTATTTTGTGTGTTGTTGTAATTTACTAAATAGTTTAGTATTATAATAATTCAACAACATTTTATAACAAAGCCACAGCAACTCGTGGCCGGAGCATCATAGTATCATATAAATACTGAATGGTTTTTTTTTTAGAACACCCTGTGTATATTCTCTCCCTATTTGAATATATTCTGTAGCTAAATACAAGTACCCTGGAGTACAACGAGCCCTCCCCAGTCATCTTTCATGCTTTGACTTCCGGCAAGATGAGCACGAGGTATCGTTCCGCGTGTCGTGTGCCATCTCATTCTCTAGTGCAAGTAGGAGTACGAATGACGGATATAGGTATATGTGTTGCCGACTGTTTCACAAGTTTTTTTTTCTCCTTATATATGCACCTACACCTTCCCTACGTAAGTATATGTTAGCAGAAAAAAGAACATAGAGAGAAAGAGAGAGAGAGAGAGAGAGAGAGAGAGAGAGAGAGAGAGAAAAAAGGAGAAAAGAACGCACTCCGTCGATCTTGTCTCCATTTCAAGCGAAGGAATGCATTCGTTTGAACGTAGATGAATGAAAGTACGAGACTATGAGATGAGACTAAAAAAGAGAAAACTCTCCATCGTGAATCAACATATATATATATATATCTATAGATTTTCTGAAAAAGAGTTTCTTTCCGTCATTGACTTTCCATTTACATGGTTGTAAGGAAGAAAAAAAGATCGTTTTATGTATGTAAGATCGATGACGTATAAGTAAGTAAGTGGGCAAATATTTTCTTTATACTATTTTTCTTTTTTCTTGTCTTTTTTCTCTTTTATCTGTTTACTTACTCGTCTCGTGCAAACTCTCGTGGTAGCCTCTGTGCCGGACTGCAAATTCGTACGAGGGATTTCACAGTGTTTGTCGTTCCACCTTCCGGTAAACCATCGAATATCTCGATCATCGATTGACAGGATTGTGCACTGAAAAATTGCAATAATAATAATATCAATAATAATAATAATAATAATAATTGGAGTTATTTTATTTTAGAAATATTATTTTACGTAGAAAAAACGCCACAGTTGCCATCATAAAATCCCTTGTTCGCGTATTTATTTTGGGGAAACTTGGTTCTCCCCTGGTTATATTTCAAGGAATATCGAAAGATATGCTAGTTAATAGAATCGTGGTAGTAAGGAAGACTCGAAGGAGCAACAACTAAACTCCTAACAGAAACCAAACACCAAGCCGATCGTTTACATTACTAGGATAACAGGATAACGGAATACTTAACAGTGATGGAACCTCGCGTTTCCTTCGATATTACCTCCTTCCCAGTATTATAATCAGGTAGTTGAGAAAACGCGGAAATTGAAGATTGTTTTAAGATCGTATAAACGTATACATCGGGTATAATTTTGACGTAACTCTGACATTATTTTATTCTTTCAAAAATAAGAATATACTTTTGAGAATAGTTTCTTTTGCACGTATATAAATCTAATAGTAATAGTGATCGTAAAGCTTCTAACGGCGAAGATCTTAGATAGAAGAGAATAAGATAAAGATAAAAAGAAAGTAACGGAATTTCGATTTCCTGAAGGAAACGACGTAGTCGAAGTTAGGATTGTTGTAAATTGTAGACCAGAGATAGATAGATAGATAGATATATGTACATATATAAGAATATTCCCTATACTATTCCGAACTAGTACTTTCTCGCGGTTCACTAATGCATACATTTATAATATTTTATTTTAAATTTATACTGGTTTCAAATAAAGCTCACTACTAGCTACCTTGTACTTCGAAATCTTCACAAGTGATCTCCTTCTCGTAATTTTCCTTCGTTTATTCGTTTTTCTTGCAACCAATGTACATAGGTATGCTCGAGGTCAGGGAAGAGTTTCCTTTTCAAATCCATTCTTATAACCTGTACTATCTCTCTCTCTCTCTCTCTCTCTCTATGTTTCCTTTTTGTTTCTTTTTAAACGCAAATGTACCTCGAAGATGCAAATGTTAAGTACGTACTCGTTTTCCATGTTGTACTTATTGTACACGATAATTGAAAATCTCCAGTATATGCATATAATACCCCTGACAAGGTTTATATACAGGTAGGTACCCATACACATGCACGACACGATTCCATGATATAATACTATTTCCGTATAATGAAATTCACATCGTCGTGTTTCCAGCAATGGAGCTAATTAACTCTATTGTATAATCGTGCGAAAGATTTCTACGGCGTTCCTCGACATTTCTCAGTTGATTAATTAAATAAAGTTATTATATTTTCGAGTGTATATAAGTAGGTACTTATATATGTAGCATGTATATAAAGCTACTTTGGAAATTTGTATTAATGTCAATTAGTAAATTCCACGTAATGCAACTGTTATATAATATAGATAATATCGAAAGACGTTTTATGTATATATGAGCCGTTTATATTGACAGTGACGTGAATTGAGACATTGAAGGGTTTACGTTGGATTCAATTTCAAAATACAGATAACAGAGATGACGACATATAGTGGATGGATGTCTAATGTTTTTGGATTTCTAAATTTCCGTAAGAAACAACAAGTGTACTAACAATACAAACGTAATTTTGTTTTAAGCGTCGATATGTGTCATAGAAGTTGTAATAATGTATTTTGAATAGAACTGCCGGTAGACATAATAGAACTTTTCCCCTTGTAAAAAGCAACAAGATTTATTTTCGATTTCATGAGAAACCATGCGAGTCGTAAGACGGTGGTGGTGGGTGGGGATAATAGGAACAAGAGTAAAGTCGTATTTTCAAGAATTTGATTTTAAACGCGTGTTACAAGTCAGCTGAATAGACTTGGGATAATAGATACGGTAGCAACGACAACAGCGGTAAGTAGGGAGAATAGTAATAACAGTGACATATATCTACTGAAATTATGTATACAGCGAGATAGTTTCTCACGAACAAACGAATATAATCGTCGGTAGAAGCGAGTCTGTTGAAGCTATTAAAATGCAGGCAAGTATAATAGTATGTCGATTTATGGGGAGGAGTACTTTGAATTTTAGAAAATTTCAGAACCATCAATTTAAAACTAACAAAATACAATTCGTTGAATGGATTTTTGTTTTCTTTTCTTTATACTCCGTACTTATTTGAATTAAAAGTTGTCAAATGTTAGTATAAAATATTGATTATTGTTTAAACAAATTTGTGTTAATTTCCTTCTTTTTAACCGTGTTAAAAAGTTAACTGTGGCGCTCCGTTTTGAAAGTGTGCATCGCATACATCGACCAATCACGAGTATATTAGTGAAACACCATTCGTTAACTGGTTAAATAAATAAAAAGAATTAAAATATTACCTGAGATTATAACTGGTCAAAGATACGTGTCCGGTATGATAAGTGCCACCACGAAGAATAAGACGACAGGTCGTTGACTTGTGTTTGCCTCTGGTGTCGTGATGACCCGAACGAATTTTGTCGCCATTAACTTCGAGGTCACAACTATATCCCGTGGAGGATCCTTGATCCTTGCGATGCTCGTCAGTGTCTCGATTGTTATAACGTGCGTTGTGACCGGTATAAATTGTAGCTTGTTTGACGATATCCGCTGTGAACGAGACAAATATAATAAAATATAACGTACAGTTAGAAATAAACTATTGATAGCAAAGCAAATATGTTGCTATATACACAATATACAAATAAACAGATAAAAGTTCGATTTATTAATATATATATTGTATACGTATCATACGTTACGTTCCACATGGGTTATTGCATCAATCTAAGAGGAAATAAATTTGATATTGGAAAAATGAGAAAAATTGCATACCGACTAAAGTGGGTACTTACAAGTTTTATTGGTCGATTCTGTAGTAATCGTTGTAGGTATTTCCGTCGTAATTTCGATAAAGTTTATCGTCGCTACGAAGCCATTGTAATCGAATGGAGATACCTCTGGGCCAGCTCTGAAGTATGGTACATTAATTATCATCATCATCATCATCATCATCATGAAAAAGTTAGTATTAATGTAATATAATTTTGTCTACCTAAATTCGACAAGAACCTCCTGGCCGTTATACATCAAGGATGATTTCTCTTTGCCGCAGAGCATTTTTAAGAGAGGACTCGAGGTCGTTGGGCCCGAATAAACGGCGATGTAGTCGCTCGTACAATGACTGTAAAACGAACGAGAGAAGAAATATTTCAGGTGCTTTCTCTCCAAAGCTTTTCGAGCTGCTTTAAGAACCGTCTCATCTCCGGCAAAACCTCTTTTCATCCCCATTCACGGTCTTACACCCCCTTAGGGGCCATACGAAGAAGAGACTATCGAAGCTTTGCTACTCGTGTACCGATTTATCAAGAGAGAGAAAGAGAGAGAGAGAGAGAGAGAGAGAGAGAAGTTCACAAGGATGTAAGGGATTCACTCGCTGATCAAAGTTTTGCCATTAAACAAAATATCCAATATTATAGTCAGTTCATGAAGGCTTTACCAAATTACCACCAGGCTCGCGTTAGCTTGATTTATATTTTACGAGAAAACTTCGTCGTCAATTATTCCCTAATTGCCATTTCTATTTTCCATCGTGATCACGTTGAACGTTAAAACAAGGATTTCTTTCCTTAGTTTATGCAAATCTTCTTCAAAGATGAGAATGTTTTTGTTATATACCTTACTACGTATCGAACCTATACGATACCATCGATATTCTGTTATTCTATCGATGAAACATTATCAAACTTTCTACGGTGGTAAATATTATTACCGACTAATAAATTGCTACATGGCAATCTTGCATGAAAATTCAAATAGCTTTATAATCTTCTCTCTCTCTCTAAAACAAACTCAATTCGACTTTATCGTGTTTCCATTACGTGACCACGGTTAAACTACGAAACTTTTCATAAATGTTGAATATTTTCTTTTTACACGAACGAAATGATCTTCTAAAAGGAGATCCTATGCATATGGTATACATATAATCTCAAACATTTTATTCTATACTAAACAAAGTTGAAACGAAAAATCTGTAAAATTATTGAGTAAGATTGGACAAAAGCTTTAAGTTATTTTTGATCGTTCGTAGCAAGCTTAACAACGGTTTTACCGTACCATAATTGCAGTTACATTTTCAAATAGCTTAATGATAAAAGACAACTCTCGTACTTTCCTTTCGACTTAACTTATATTAGTATAAAGCATCAAGGAGCCTTCGTCATTTTCCAAGGTAAATCTTCTGAAGTAGGATTTGTTCGTTTCGATTCTCAATCGAAGTGCATGAAATATGAGATGAACGTAAGAAATTTACTTTCTTCCATTTTCTATATCTTTACTTGTTCTTTTCACGAAACATTTTTAAAAGTCAAGACTACTGCAGATATTTTTCCTTTCTATATATATTTTTAAAAAGAGAGAGAGAGAGTGAGAGAGAGAGAGAACTACTACAAGCTGTGACCGCGGAAATAGTTTCACGTCATTTTCTGCCTGACTGACTTTAACAACAGAAAATCGGATTCTTCTGGCTCCATTTCCTAGGATCTTTTCTAGTACCTTAAGAGGAAAAGTGGAAAAATGAAAAGATAGTAGACTGCGAATGTGCGTATAATATAACGTTTTAAAATTTTTATATCTATTTAGCAAGTACATCGTTACGTTGCAAATATTCGTGTTGCAAGTGAAACAGCAGGTCATGATAAATCAACATTATAAATGAACGTATCCGGGATGCGTCAGGGTTGCGTCAGGGTTGCGTCATTATATTATATATTATAATTTTCTCTCTCTCTCTCTCTCTCTCTCTCTTTTTCTTTTTTTTCAATTCTGACAATTACAGATTTAGCGAGCAGAAGAAATATGAATTAAATGTTTAAACAATGTTATATTAAATATATTTTAATTGAAATCCTTTTTTCAAGGGATTATACGAGGAGTACTGTGGTCGCGTGTCGAAGTATATTAGCTTTAATGTTTCCTTTGAGTTTTATCGCGTTCAACAGTACCGTCAGAAATGCAAGGGCAAATCGAGTAGCTTCGCTGCCATTCTCTATGTAAATTCTAAAGCAATTAGGTTTTCAACTCGACTCGTGAGAGACAAGAACGTCACTTTAAAGAGAAAAGGGATAAGAGAGAGAGGGAGAGAGAGAGAGAGAGAGAGAGAGAGAAAAAGAGAGCGAGGAAAGGTTTTCGAATGATTCTATTACCTGAAAGGAAAGCGTTGTAGGTAGGTGTGTAGAGAAATGTAGAAGAAACAGGTCTTTGAATTTGACGACGGGCGTTACCTTTCTGGCACCTACCTGGCATCTACCTGGCACCTTCTTTCTCCTACTTTTATACGCAGTTTTAAAAGGTTGACGCATGTGAAAAAGAGGTAGAAAATAAAAAGGAAGAAAATGTCGACTGTACGAGTTTCCTCGTTTAGCGTAAAAAAAAGAAAAAGAAGAAAAGTAAAGTAAAGAGGACTTTAGCCGAATCTGAGCAATTTCATCTTTTGCACTTTCGTATTCTTTGTTTTATTCACTCCTCGTGAGTGACCTTGTTTCTCGGCCGCAATTTCTTTGCTTAAGAACTTAATGTACTGAAAATCTAGAGCAGTTGGAATCGACCATACCAGTAGACGGATGTGTAAGGTAATCCGTTTGAAATTACGTTGCGGGAAAGTTGGTTGCTGCACTAGTTCAAGGAAAAAACTACAAATGTTAAATAGAAAGAGAGTGAGAGAGAGAGAAAGGTAGGAAAAGAGAGTAAAAAAAAAGCTCTTGGTCCTTTCAAGTTCTTTATTTTTCTTTCGTTAACTGTTTAAACGAGCGTGCTGTAAAAGATTCCGAAGGGGTTACTACTGAAAATGAGAAGAAAGTGTTTTATAAAATCAAGTTTGAAGTTTTTTTCTCTTTGAGTTACCTCGTTCGTCACCTCTTCGCGAATTTTAATAAATCTCTTTATAAGAAAGTGAAGCTTTTGAAAGACTATCTTCTACGTTTTCTTTTTATTCTTCGAGTGGAATACGTACGAGTATGTATACAATACGACAATAAATAATGATTCATTTGAAAGATGAAACTACAAAAATATATTGGAAGGTTTTTTTTTCAAGATTCGATGTTCTACAACGATTACAATAATAATCCCATAGATGATAATAATAAGGACGGTGGTGGATTAGCGATTTAGCACATTGGCGAGTGGCATGCTTATAGCACGCATAATCGGCAACGCGCTAGCAGCAGTTATCGTATGTAACTGCGTGTTACTAATGCACAACTGTATGCATAGAGAGATATTAATGTACCGCGCGATCCTATTTACTGCGATTAATGTAGCATAGATGTGCCGTTATCTGCTTGTGTTCTCTTGAACCGACGAAATTAGAAGGTGCATTTACAATCTCTCGAGAAAGCTCGAGAGAAATCATCACGTAAGAAAGTTGAACATTTTCCCTACCATTATTATTATCTCTTGCCTTTTAATACCGTTCATAATTTTACGAGCACTTTATGATGGATCATCGTGGATTTTATCATCGGGTCAACAGGCTATATTATTTTTCATTTCGTCAAACAACTTAGTTGAAAGAGCCATTAATTGTAAAATATTATACCGTTTATACCAATCGATTGAAAGTAGTAGTGTGTAACGTTAGTACGAGAAAAATATATACGAGTATTTTAAATAACATTTTTCATCCCTTTTCTACTACTTCTCGGATGAACTACTTTGTGAAAAGCTTTACCAACGTAGATCGCGTAAAATATGTTCTCTTTCGTAGAAGCGATAATCCGTCGTCTCGATTCACCTATAAAACCAAGCCGTACTCTACGAGCTCCTACTTCCTCCTCTCGCTACTTCCTCTCGCTACTTCCTCTCGCTACTTTATTGCTTTTATATTTTCAATTCATTGTCAGCACGATCACGCGAGGAATCTATTATTCTTGAAAAATCTCTTACAGTGGATCGATTCTAGGTATACTATTCGAAGGATGGAGCCGAAGGTGAACGTATAAGGCCACGAAATATGTATCTTTCGCGAAAACACAACGCGAAAACGAAATGAATTAATCAAATTAAGGCGGACAAAAAAAATTGTAATTTTTATCTGTATCGCGTGTTTGTTATATTTTAATTAATCAGTAGAGAAAGAGAGAGATGCATGTTTTACAAAAGTATTTAACAACGTTAGAGAAAAAGACAAGAACAAATAACGGGAAATATGGAATTAAAGATAGCGCATGAGGTTTAACATAGTTAAACGAGTAATCACATTTCTATCATTCCGTTTTTCTCTACGAATTTTGTAAATTTCAAATAATATAATTATTCATTTTTGTATTTACTGTAAAGCGTGCTTTTTGATATTGCGTTTAATTCTATAAGCCGGGATCGTATTATTTACCGCTTCGTGCTTATTAATTAAGGCTGATAAACGCAAAAAAAGAAATAAAGAGAAATGAAAAGGAAAAAAATATAAAAGAAGAGATTTTAAAAATCAAATTCGGTTTGTTTCCACGATCATCGTAATATTAAACGAAGAAAAACAACGTGGATCATATTTTTAGCCGTTGTTTTGTTTAATTAATTAACTTGAAAAACACTAGCGAATTTCATCATTTCGAACGAACAATCATTATTTCCTCTTTTCTTCGTATTATTCTTTGTATCCTTTTTACGATAAAAGGATAATAAATTATTTAGTAATAAGTATACTAGGTACTCCTGTTTTGCGATTGAAAGGCATTCAAATAATTTGAATTGTTTCAGTTCAACGTTCAAATAGTTTCGATGAAGGAAGAAGGAGAAAGAAAGGAAGAGAGAAATAGCAAAAGGTAATAGCAAAAAGAGATGATATTTTCTTTAGAAAGTTTCAGTGTTAGATTATTTTAGTAGAGACACGATTAGCCAGGTAGAAATCGTACCACGTAATAGTATTACTTTGGAGATCATTAGGTGTGCTTCCCGAGATGAACTTTCCGGTGTTGGTAAGAACAGGAAGTTGAAATGTTGAGCAAAGGAGCTGCCGTGCAGTTTGAAGTATGCCTTATCTTACAGCTTTACACACAGTTACGTTTATTAAAAGCATCCGTCGAGGAAAAGCTCTATGAAGAGCAAGTTTTCATAGTAGAGAAATTAAAATGAACTCGTCTATCTCTTTTCCCTTTATCTTTTCAAATAATAACTCGTAAGCTT